GCACATCGTCGACGAAGGGTAGTTTCAGGAGCACCGTATGCCCTTGCAGCTGGTTTAACCTTTTGAAATTGGCCTTGTGCAATAGCAGATTGGGCAAGGAATACTCGACTCTCATTTAAAAGTAATTGGGAGGAAGTTGGTTGATCCATCGCATGTTGAAGGTAGTAACGCGTGTGGTCATGCGATGCGCGCCGCTCGCTTGTCCGCGCCGCTCGCTTGTCCGCGCCGCTCGCTTATCAAGTACGTTATACTAAACCTCGGCTGAGATGATAGAGGGCTGGAAAATAACGATTGCATTTTCAATTGCACAAAATATTTCGAGAGCGGCAATTTATCTGCGTCTGACGGTAAAGACAGAGTCAGAGTCGCGTAATTTTTTGAGAGGATGATATAACCAAAATAGACGTCTGCGTTTAGTCTGCGTCTACAGACTTGGAGTTGGTCAATGAGACATCCACTGCGCCTCGACTCGTACGAGAAGTATACATAACTCTAGCTTCAGAAGAGAGGATAGGCCATCCTGGTGCTGATTGGAAATTGAAGAGATGCATAAGTGCGGTGCAAGGATAGCTGCTAATCGGCGGTCCAAGCAAGAATCCAAACGACATCTTGGCTACTCAAAGCTCCTCTATGATGCTCGTATCCAGGAACTTCTGTAATTCTGCCCTTGGTATCGCCTGCCTCCTGTCCGTCTGAGCAAGGTATGCATCCTCCTCCACCAAGAAGTCCAGAAGTTCCGGCTTCCACGTGCCAGTCCATTTGTGGTCCTCCCATACAGCCTTCAGAACCGGTACATCAACGTTCACTGCTGACGCAACGAATTGATACACGCTGTCTGGCTTGTTATTAAAGATGTCGAGAGTTTGGTTCAGCGCCCGAACGAATGCCACGATGTCTTTCCGCTTCGAGGGGTTGTTCAACTTGTCCGTCGTACTGTACAGACTGTAGACCTCGCGGTAGATGGATTCGTTCTGGAAGATGATGGCGTTGTCTCCCAGCGCCTGGGCGCCCAACTCGACGGCCGTTTCCCATATCCCGAACGCATCGATCTGTTTGTTCTTGAGCATCTGTGGAAACGTGTTCGATGCGCAGGGCGCTTTCATGCAGACTTGTCCAGACACGGTAGTGTAGTCAGATTCCTTCAACCCAACGCTCGAAAGCATATTGTGCACGAACACGCCTGCTGATGTCGAGGCCATAGTTCCAATCCTTTTTCCCTTGAGATCGGAAAGAGTTTTGATCCCTGCAGCCTTGTTCGCAACAATGCGATAGGGTACTTCGCAAATCACGTAAATGAGTCGAATATTTCTATGTCCGGCATACTGTTTCAGGCCCTGGGTTTCAGCGTTGGCCGCGAGGTCGAAGCTGCTGTCGCTGGCTAGGTTGGCAACACCGCCGCTCGAGAGGGTCGCAGCACTGCTGCCTTTGTAGAAGTTCTTAATAGCATACGGTTGCGGAGTGTGTTCGATCCAGTTCAGGGCGGTAGCAATCTTCAGTCCCGTGGCGAGACGGAGGAGGGAGAACGCGGCAGAGAGTATAGGAAGCCGCATTTTGGCAGAGCTGCTGATGCCGACACCTCACTCTGCAGGCCGATGTTTATTTGTGTCGAGCGTCAAGGCAGCGCAAGTAGTACAGAACCACTGGAATGGATGGCCGACCGGATTCGGAAATGTGTATAGTGGTTCGCATTTGCCGAACCTATAGTCTCTCCCGCCCAAATGCCGAACAAAACCCATCATAGACACTGTTGAGAAGCATTTAATCAAACCCGCTTTGTAAACTGGCTCCAATAGGTGTCTAATATGCCGAATCTTCCCCAGTTACTGGTGCCTTATTGTCCGAATATGAGTGTGGGGAAGGTTACCCCTAACCGATCGTGATTTCCAAAGCGACACTCGCCTGAGCCTGCTTCATTGTTCCGGCACACCAACCTTTGTCTCCACAGACCAAGGCGAGCCTCGATGAAGCAACATAGAAATCACCCGGCCCTCTTCCCTTTCATTTATGTCGCATTTTGGGGGAATACTCATCAAGCCGCGTCGACAATCGATGGTCTGCTGCGGGAGGTCTCTGTGACCCGGATGAACAGCTTGAGGTCTGGGTCGAGTGAGAGTAAGCTGCAGATATCTTCGGTCACATCTCGATGAGACATGAAGTAACATAGGAAGCCGTAGGTCTCGCCGCATGATCTAAGCAGGTTTGTCATCCTGGCCAAGTAGCCTAACGTGGATCACCTCTTTCAGCCAGATTGTTCAAAAGCCATAAGCCCAAGCAGCCAATGAACTCAGTGACTTACGGCCGGACTCTAAAAGCGTGTGCAGTCTCACGTTCGGATACGTCCCTCCTATCCGACTTTCACCCGTTCCCGATGGCCTGTGATGGGATCCCAATTCCAGCCCTCTTGTGCCCACTTCCATACAAGATATGGACGGAGATCCTTATCTAACGGCAAAACACGCTTCCATTCCGGTTCGTGACCATCTCCTGGTTCTATCCCTCTCAATGTATCCCGGTAGAATATCCTATAGCTGTCCAGAGCGTAAGCTCCAACTCCAGGCAGATGGGCAATCTCCCATCCGGAACGAATGTCGTCAACATCAAGAAGCTCTCCATCGCGAGTATCGATATTATCCCCTTTTTGGGGATAGTTTCGCTTACCGTAACGTCTAGATGGATGGGGCGGGGAACGCACCCAGACTTTTGCCATCTTTACAAGACGCTCTGAACGGATCTTCTGCAGTCCAAGTTTCCCAATGACAGGTAACAGATTATGCGGATCGGCTTGCGCAAGTTTTTCGGGGGTCGGGTATAAGGTAAGAAGCTCAAATAGCACGGGTCGACCGGCTTTGCCTCTGGTCTGGTTCCATAGTATAGCTTGCACCACAAGCGCAAAGAGGCTTCCTCGAATACGTTCCTGTATTAGGCCATAACCGGATTCCTGGAGTTGGAAGCACAGACCTTTTGGTGTGGGCTCTCTGGAAAATGGGTCAAGCTCGAAATATGACGATGTCGTCTTTAGGTGTGTGGGAGTGGTTCGTTTCGGAGCGGGCGTGTGAGAAGATTTTTCGGTCAAGCCTTCTACCACACCGAATGCATTTCGGTCACTGATCGAGAACTGGTTCAGCTGCTGAATTCCATCATTCAAGGTTCGGATGGCGATGGAGAACGAGTCAGCGCCCTCGTACAAGCCGTCGTTCGATGGCAGTGATGAAACTGGTAAAGGGGTCGCATGAGTCTTGGGAACACCTCGGACGAGCCTTCCCGTCGACGAAACTTGGAGTACCTGTGATATCTCTTCTACAACAAAAGCGATATTCTGGATGTGGACATTCAATTCCGCCAAAACGTGGGCCAATCTCAAACCACAAGTGACCTCGCAATTGATTGCGGCGCTAGGAATGTGTGTCCGGGATTGCAGGCTAGACGCAGGATTACTTTTACGCTTTGAGACTCTGGTCTTCCGAAGGTTGCCTGTGGGGCCCATGGAGGCCTGATGCTGTTGTTGGGGCACACCTGGTGAGATAGAACGTCGAGCTTGGAAAAGACACTGATGGTGCCAAGACAAGATTTTCGCTTAACTTGCCAATCAGAGAGGATTTGAGTGACAGGGGTGGTTTTCTGATGGTGCTGGTCTTTCCAGCTCCAACCACCTGCATCTGAGGTTCCAAGCGCCACGATTTTCTGCGACAGATTATCCATAACATCGCTCAGTTCCTTTATTCAATAGTGGCATAGTACAAGAGATATTTAGCTCAGATCCATGGGAAATCTTATTATGCCACTTTCTCCGCGCCTCAAGGACGAAAACTGTACGGTAACTTCCTCCTTCCAAGCCCTGACAAACCTTTTGTCAGAGCGGAGAAGGGTTCAATAGTCAGGAAATTGACGGTAGGGTTGTATGAAGCCGACGTCAAAATTCTGTATGGGAACGAAAAATTAGAACCAAGCGTGAATATCCCCAAGTTGGATCCAACAATGATGTCTCAGTTCGAATCAGGTACGGTGGCCAAGTCCATCAGACGAATAATTCACGGCTTATTCCCTGAGCTACCAAATTTCACAGACGATGACGACCTGTTCTCCGTTGGCGTGGACTCTGTAATGATTGGACAACTGCTAAGCCATTTGAAAGGGGGCATGGAAGGATACATAGGTATTTCCGGAATTGCTCATCTGACGTGATACCTTAAACCGTCTGCTGAATGGATCTCAGCACATATTAGGGAGCGATATAGCCGAGTCAGGTACCCCAACTTCCTTGCAGCATGGAAATGTCAATCACTGGCAGGGTCCGATATAGAGTAGATTGACTACATACAGACCTAGGCCTGAACCGAGATCTCCTGCGCCTTTGCCGCAACAGGGCTTGGGGCACCAGGCTGAGCCTTCTCCTCCACCGGGTCATCGGCACCATCTTCCTTCATGCCACCCAAGATCATCGACTTAGGTGCCATAGCCTGCCACTGCCATGGATCGGTGAAAGCCTTGAACTTCTCATCGTGCCACTGTCCGGCAGTAATGTACCTGCCCTCGCTATCCATGAACATGGTGTCATCCTCAGCGCGGAGGAAGTAAGCAATAGAATAACGGTGCTCCGTGGGGTCGAAGGGAACGACGCGGTGAATGCAAGACTGCATCTTCATGCCACTGGCGAAGCGGAGGGAGTCGCCAACATGGACGAAAGCGCAGCCCTTCTTGGGGGCAACGAATCCCATCTCACGGGCACCGCAGGTCCCCGGTGGGCGGATCTGGAGTCCCCACTGCTCGCTGAAGAGAAGGGTCAGAGAACTAATGTCGGTGTGCTTCTGGTGGCCCGTGTCTTTCTCGCCAGTCACTTCCGAGGGAAGGTAGTGCATCATGGAAAGCTATGGGCTGTTAGCGTTGCTTGCACAAGTAATTACAGAAGAGGAAACTGACGGTGGTAGTGGAGGGGCGGTCATTCCTGTGGTGGTTTTCAAAACGAGCAGCTCCGGTCAGGTTCATGCCAGTGGAGAGGGCCGACAGAATAACCTTGGTGACGGTGTTGCAGCTGCCGATGGTGTTTTCCAAAATTTGCAAGTCACCATTGTTCTTGATTGGCGACGGAACCTTGGGGCTTCCCCTTTGGATTTCGTCGCGAGAGACTTTCAACATCTCATATCCATCTTTGGTGCCAGCACCAAAGGCGCCCGTACGGCTACCCACGGGCTCGTAGCCGAGATGGGAAGAGATCAAGCCATACTCGTTCTTCTGCTCGATGGGGGCCTCGAAGAATCGGTGCATGAGCTTGAGAGTCTCCTCACGGTCAGCAAGCATGCGTCGGCCATCAATGTTGTTGAGGTCGAGGTAGAAGTAGCCATCCTCAAGGCAGGCGTTGAGGCACTTGTCCACCTCGGCGGGATCCTGGGAAAGGAGCAGTCCGTAGTCAATGGTCTGCATAGGCCAGACCGGGACCTGCTTACCCCTCCATTCGACGGTCTGCGGGGGATCAATTGCGGGTGCCATAATGGTGAGTAGAAAGAGTCAAGTGTAGTGGTTGGGTAGAGTTCAGGTCCTTCTCGATGAGAGTCCAGCTCGCCGAAACGGCAACGTCCCACCAGGTCGTGTTTATATATGTAGACATTCTAGTAGACTTGGTATATTAGAAAGTGCTATGCGTCGATTACTGCTAAGACGTGATCATACGAGTGAAGATTGATTAATTCATTTTTTAATGAGATAACATGGTAACCATTCTTGAGCTAGACTGAAGTTTTGCCAGTCGCTACCAGAGCATAACTGGCTGGACTTTTTGGTTTCCCCGCTCTCTGTTTCGTGTGGGGGATACCACATTCTCCCAAAGTGGTTGATCCCCACCCCGCTGTCGGCATCTGGATAGATTGCAGGCCATGCTCGAAGCGCCGCACGTGGGGCTTAATATGCGGTATATGCTACACATGGCGCGAAATCAGCGAATGTTCATTCGTCCAATCATCGTCGTCACTAACACATCTGAAGCAACCAAGGCCGCATCCTGATACAGGCCCCGCGTACCCTAGGGTAGCCAACACTCGTCCCCGCATCTATGCTCGCCATGACGGTAGCCTTGGTACTATACAACACGGCAAAATCAGTAGTAGTTACATCAAATTCCTGCTCGAATACTGGACTGCTCTGACATCATGCAAACTCAAAGAACTTGCTCAACCAAGAACAAATTTAGCCGTCATAGCAAACAAGACAGCGAACCTCAATGCTTTGCCTAGACTCCCGGTCACGGTGGGCAGGATCCTCGAATGCCGAATGCAAACATCTCCTTGCGACCGTCGTGTCTGAGTCGAAACACTTGATGAGAAGTACGTCTTGGGGTGTCATGCCGTGCTTGTAAAACCAGCGATGATTGGGATTATGTCGAACAACCCAAGACTCCCCCTTGAAGTTGTCTTCCGTCATCTCTGCCCCGACAAGGTCGGCATCCGGGACCGAATCTGCGCTGGCGACGGCAATGGGATCTTTGAAAACCTTCTCGATCGGTCTCCAGATGTTGATAATCTGATACCTTCTTTTTACCAGCTCATCGGCCTCATCAGGAAACTCCCACCTTAACCTGAGCTCAGCTCCGGCGTAGGACTGGTCAACATGTGTTCTTGTGACTGGGCCACGATTCGCGAGATTCTTCAGGCCCAAGTGGTGCCACTGGGTAGGTCCACGGCGTACTTTGTGATTGAAGATATGAACGCGGCTGGCTCCAGTTATATCTTTGAGAAGTAGTTTGCATTCCTGATAATACTTGGACCGGATCTCTTTCTCGTCTGTGAAGTCTTTCTCAGAACTCTCATGATGGCAGTACTGGAATCCGTGACTATCGAGAGTGTATTTCTCTTCCTCGCCGGTTATGTCTGTCACCAGAAAGTGGTGAGGGCGGTGCGGCCGTTCATTCGTGATTCTTCCTTTTCCAATGAAGATGGGCGTCGGAGGTAAGCCGTCTCCAGGATCGTCCCAGTAATTCAGTGTCGTTTCCACATGGTGCTTCGCTGGAAGATTTGTGCTGGCCAACATCTGTGTTGCATGCATTTTCAATGTTGCTGGTGACGGCGACGGAACCGTAGTACGCAGAAGTGAGAACAATACTGGCATCCAATGCCGGAGGGCAGCTTGGCTTATCCTACCCTAGAATGAACTAACCGAGAATGCTGTGGAGGGTGATGGTCCGACCGGCAATTCTCCCTAGCTTTGCACAGGTCGGATCAAATCATTTATCGCAAACCCTAGGAAAATCAGCCTGAACCCCGTGGCATATACGAGGTACTGAAGTACTTGCCCAAGGGTTCTCACCATCCTTTTCGTGAACGCCACATCAAAGCATCACTGCTGCTGCGGACATGGAAACTGGCGCAACATGTTCTGCTAAGTTGGAAATGGAAAAGAGTGAATTGGAAGAAGAAGGATATGTTCTGGTGCAGAAGAAAAGGCCACACAAGCAAGATGTGGTTCAAAACACATCGAAGGAGTACCTCGCGGAGATCGAAGATTACATCCAAAAAGTTGCGACATCGATATGGCACCTGAACAACTTCATACACGAAAACCCCGAGCTGGCGTTCCAAGAGTACAAAGCACACAGAGCATTGACCGGTTATATGAGATCGCGGAAAGGGTGGCATGTGACGATGAATGCATATGGAATGGAGACTGCTTGGGTAGCAGTATACGACAGTGGGAAAGCAGGACCTGTCGTGTCCTTTAACGCTGAAATGGGTACGAGATCTGTTATCTCTATAATCAACGGTCTCCACTCACAGCCTCAGATGCGCTACCAAACCTTGGCCACGCGTGCGGACACAACCTCATCGCTACTGCGTCGGTGGCCGCTGCCATTGCAACAGCAGAGCTTATGGAAGCGCACAGCCTAGCAGGAAAGATTCTCTTGTTCGGTACCCCTGGAGAAGAAGGCTTCGGTGGCGGCAAAATCCGTCTTCTCGAGGCAGGCGCCTACTCAGGAGTTGACGTCTCCCTAATCTCACACCCAGGCATTTCGAATAATAGTGCGATGGTCCGCACAACCGCATTTGCCCGCCTTGAGGTTGAGTTCTTTGGACGTGCCGCGCACGCAGCCAGAAGTCCATGGGCTGGTATTAATGCTCTCGACGCCCTGGTGATTGCATACAACTCTATATCAGCTCTACGTCAACGAACAATGCTGATGGATGTCATCGGTATGAGCATCACCAACGGGGGAGGGCCGCCGAACATCATACATCCATATGCTTCCGGGGTTTGCGTAATTCGAGCAGCCAGCGCGTCTCGGCTTGAAGAGCTCCAACGAAGTGTTAGCGCTTGCTTTCGCGCTGGGGCAGAGGCTACGGGAGCCAAGGTGAACATAAAGATCACTCCGGGCTATGCTGACCACGTCCCGAATAGTGTTTTGGCGGCCTCATATAACAAATATTGGAGTTTGTTGCCAGATCCTCCAGAGCCTCCAATTCCCCCTCCCGGCCAGTTCACCTGGGTGAAAGCAAGCACTGACCAGGGCAATATCAGTTATGCCATGCCAAGTGTGAATGCTAGCTTCGCAATCCCGCCAGGCGCAGAAGGAGGACAGCCGCACAGTCCAGACTTCGAAAAGGCGTCAGGCACGAAGGGGGCCTTCGAGCGAGCGTTGAGAGTAGCGAAGGCATTGGCAGGGACGGCAGTCGACGTACTTGCAACTCCCGGATTGATCGACCGAGTAAAAGAGCAATGGAGAAGAGATATGGATAGCATGAAGACGGCCTTGCAGAGCACGGTCGATGATGAAAACACGTGAAGAAGGCTTTTGACGAAGAAAAAAGTTCCTGCATGGAACAAAATATATAAATAAGATGGGCGTCCACGTCTTTAAGGTGTTGTAAGTTCTATTCGGATAAGATTTCCTAGCCCCATTAGCGTTGGGATGGTTGTCGATCCATGACTTACCTTGGACGGGCTCCATGTCTCCACAATGGCACCTTTCGAAGAAAAAAGTCTTTTCAGAAACAATCCTCAAGAAAAATGGCATCATCCACACTCGACATAACCATTGCTCATCTGGGCGACCTTAAAGTGGGCTACCGCCTGTCGAACGACAAGATCGACCCTAAAAAGGCCACCCTCGTGTGCATCAACTCCATGTGCATGACCGCAGCGCTTTTTGAACCTCAATTCCAGGACACGCAGTTGACATCGGCCTGCAACATTCTGGCGATCGAACCCCTCGGCCATGGAGCTACTTCGTTCCCCACCAAAGCGGAGCACTTCAACTACTGGGATACCGCAATCATGGCACTCGAGGTTATGTCCAAGCTAGGCGTAGAGAAAGCATTTGCCCGGGGCACCAGCCAGGGCGGGTGGATGGTAGTCCGCATGGCGCTGTTGGCGCCTGAAAGGATCCTCGGCTTGGTCCCACTGGGTACTTCGATGGAGGCAGAGACGACGGAATCCCAAAGCAAAGGCTGATGGGACCCGGTGCCTCTCCTGAAGCCGTTCGCCGATAAATGGGCCAGTGTGAAGCCGACGACTGAGTTTGAGATCGACGACGTTTGGTGTGGGATGGTGGCTAGCTTCGGATTTGGACCCCATGCTACGGAGGCTTCGACCGAATTTTGGACATCCACGCTCAAACGGATCTATAAGGGCGATGAAGGGCGAAAAAAGGCGCGCATGGCGCTATTGTGTCTGCTCAGCCGTGATGGGTTGACATTGAGGCTGGGGGATGTGAGGTGCCCTATTTACTGGCTCCAGGGTACGGAAGACGTGCCCTACGGGGCTCAGATGCAACAGGGGCAAATTAAGCTATTCGGGAGCATGGAAAAGACCCTGAAGATTGTTGAGGGGGGCGCTCACTACCTGAACGCTACGAACGCGGAGGAGGTTAACGAAGCTGTACTGGAGATGTTGAGCAAGCGTGCTCCGAAGTAGCTCCAAATTTCTCCATCTTACGGCGTTATCCAACCAGCAACTCTTTTTTTTTTTTTTTTTCGATCACCGCCAATTACTCTCTACAGTCGCACTGCTGCCACAGGTGGGCACTGTATACACCCTGTTTTCCCCGCTTTCCCAAGTTACACCACCACCACCCGCGACTCGGATGAACTTATACTGGATAGCTTCGCCCGGGTGCAATTTCAATTCGACGTCCCACACTGGACTGCTCGCCATGTACATTGATGAGGAAAGCGAAGGCGCTTTTGCCGGATCCCAGTTTCCCATCGGAACCACATTGCCAGCGATTTTGATCGTCTCGCCATAGGTAGTCATTGCCATGTGCTTAAAATTGACAGAAACCGAAGTTGGACATGCAAATTGTCCACTGGTGGAAGTGGGTGCGGTACCAGATGCTTCGGGATTCGTGCCGCCCGTAGCGCTGAGCAAGACAATAGGTTCGCCGTTCGTGACATCAAGACAGATATTCCCGTTACCGTCGGAAGAACTGGTATTTCCCCCAAAGACACTGGACCACTGTTTGTTTGGCCTCTTCGTATCGAAGCAATGTTTGCCCGAGCTGCCCTTGCCAGTGTTGGTGGTGAGCACTATGAGGTTCCCATCTGCACGGCTCCAAGCATACGCATTGCCGGTGACGTATAGGTTCACCATGTCATTTGCAGAAAGACCACCAGCCAAGTTCTTTGCACGCAACAGCCGCTTGATTGTCTGATAGAGATCCGACTCGCTATTGAAGCTGCTGCGCCAGAGATCCTCGCGGTTGGCTGGGTCGGCACCACCGGCATATCCCTGCTCGGTGCCGTAGTACACTATAGGAATCCCACGAGAGAGAATGACAAACGCAAGGGCATTCTTGAGCAGAGAGGTGTCGTTCTTCTGATTCAGCCATCGCGGATTGTCATGGTTGTCGAGAAAGGTTCCCAGTGCAGCTGGATCTGGAAATGTGGTGTCAATGGTCGCTAGCATGTCAACGAGTGTCTCTGCGGAGCCTTTTTGCTGGTAGAAGCTGTTCATGGGGTAATACACCGCGTAGTCCAGTAGTCCTGGCATTAGCGACGCATATCCGGCCAGGTAACTGGGGTTCCCATCGAAGACTTCGCCAATAGTATAGACCCCGGCTGCAGATACGAAACCTGGGAAGAAGTCTTTCTCGACATGCTTGACTGTGTCGAGACGAAAGCCGTCAAATTGGAATTCTTTAACGAGCCAGCGAATCCAGTCCTGAAACATAGCGCGAATATCCGATCGTTCTGTGTTGATGTCCGGTAAGCCGGCGATACGACATTTCTCAATGCTACTTTGGTTAGAGTAGTCGATGTTACAGTCGGCGTGGTAGGAATTGGAGTCATTGAGCGGGGCTGGCTTGTAGGTGGAGATAGAGCCGCTGCCCATGTGGTTGACTACGACGTCGACCATGACAAAGATACCCTGGTGCTGGTTAGAGACATCTGACAAAACCGTGGAAGCCGTATTACCTTATTGTGAGCCGTATTCACAAGGCTTTTGAGATCATCAGGAGTACCATACTTCGGGTTGATGCTATACAAGTCCGAAGCCCAATATCCGTGGTACCCGCCATCGGTGTCTATGGAGTATAAGCGTAAAACAGTCCGCTGAAGGCCGCCTCATACTTGCTACAACAGGAGTGATCCATATCGCATCGAAACCCATCCCTTGGATGTAGTCAAGCTTCGACTCTAGGCCTTTGAACGTTCCTCCGCAGTACTGCTTCAGGTTCCCGCAGGGAACCCCGCCATTGTCGCCAGTGTTCCGGGCGATGCGGTCGGTCAGGGCAAAATATATGCTCCGTGACTTCCAGGCATCGGTGCTCGCTGCAGCTGCAAGCGCAGGTTGCTGGAGGAGGACAGCGAATAGAAATTTCAGAAATTTCATCCTAGACTTGACCCTTTGCTGACGAGCAGAGGTGAAGACATCCTCCTTTAAATCTGCTCACGATACCTTGTGAGAACATAATATGCCACCGCAGGAGAAATTGGTCATAAACATGGAGAGGGCAATCTCTTGAGGTCGGCGTGTTTGTCCGGATAAGGGGATTGAGATCTTCCTCGGGCAGCAACGTTCCCAGGAGACCGTCCAATTAAGAGGGGAGTGGATTCGGTCCGTCTTCTCTGAGGGGTAAATTGTGCGGGGAAGATGGAGCGTCCGCGGTCTCACATCACCACTTTCACATGCAGATTCTAGTCCGGATGGCACGGACGATAGTTCGAGGTCGTTTCGACGTCGTGAATGGTCCGGAGAATAAGTGAAAGGGGCAGCGAGACCGTAAGCGAGGTCGCTCTCCAGCCTTGTGATTAATTTCCGCAAAGATGAAAAAAGGCATCCACTGTGAATCATGACGGAAGGAAACCGGTGCCAAGTCGGGGAAGCGCCTACTCATCGCAGGACCGCCTACTGTGTATATAGACGGAAGAGGATGGTGCGCTTTATTCAGGTTCCACGATCCGGACAGGGAACGCGGAAGAGAATGTCCGGTACCTCATAGTAAGCGAGATAAATGCTCTGAACTCTTCGGCTTTAAGACGGGTAAGACGTCTCTTTGCTCTTCTCGGATAGTCGGAGCGAGAAAAAAGCCCCTACAAAATCTCTGTATTTCACCCCTATTTTCTCTCGCAAGAATCAAGCACTACAACTGGGTGATCATGCTAGAGTGCCAATCTTCCCAGTCACCCGATGCGGCGACGAATGGGAAGAGGAAAGCTCATCGAGTCACGTCATTGGCTGGAAAGATGTTTTACTAATGTTCACGAACAACTAGTCTGTTATACTGGAGAAGGTGTCACACGCGACAAAGCATTCCATCCTGTGTCTGCACCCCCCTCTCTCCATCTTGGACAACCCAATCCTCGCTGCCCACGCCATGATGGACATAAAACAGGCCAGTAGGGTCCCATTTCTGTTTAATGCTCAGCAACCTTGCATAGTTATCGCCCCAGAACGCTTGCTGCCAGTTGGGTTCAGAAATATCCGCCTCGTTTCCATACGCACCTCCTAAGGGCGTGACTTCACGGATTGGTCCAAGAATCTCGTTTGTGAAGTACTCATTTCCTGCTTTCAGTCCGGCAGGCGACATATCCGTGATGGAGTTGATAGCAATGATCATGCCGGCTTCATTGCGGAATGCAGGATTCACTGAATTGGCAACGGTTACGTCAGATGAAGGTGCTTGGTGATAGCCTTGGATGAGAAGTGCCTTGTCAACTGCGTCGCGAACAGCGGCGAAGGTGGCATTTCGGAGTGCAGCATCCTCCCAGTTTTCTTTGGGCAGGATACGGGTACCAGGCGTCGACCCCGTGTTTCCGATAGCGAAATCGAGCGTGGCAAAGGTGGCCTGGTAAGCTGGGTAAAAGCTTGTGTGGTATTTGGTTTCGATGTTGTAGGGGATACCAAGGGCTGACAATTTTGCAAAGAATGGTGCAGTCAGGCTGTTGAACTGCTCCACAGTCATCTTGGTGGCGAAAAATGGGTTCATGTCGAAGACGTAAAAGCCAGGGAAGGGCCGGATCACGGTGAAGTACGAGTACGTCTTGGCGGCGTTGTACTTGGGCATCTCGTCCCAGAAGAATTTTACAGCTTCCCAGAAAACTTCCGGACCCACGGGACCAGAGGTAAAGCTCCAAACGCTGGTGGTTACTGGAATCTTCGGATGGACCTTGACGACGGCGGAAGTGATGATGCCAAAGGTGCCTCCTCCACCTCCAAGCATAGCCCAGTAGAGGTCAGAGTTCTTGTTGGGGGAAACAGTGACGAAGCGACCGTCGGCTGTGACGACTTGAAGCTCAAGAATCTGATCGGCACCCATACCGAAGAGCTGCATGACGGGGCCGTGACCTCCACCACTGGTATATCCACCAAAAACGCCGACGCTCTGACACGGGTTAGGGGTTTTCTACGAACTCCAGATTGAACTTACAGGACAGATACCCGCAACGGCGGTCACGCCATGCCTTTCCGCAGCCTCATACAACTCGAATCCTTGAACGCCGGCACCAACTTTAAAGACAGGTCCGCTATAGGTCGAGCTTGTATAATTCGGCACATACTGGATCTTCTTCAGGTTATGTGTCCACAAACTGAGAGCATGCTTGCCGGTTGAGCGCCCATTGTAGTCATGCCCGGTATTCTTGATGACCAAACGGAGGTTGGATGAGCGCGCAAAGTTGACGGCGAGCTGGATTTGAGCGACATTGCTCACGTGGACCGAGTAGGAAGAGTAACCTCCCAGGGTGCAGGCTGAGGATGCTGTTTTATCCGTCCCTTGAACGCAAGTCTCACCGTAGAAGAGGGGAAACATGATGGAGGAGTCACTGTCCGCGTGCGTTCGATCGACGTGCCACTCATTCGTGATCTTCGCACATTGAGCCGCATCGTAGTTGTTGAACTCAGAGTTCGGATAGCAAACGGACGCAATGGGCACGACTTTCTCAAGTGCCCCACCTAGAAGTCGATTGAAAACATCCCACCTCTCGGCATTCGGCCATCGCGGATCCCCCGGCGTGGATTTGCATCCTGAGCTCTGCTGTCTGCGCAGACGTCGACGCCTTCGTTGCGAGGTTGCGCTACCCTCATCGCCGAGAGTGCTGTCTGCGAAGGCGAAGAGGTCTGCGTACTCGGCAGTTTCCTCGTTGGTTAGAAGCTCGTTAACGACTTCGTCGGTGATCTGCAGCGTCTCCTCTGTGAAGAGTTTGACTCCGGCTTCAGGCGGTGTTTCGACAACGGTTGCCGCAGGTTCAATTGATGAAAAGACGAGCGAGGATTCCGGGTCTTGCGCGCGGGCGATGTAGAAAGTGGCAGCGGCCAAAGAAATCAAGAGAGTGGCTGCCCGCATGTTGGGAGGAAGATTATTATTATTATTATAGAAGAGTAGGGAGACAAAAGAAAGTTTGGGCGAAAAAGAGGTGAGAGCGGATTGAACGTCCGACGTGCGGGTTTTAACTGGATGTTCGGCAGAGTCATGGCCCAAAGTGTCTCCATGCAAGTGATGGGGAATTTCTTCATGGAACAATTCTAGCACGAGTCAAGGAATGGTGGTTGTCGTTGCGATTCACGATGCTGATAGATGGCGATACTGAATCCGTCGATGGCGCCTGATTCGGATCGCCTCGCGTGGAAGCGTTCAGTCCACGGTGACCCAGCACGAGAACCCAAGCTATGACACTGAGTCCTGTCAAAATCTTCTGGTCAACCTTAAATGGAACTAATAAGCTGTAGCTACCATGCTGTAGAAGACTCATGCCGTACAAGCCATGTAATAAAACATCAGCTTCAGAAGTAGATATGCTTACAGGTCCTCGCCCCTAAGAGAGGTGGCAGCAACAAGACACGATATCTTTCTGAGGCCGGAGCGATTACCGAGGTACAACTAGTTTCGCAACCATCTGCTAGATATGCTAGGGTCCCACGTGGTGGCGTGCGTGGGAAGTGAAAAGGCGCGAGTCCACAGTGGACCCTTCATGTGGGACTTGTTATAGGGTAGCTTGCAGCACGGCCCTGTAGTAATTATACTGTAACCAACTGCATCCGTAACTCTCAACCGCCCTTCCAGATCTAGGCGACTCCTTTCGTGGGTAGAAGATATTTATGACGATAACAAGCACGTGCTTCTACCTATCCATCTGAACGGTGGCCGTATTCTTGTCGCTCATGCCCACAAGTTCCGATTTCGTTGCCACCATGAGGCAAAGCTCTTCAAGGCTCTTACTCTGCAATATCTCAAAGACCGCAATCTCCGCCTCAAATTCCTTTCTGCACCAGTAGCGGATTTCCACGGAAACAAGCGAATCGACTCCATATGTATGTATGGGTCTCGCGACATCGAAGTCTGAAGTTGGCATGCCCAACGCTTTCGACAGCTTTTCAACCAGCCCATTGCTGATTATTTGTCCAGCCTCCTTGTGGGATGCAGCTTGCCGAACGAGAGCACGATAATCTACCGTGTCTTTAAAGGCACTCGTTTGGGTAGATTGGCTTCTATCCATCTCAGACAATCCGCGGAAGATGGGTTTCCGCATCCAGAATATTTCATCAAGCCCTTTGGCGGCGACGGACGCGGGCGTCGAGATTCCTGTGATAATATGCGCGTTTCCTGCCGTCAACTCGAGTCCGGGGTCACAAGCCCACTCCAGTAACGCGTGGAATTCTGACTCGCTGATGCCTTCATAGCCTGATGCCCGGAAAGAGTCAGTGATATGTTGTCGTTCAGCGGCATACCCGACTCCAAGCATCAAGCCAAGGTCGATAGAAAGGCACTTCTGGCCCTGAGCCACAAGATGTTTCGCGAATGCGTTCTGAAAGGTGCTTGAGCCAGCGTAATTTGATTGACCTCGACTTCCAAAAATGCCGGTTGTGGAAGAGAGCAGAAGAAAGAAATCCATGTCTGTTGGCATGGTCTTCTGAAGGTTGATGGTTCCATGGACTTTGGGCTCCAAAGCGCCTTTGAACATCCCATAATCCATGTTCTCGAACAAAGAGTCCTGTAACTCGTCAGCGGCATTGTTATATGAGCACTCAATCCAACTTACCCGGAGAACCATAGAGGCCTGTATGCACCCCTTAATGGGCGGCATTGACTGTGAGCAATCTCGTATAACTTCTTCCAGGGCATTCATGATGGTAATATTACACGCTGGCGCCTTCACCTCTACTCCTCTGCGCTTAGCCTCTGCAATCAGAATTGCTATACTTTCGCTCTGTGCTCCGGAACGTCCGAGAAGGACGATATACCTCGCTCCTCTATCCATCATCCAGCGGGTGATGCTCCGTCCTAGCCCACCAGTTCCTCCAGCAATGACATAGGTTGCCGCTGGACTAAATTTCCATTTCGCCTTGGGGGAAGCCACGACCGGAACAACGTCTTCATCTTCAAGCCGTATGACCACGAACGAGAAGAAATTTCCCCCGTTAAGGCACCTAAAGGCATCCTCAAGCTGAGATGCCGTGAAAGACTTTATGCGTTGAGTAACAAATGGACGTCGACAGGCTTTGTAGGCATTCAAGCCCTCCTCGAGGATCCTTTGGGCCAGATTCTTTGCTTTGTCAAGCATGTCAAGGAGGTTAACGCGAAATACGGATATGTTGTTCTCCGAAATTGGATAGCAGTCATTCCTCTCAAGTGTGCTGTCTCCTGACACGTCGATGAATCTGCCAAAGGGAGCCAGACATCTCATCGATGGGCCCAGGGATCCCTTGGAGGGAAGACCGAGCACTATATCTACTCCTTGAGCACGGGTTATGCGGTGTATGCCGTGTTCAAAGGCCGCATTTCGACTGGAAAGGATATTGTTCTCATCGAGCCCGTACTCTTCGATCAGCCACGACTGTGCCTCTTTACACTCGACAGTAACAATAACATTAGCGTCTTTGAGCTTTGCAAGCTGCAAGGCAGCGCTTCCAATCGCGCTAGTTGCATCATGAATTAGAACGGTCTCCCCCTGGCGGAGTTGCGCCAGCTGGATAAGCGAGTAATATGCCGTGCACCATGCGACCGGAACTGAAGCGGCTTCCTCGAAACTCATAGTCGATGGTATCTTGTGAATGATGATGTCGCGCGACCTGATAATCGTTGTGAAGGCATTCTTGGCCAAACAACAGACGCGATCGCCAACCTGAATGTTTTCTCTTGGAAATTCACTCCCCACGCGCGAGACGACTCCAGCGCACTGGTGAGATGCAATAGACCCGTTGGTCGTCCGATGAATTCCCACCGCCTTGACAACGACTTCTACCCCGTCACTTTCCACTAATCGATCATCAAGATCTTCCACAAAATGGAATTTTGAATTGAATCCATCAGTATCCGAGAGAAGTGTGAGTGCCCTATCCCTTTTGCTTCCGAGGGTAACCTTCGACGGGGGTTGCGGGACCGTGGCATGCGATATCCTGTCACTGAGAAAGTTACACTCCACGATTCGGTTGATGTGCAGTTCGCCATTACATTCGGCAAACTCCTGTTCCAGCTCATTTGTAGGAGCGTTGCAGATTTTGAGGATCTGTTCTGCAGCCATCGCAGCATTTCCGAAGTTTTCGAGTGATAACGTCGTCAGTGTGAGCGTGGCGATTTCTGAAGTCAGCGTTCGTGCGAAGCCTGTCGTCACGCCTGCCAATGGATCAAGCGTCGACTCTCCAGTTACCCAGACCACTCTTCTCATCTTGTTCACTGCATATTTGAGTGAGAGGAATGTTTCGGGAGATAGCCTATGCAGGGCTGGATTCCCCAGTTCGAAGAGCAAAACAGTAATCCGATGCTCGAGTACCTTGTCTTCCATGGCTTCTAATGGAAGTATCTCCCACGCTCCATGCTGTCGGATCTCCTCGGCGATTGAAATCTGCACTTTGGAGTCGGGGTCAACGATGACGACGCCGTGTGGAGAACAGCTAGGAGTGTTTGGCAACACTGGGGAAGGATCAACCGCAGTCGACACAATCACACTAAAAGTGTGAGACCCATCGTCGAAATCTTTCAAACATAGGTCGGCGCCCGAGAAACCGTTCTGTCGGAGCACCGCATCCCAGTCTGTATCAGTCAATAATGGACTCCAGCGGCGGGAATCCTCCTCCGCCAGCCACCATCCTTCTAGAAGCCCAAACACGAAGGGCAGACGCGTGCTCATGGGCTCCGTGGGTTCGAAGAGGATGAGTTTCCCACTGGGCTTTAGCAGAGAGCGCGTGTTTCTCAAAGTGTTTGAGATGTTCGAAGTAGCATGCAGGACGCAAGATGCGATGATGACATCATAGGCCCCAACAATGAAACCTTGATCACTGGGGCTCTTCTCAATATCAAGTGTCTTGAATGACATGCGGTCGGAAAAGTGCTGGAATCGCTCCTTTGCTGCCTCGAAAAATCCAGGAGATATGTCGGTATAGTCGTAGGCGTGATATTTTGGCGTACTGTGAGGGTCACATGGATCCTGTCCGATGGTTTTCATAATCGCAGCCGTAGCTCCCCCGGTTCCGGCACCGATCTCTAGAATCGACATGGCGGGAGTCTTGTGAGCTAGGAGATCTAGGTACGCGCTCATTTTTTCATAATTCGCTAGAAAAGAGGGTCCGCTATAGAAGGACTGTAGCAAGTCCCCTCCGAAAAGCAAATCAATTACATCCACCTCGCCGCGTATGATGCGAGGAAGTTCTGAGCCAACGGTCGTATATACCTTCCCTTCGGGGCCACTATCTTCCACGCACGACACTATAGCGGCTTTAGGAGAGTTTTCCCCAAGTAGATCAGTCATCCCCCGGGCTCCAAGGTACCTCTGCACCGCTTCTGTCTTCAGATGGTGTTTCATCCATTCAGTGTATTTGTGGATGTGAGGCAGTTTGGAACGAGTTGCTTCAGCCAATTCCAGGCTTCTGGCCATGAAATGCAGGCACACCAACTCGGCGTCATCGACGACAGTGGCATCCACTAATTGCAACAAGGGCATTGCCCTGGTGTTACAGTAGTTTGCCAAACTCTGAAGACTCGCAGAACTGACGTCCAACTTCCATGACTCTTGAAAGCATATCCGTCTCCACTCTGAACTTTCATGCGCTTTCAACGTCGATATCGCAGCGCAATGATACCCGTCGAAAGTGGCTAGCAATTCCCCGCCTGCGGACGTTGACGCTGTGATTGTGAAGTCGAAATTCCGCGATCCCGTCTGTACAGATGTCGTGGTCAGAAAAATATCTGTATTCTCTTGGTCAAGAAGTTTGGCAGATAGCCAAAGGTCCCGGACTCCGTTCGGGATCATGGTGGGTATCGCTTGCCAGCTGCCCTTCGAAACGGCAACCAACGGAAGCTGGAACATGGCGTCGAGCGGGATGGGATGAAGTAGGTACTGCCGGGGCAGGTCAGGCCTTCCTCTCCACGGCTGTAAGTCGACTGTTGCTGTCGCCTGCCCATATTCGCTGAAGTGAATCTGGGATAATGACCGGAAGCTGGACCCAAAGGAATAGCCATACTTCTCAAGATTGTCGTACATATGCTTTACCAGTACTGTGCGTCCACACTCGGATGCAGTCTGCTGGTGACCTTGGAGTCTCGCTCGGCGCGCGAATTGTAGCTCGTGGTCATGCTCAAAGCCATCCTTGAGTTCTTCGGTCTCGAATTCCACAACAACAGACCCTCGGCAGGCTTCCATCCATTGATCGTTTTCCAGGCCAAATACTCTGAATCTCCACGATGTTTTATTAGAACCAGTGCGCTCCCTCTGGAGAGAAATCTCTGTTTGGACGGTATCTACGTCGGCTGGAAAGATTAGCGCTCGGGATATGAGTAGATCGTTGATTCTGAAACCAGATATCAATTCGGCGGCTGTGGCGGCAAGTTGCCGTGCAGCCTCGACGGCCATGAAAACCATGCCACTTGCAGGCAGAAGCACTGAGCCATTGATCTTGTGATCCTCAATCCACGGTAACTCTTGTATGCGAATAGTATTCCTCCATTTTGCGTCGAGGGGGTTGAAGTATGGGTCCTGGCTCCCCAGGATATTACAGCGGGGATATTGACGGAAGCGAATATTCTTATTCATACGGCTCTCATGCCAGAACTTGCGTGTGTGGTTGAAAGGGTACTGGGGGAGATGCGCCAGCATATTCGCACGTGAAGAATCAATACCGTTCATAGCTATTAGGTCGACCGGGACGTTATGACACCACAGATTGCCTGCTAAAGTCAGCATGGTCTGGTAAGCCGAAATTTCGCAGCGCAGACAGGGTGCATAGTGCACCTCTTCTAGGGTTTCGAGGATGGGTCTTCGTAGGGCGTTTGTGGGGCCGATTTCGACGATCCAGTCCTGCGCGCTTGCCTCAATCCCCTCACGCATCGCTAAAAGTGCGGCTGAGAATTGGACTTTGGAGACCATATTTGTAACCCAGTATTCCCCACATTGTAGCTCTTCGATTGATACTTGCTTGCCGGTAACTGATGAGAAGACTGGCGTTGTTTGGGTGGTCATCGGATCGTTAACGCCTGAGAGCCCTTCCAGGTGTGATAGGTACTTCTTGGAAATTCGTTCCATGGTAGGAGAATGATATGCGATATCGACCCTGAGTTCCTTTGCAAAAACTCCCTCGGCTTCGAGGTCTCGTCTGAGCGCATCCAGTCCTGCAGAACTGCCCGCAAGTGTGATATGTTTCGGGCTATTGACGCACGCAACGCATATCTGTCCCTTATCCCTATATGATGAGATAAGATTTTCGACTTCCTTCAGACTCAACGCAACTACCATCATTCCCTCCGCGGGTCCATTCCAGCCACGGTAGAGTTCTGCGGATACTTTCCCTCGATAGAACGCGACTTGAAGTGCGGCTCGGTGCGATAACGCGCCAGCGCAATAAGCCGCTCCGATTTCTCCTGAAGAATGGCCTACTACTGCAGAGGGAGTGATGTTCCAAGACCGCAAGAGGTTAACAAGCGCAATTTGCAATGCTGTAGTGGCCGGTTGCGAGATTTGCGCTTCTAGAATTCGGGAATTCTCCTCACCGCGAGTCAATTCCTCTGAGAGCACTAAAGTCAGCGATCACCCGCCAAACTCGGAGTAAGAGGAAACGTGCAGACACTCCTGTTTCAAGCATGGTATAACTTACCTAAGAGGTCCCACTCGCAACCCATATTACGAAGAATACGGTTGGACTCTGTTATACTGTCCTTGTAGATCGATTCATGCAGTAACTCTTTGCCCATGTCCCACCACGCAGCACCCTGTCCCGTGAATACAAATGCGACTTTTGGTACTCGGCCAGTTGTTCTCACTGGTTGAGACCAGGCTTGGGAGAACTCTTGTAGATTCCCAAGCTCTTCGTCAACGAGGCAGAATGATCTGTATCGCAATTTGTTTCGCTTTGATGCTAGGGTGTATGCCATGTCCACTATGAATTCCTTAGTGGAAAGCTTTGAGTCTTTCTCGCATACAACCTGCAGGCCTTGCACTAGATTTTGCATTGACGGTTCGTCAAAGGTAGAGAGAGGCCAGAGGAACTGTCTGTCATGGACAAAGTGATTTCCAGCCCTCACGCCACGCACGATACCATTTAAGCCGTTCGTTTGAGTGTGGGGAGCTTTTGATCGATTAGACGACGAAGAAGTTGGCTGGGTTGCCTCCCTCGTCTGCTTCGGTGAAGGGACGGCCAGATCTGGTTCATGAGCGGACAGTCCATTGTTACGGGCCGTATCCTCGCAAAGTTCGCCCAACGTACCGCTGGTACCGTTTACGAAAGTTTGTTTCGTCTGTTCGAACTGAGTATTGTGCCTATACTTGATCCCGTTTTTCGTCATATAGTGGTATGCATCATCCAAGATCGCATGCGCGTTTGAGCCACCGTAGCCAAAGGAGTTCAGTGATGCACGTCGGAGACCAGGAGAAGGCCATGTCTGTGGCACCACAGGGAACTACGTCTGACATCAGTACAAATAGCTAGGTGATGGAACAATTCGACATACCTTTACACACCACTCGTCCACCGGTATCCGCGGGTTTGCTTTCTCAAAATTCGCATTCGGCGGGATGATACCCTTCTCTAGCGCCAGCACGGTTTTGATGACACTAGCTACTCCGCTCGCTCCTTCCAAGTGTCCGATATTCGATTTCAAGGCGCCAATTATGATGGGATCCTGTGTGTCTCTCACTTTCCCAAACACTTCCTGGATAGCGGCGGCTTCGGTCGTGTCTCCGGCTTGTGTGCCCGTGCCATGAGCTTCAAAAAATCTGGTGTCGTCGAGGCTGAGTCCAGCTTTGGCATACGCCTCCCGTATTAAGGCTACCTGAGCATCTTTGTTTGGATTCGTAATGCCGGGCGTGTTTCCGTCCTGGTTGCAATGAGTGGCTCTGATGACAGCGCGTACCGTATCCTTATCCTGTATCGCTTGCGAGAGTGTCTTCAGAATGATCACGCCAAACCCTTCGCCTCTGGAGTACCCGTTGGCGCGATGATCAAAACTGTAACAATGGCCATCTGGCGAGAGGAAATTCAGACTGGACATTGCAATCCAAACGTCTGGATTGATCATGATGTTGGCCCCCCCGACAACCGTCTAACCGCCTTTAGAAATTGTATGCCATAGCCCTGTCGAAAAAACATACCATGCTTGAATCCCCAGATTGCAGGCTCTGGCATGCAAGATGCAGCGCCACCAAACTACTGGAGCAGGCCGTATCAATCGTGACGCTCGGCCCTTTGAAATCGTAGAACCAGCTTAGCCGGTTGGAAAGCATTGCCGAACCGCTACCAACAGCATGATATTGATGCTGAGAGTCCGGATCCCTGGCGAGCGTCCAGTCGTATTCTCTACCCATACATCCTACAAACACGCCGGTCTTGGAGCCCGTGACCGTCTCCAACGGGATCCCGGAATTCTCCAGGGCGTGATAGGTGCATTCTAAGAGACCTCTCTGCTGCGGGTCCAAGGCATCGGCTTCATGTTTGGGAACAGCAAAGAACGAAGCATCAAACGCGGCGAGGTCTCCAGATAGGAAGTGGCCAGCTTTGGCTGTTGTGGGGAAAGCATCCACGTTGAACCGACCGGAGGGCACTTTGGTTCTGGTTGAGCGTCCTTCTTCCAGGAGCTTCCAGAACTCCGAAGGCGAGGTTGCGTCTTGGGGAAATCGGCAGGCCATTCCGATGATTGCTATCGGCTCCGGAGTGCCTCCTAGCTCTTCAGCAGACAGATCCACTCCAGCGTCCCCATGGCCATGTGTTTCGACTGGATGAAGGACCATGCTGTTGATTCTGGTTGGCGACTGGATCGGGATGAGCTATCTGACTGTCGACGGCCCGAAAATCGTTCGTAAAACTACAGACTGCAGAGCGACCTCAAGCGAGTTGCCACAAAGTCTCTCGAACAGCAAGAAACTGAGTGGGCGAGTTGTTACGCAAGTAAGGCGGGGCGTAAATACACGGCACCTTCGTAAATATAAGATCTTAGTCCGATAGTGCCCTTGTAGCACCAACGGCAGGGATCATATTCCGTACAGTTGGGTGAGATGAGGTGAGGTTGGCTGCTGGCTGTTGCACGAGACGGGGAGTGATGCACAAGGACATAGGGAGAATAGCACAATGCGAAGCGAGAGGGTATGCTACAACAATATCATCCCTCAACGAAGGAAAGATATGAGCCTAGCCCAGTTTCGGCTATGCCATGGTTTTCATTGACACAAGGCCGTTTGTCCAGAAGTTTCACACTGCGAAGCAGTCACGCAACTTACACTGTAGTGTTAAGCTACCAAAATCAAATGTCCGGACCGCCTCCGTCTTACACGGTACATCTAACAACAGACCACACCGCTTTCTCGCGGTACTCCGTATTCAAGTTTGATTGCCTAATCCAGGGAACCGAGCTTCGACTGGCTACTCGCCCCACGTGCCAACCGGAGGTGTTTGGCACGTGGGGCGAGTAAATCCTCCAGGGCTACTAGGTAGACTAGCCTACTTGAAGGCTAAAGGCAATTCAAGACATTCAAAGCTTGCAAGGTTCGCTTTCGACGAATCACAACGGCTCCCGAATAAACCCCTGCGACCTCTGGCAGCTTTTCTCTTTTCTCTATCTTGGCGTAAGGACGATATGCTCCATGCTTCCTCGCTTCATTTCCATATACAAGATAGGTGGCCGGCCAGTTACGCGGCCCGCTTGAACGATTCCCAACCCCAAACTAAGCTGTATTTAGGATCCTAAGCGGGAGTTATTAAGGACCACCCTACGAGTTAATAGGGACCACCCTACAAAGGTCGCGCGTATAAGAGGAAGCCTGCAAATAACGTTTCTCCGAGACAAAAGTCCCTTCCGCCTCGCTTTCCTCTTATCCCCCCTCCCCCTTTCTCTCTCTCTCTATAAAAAGGGCTTCTTTAGGCAAAGAGAGACATAGCAGTTAGGGCAAGGGTTAGTAAAGTTAGGATTAGGGTTAGAAGATAGGGTTAGAGTCTTAGAGTCTTCTATCTTGTCTTGTGTTGTGTGCGGTAGAGTGTGCTTGTGGGGTGGTCCTATTAACTCGTGGAGTGGTCCTTAATGTCTCCCTCGTAAGCACGTAGCCCATATAGGAATAAGGCGGACAAGAGAAAACTAGTCTACGCTGGTTGGTCCCAACTACCTCCGCTAGTGCATCCCACAGTATGTCTGACAGTTGCAAGGGTACTCGCCGATATTCTTCCAGGTAAATGAGTCAACTCCAATATTCATGTCACAGAAGTCCCTGCCGCTCTTTTCTAGAGACAACGCTCCAAACTTGCCGAGAAATTCCCGATCAAACAGCAGCAAAGCTTAAAGTCAGCTTCATTAATTCCAAACCTTTCCACTAACATCCATCCTAGAGACTTTGACAGTGCCTCCCCGTAAGACGCTCTATAGAACCTTGAAAATACTGTTATACGCGTGTTAGCCTAAGTATAATTGTACGCTTGCAAGGAATTCTCAGCAGACTTAAGAGATGCTGTTTACTTAGGTATCTGTTTTTGCAAAACAGCTGTTAAATTCTAAGATAATGTTAGAGAGAATATACTGTTAAGAAGATGTTAGGAAGCAGGCTCTGTTCAACCTCCTGCCTCTGTTAAGGAGGCTACCTCTGTTAGGAATTTCTATGTTCCTAGGTCTTAGCAGAACTTGCTAGCTGCGTAGGAAGGTAAATGTTCTACGTATCTGCCTAGAAACAGGAAAATAAGACGTGCAGCGCAAAGTTTAGGCCCAGAATACCGCGCGGAGATCTTAATTGCATGCGTGCAGTTTCTGCGCAGTCTTTGCGTAGTCTCTCCGTGCGAAGGAGAGGATTGTATATAGGAAGGCAGGCAGGCAGGCAGCTGCAGGAAGGCAGGCAGGCACGTACCTGTGCAGGAAGGTCCCCTTAAGCTCTAACAGCATGTTAGGACGCTGTTAAGATGCTGTTAGGACGCTGTTAGTACGATGTTAACAGGGCTAGATTTGTTAACATTATATTATCCTACAACAGATCGCCCCTTACGCATTTTAGAACAAGGATGTTAGGGCAAACAGCTACTCGTAGGTAAAAATATTGTTACAAGGGTTACACTTCCATTACAGGTTTACTATGGAGCGTCTTACGGGTCCACAGTTTTAGCACCGCAGTCACGAACCGTTCATAGTCCGCAGTCGCTCCGGATCTCCTCTTAGCTCAGCTTAGCAAATTTCCGGAAGAAGTCCATAACGATAGCGCTAGCTTGAATCTTACTTGGCCCTTGGGGCACCGATATCTGGGAGAAGTTTGGCTCCGTATCGGCCCAGGCATGGCCTGCATGAAGTCAGTTCATCTAGCGTTACGGACACGTAAAAGTAAACTCACCCAGGCTATCGACCTTGTAGTGTTGCAGCGCCGCAGGAACACCACCGCAATCCCAAGAAAGATGATGTACATCACCGCCGTGGGAAGTCTCCTCGGTCCTATTACCGCAGGAATTGCGCTCTGCCCACCAGTCCGACCTAAGAGGAAGTCAGCAGAGATGCCATTGCAATTGTGCAAGATCTAAATACCAGCTTGGAATCGGAGGTAGAGGTCCACCTTCACCTTGGCCGCCTTCGTACTTGACGACTTTGTCACTGCCGCCGTGGATCTCAAGGATGGGGATTGGTTTGCGAGCAGGGTTGCATCCATTGTTTGGCCCATTGACATCAGTGTACAGCGCAGCTGAGTGGGCTGCGAAAGCCGCGAACAGCTTGCTCCCGATGGGGCTGCATACAAGGGTACCAATGAAGCCGCCACCATTCGACATACTAGGCCTGTGAACAGAGATAACGGCTATGATGAAAAGAAATACTTACCCAGCAGCATATATCCGTGACGGATCCACACAGAACTTAGCTTGCAAGTCTGTAACCACATCCTGCACAAAGATGATGTCTTCCTCGACGCTACTACCTTGATGATAAGTCGGACCCGCCCAACTGCCCTGGATTCCATTTGGATAGACCATGATAGTGTCGCCACTGAATCTATCCTGGCTCATCTTCGTATCCAGTTCGAAGAACAAGCCAGTGCTGCTCGATCCATGGAATCCAAGCACGACGGGATACTTTTTGTTCGGGTCGTAGTTGGAAGGAAGGTGGTACGAGTAACTCCGCGATTTACCACTTGACTTCAGGTTAAGACGATACTGCGTGACTCCAGGGAGGAGCTGCGGCTTGCCGCATCCAGTTTTCGGTGTCAAGGATCGGGGCAACGCCGAGATGAGTGGGATAATAGATAGGACAAAGAGCAACCACATCAGCATAGCGAAAGACAAGAGTAAGAGTAAAAACTTATTAGGAACGCAGAAGTGAAAGTGTAGGAGTAGAATAATAGATAACCGCAATGGGTATGCAGTATTCAGGAGTAGGAGTCGCGAATGTTGTTCAGGTATCCTTTTGGAAGGTGGCACTCTTGCGCGCTGATTGGCGGAAGGCGTGTCGAGCAATTTCCTTGATTTCGCCACTTCTTGTTGACGACCCAACAGGACTTCTAACGTTAAAGCCCTTCTCGCACTGTACTCGAGAGGCTCAGATGGCAGTCAGTTCATGAGTGGACTGCCCAGGTGGCCCCGTGCTGGAAGAACACCCACACTCGGTTATGTCGTCACCTTGTTAGTTCACAATGGTGGCAGTGCGTCATGCCATGGCCAACGTTAACGGTGGTGAGACGTCGAGCCCTTAGAGGGCGTCTAGGCCGTCCATACGATGAGCCCAAACTCTATCATTTTTCGATACTGGAAAAGCAGCAAGCCTCTCGGGTTTGAAAATACCACCGCGAGATTTGTCTATCGCGGTGGCGGCGGCTTGCGAATCGAACGTACCTTGCAGTATGTTTCGAGGAACCACCGCCATTGATCATCAATGTAGTAACGGTGAGTGTTTTCAAAGTCCGTGATGGACACGCCGTAGGAAAATATAACGACACGAAAGTCCGAGCAAAGTCACGCCGTCCACCATCTCCATAGATACATAGACAGACACAACGCTAAACCAAAGCAGAAGACGGAAGAGCAGGCTCCGCCAAGCACATAGTGCACACCACAAGCTTAAAACTATCCCCATCAATCTAGGGAAAACCTACATTTGCGTCCTCAAGACCCCGTCTTGCTCGCAATTTCAAATGAAAACGAATATAAAATTTCCCCCACTAGCATCTTACGGCGAGCACATGGACCTGAATAGCGGGTCGACATTCCTGGTGCTGGCCGATGCATGGGCAATGGGCGAAGCTGAGATTTAGGATATAAAGCCATGGACGCGCTTCTCCTTTACAATGGAACCATTGCAACTTCGAGCCCTCGACGCCAATAGCATCTACCGTGACCATGGTCCACTGGATCGCCCAAGTCGCCTTTCTCAACGCCGCATTCGGTGCAGTTGCGAATGCACACGGCTATCTGAAGAACGTCGAATACAACGGAGTCAAGTATCCCGCGTGGCAGGTTGGGCAAGATGAATACTTGACCACGGTTCCCACGCGATATGTCAGACGCGTGAAGGACGTGGGTCCAGTAGCGGACTTCACATCCAAAGACATCACGTACGTAGTGTTCCCCCGCATGCGATCAAACGGCTCATTTACTGACCTCTCATAGATGCAACCAAGGCGGTAACATCCCCGCGACCGGCATCATCGACGTGAAAGCCGGAAGCAAAGTGTACGACACCCCCCATCATCCGCCTCTCTTCCCCACAAGCCAACACAGCCAAGCTAACACTCCCCATCTCCAGCAAATTCATCTGGGACCAATGGGGCTCCTCGCACTCGGGCCCCGTAATGACCTACATGGCCAAATGCACTCCCTCCTGCAGCACCTTCAAAGGCGACACGGGCAACGTGTGGTTCAAGATCGACCAGATGGCGTACGACCCCTCCAAAAACATCCCCTGGGGTTCCGACTGCCTCGCTCGGAATGGAGCCACTTGGACCGTGACCATTCCGCCGACCATTGCGGATGGCGAGTATCTCCTTCGACACGAGATTCTGGGCCTGCATGTTGCTGGTACGCGCATGGGTGCCCAGTTCTACCCGTCTTGTACGCAGATTCGCGTCACGGGCGGCGGGAAGGAGAATCCCACGGGTGTGGCTCTGCCGGGGGCATATGATCCCGATGACACGGAAGGCATCTTGACCGAGTTGTGGATGATTCAGCAGGGAAGGAAGGGCTATACAGCCCCTGGTGGACCGGTGTGGTCTGGGGCTGTGCCTAACACCATGTCCTGTTGAATGCCCGAGTTAAAAGTTAAGCTGCCAATAGAATATGGCCATCCGTAGATTGAGGTGGCCAACATGCAGGACTATCTTCTCCCTCAACAAGACTTTCTTCAATCATGAGCGCGGTGGCGAATTCGGATATGCATTCGAGTGCATATAACAAAACGCAAGCGGCTTCGCAAGCGAAGTGCGGAAAATTCCAAGCATGGAAAATATTACATTGAAGCCGAACTAGCACTACCTATACATCACCCCCTTCCAAAATGGTCATAGTCATCGTCATCTTCATCGTCGTCTCCCAGAAGCGCAGGATACTGTCTATTCCTCAGATCCTGCTCCAGCCCGCCGTCGCTCTCCGGATCCACGTAACCGTTACCACCAACCAAGCTGAGCAGTACGGGTAGTAAGATCAGAGCGTGGGTGGAAGCCCACACGACTAGCGCCACCCAAACACGGAAGTAGTAGATGTCGAAAATCTAGACATGGAATTAGTTCCTTTCAAGGGCATGCATGATTGAGCAAAATCTCACCTTACTCCTCGTCCACGCTAGAACAGCCACGCCTAGAATCTTGGTGATTGTGATGCCCGAAATGACGGAACTCGCAACATTGACGAGAGCAGTCCAAGCGCGAGCGTCACGGCCACGGAACTTGTGTCTCGGGGCACGTTCCATGGTGGCGGGGCTAGGGAAGGTAAAGGCGCGGGCAATGTGGGCGGTGAACTCGACGCTAATGCCGACGCATATGATGAGATTGACGAGTGAAACTGCGTTGAGGGATACACCCAAGATAGCCATGGATCCGATGATGGCGGCGACGGTCATCGCGACTACAAGAGTGACGACAATAGCAGTCATCACGGAGCCAAGGAGGACTGCCGTGACAAGAAGAGTGGCCGCAAATGCTGAGCCGATGAGGGCTCCTGCCAGCCGGATGATGCTGGTGTACTGGTCGAAGAAGATGTAGAACTTGGAGTAGGGGAACACTTCGGTACCGACATCCTTCTTAATCTCGTGGGCAATGCGACGAGCGGCCTTGTAGGCGGCAATAAAATCGTTCTGGGATCGGAGAGGCGTATGCGATGTGCGGAAATGCGATGCAGGTATGGTTAGATGATCGCTGTCAATGATGAGGGAGTTGGAGTATGCAGCCGCCCCGCCAAGAGGGCAGTCTTCCGTCGTCGGAGCTTCAATCCAGCGACTGAGATAGTTGATAAACTCCATGCCTTCAGGCATGCCAGCCAAGGTGATATTCCAAGCCGGGTGGCGGTTCTCGAAGCAAGGCTTGCCGTTGTCATCTACACAGCATTTGGAGTTCTCAGGATTGAGCCAGAGAAAGAAGTCGTCAAGCCAATTGGCAGCAGATGCAGAGAGATATGAAATTTCTGGACGCTTCCGTTCAGCCTCGATGATGTTGGCCAAACTCTCTTGGTCGCATGTAGAGAAGCGACCGCATAATGCCTTCTGCTCTTGTCGTTGGGTGGCATTCAGCTCCTTGGTGACGAAGTACACTGGAGGACCTGCGTCGAGATAGTCATAAAGATCGTTAAAGTAGGGGATGAGATAGGAGTCGCTTGGTATCGCAATCCTTTGGTCCAGACCTAGTTCGACCTTGGGAAACAAAGCGACAGAAGCGGTGAAAATACCAACGAATGCGGCAATGATACCCACCTTGGTTTTCTTCCCAAGAATGGTTGGCGCATAAGTCTTGCGGATGAATCGCTGCAATCCACCTTCCTCGCTAGCGCCATGTCCAATGCCGCCGTTGAGGTACCCGGGGTCCGCCCTTCGAACAATTGCGCACGGGAAACAGTCTGCGCGGTTTGCCTCGACTCGCTGCTGATTTAGCGCAAGAACGGCAGTGAACATTGTGACCTGAAGGACAGCGTTGATGAAGACAGCACCAGCCGCATATGCAGCGAAATTGCGTACAGCCGGCATGCCCACGGCACATCCCAATGAGAAAGCAACGGTCTCAGTGATAGCAGAGAGCAGGATGGAGGGCCCCATCCGGCCGAGAGCTCTAGCAACTCGTTCTGGGATCGTGGCCTCGGGGTGACTAACATTGATACGCTCGAACTCATGTACGATGAGAAAGATGTTGTCAACACCGACAGCCAGAACAAAGAAGGGTATGACCTCAGCGATGATGAGGGTGACCTTGATGCCGGCGGCTGAGAAGAGACCCACCGAGGCGGAAACAGACATAAGTACAATAAGAATTCCGACGATGCCGAGCATGAACTTGGATTGGACGAGTGCGTTGGCGGGGTTGCGGAGGAAAGTCCGGACTGTTACGGTTGTGGAGCCCAGGGCGAGCGACGCATAGAGGAACATGATGATGTAGCTGAGTACTACAATCTTAGCATCCGTGTTTGTACTCTTGTTTAGCTCCTGTTCGAGACTGACTTCCGTGTTGAAGCTTAGCCTCAAGCCACGGTCCCGAGCTTCGTCTTGTACCATGAGCAATAGATTCTTCATGCTATCTTCCCAGTCCATGGCCCGCTGTACTTCCGGCGTGCCTTCCGGGTGGTTATTGACGACCCAAGTGACGATGAGCGTCTCCGCATCCAGTACATTGTTCTTAATGCCGCCAAACAAGAGGTGGGGATCCAAGGGCTGCTGAAATGGTGGAAGGCAAGACGATGGATTGTCAACGCAGCCCAACAACGTGTCTTGCCAGTTTTTCGGGTCGACATTAGCAAAGTTGCCCTGGAAATAACCAGTCACAGATTGCACAACGCAATCGTCGCCAACCGGTTTGAAGCAGACCCGGTCCAATGTTACTCCACTGTCGAGCGATTTCAGTCGCTGGATTCGGCTCTCAACGTCGAACCACCAGCCGAGTGTCTCGTAGCTCAGGACGGGACCAGGATGTTCGCCAGTGTCGTTAACTAGAAAAGCTTGCTCTGCGCGGAAAAATGGCCCGAACTTTTCGTCGAAGAAGTTTTTCTCTTGGGCGGCAGGCGAATCTGGAGCCACCCAGAGCTTTACTGGGTCTCGCTCAACAGTGAACCGCAACCAACCCAAGCTCATCAGGCCCACGATCAAGACGCTCGTCGCGATGGTAATAGCGGGAAATCTGGCACAAACATATCCAAGTCGGCTGAACATGCGATCGCACCAGGTATTAACAAAGTAATGTTTCGTCGGCCGATCTAGCATGGATACGTTGTGAACGATATCGCCCTCGTCCTCGTCATCACTCGGTTCGAGATCCTGGAGGAGACGGAGGCGTTCGTTCTTGTGCTTGGAATGCTTTTGATAGGCGACATGTCCAGCCACGGCAATGCAAAGCAGTCCGAGAAATACCGAGTAGATAAGGATGACTGCGAATGACAGGCAGGGAAGCACTCCCACATGGCACTGCTTGACCTCTGTCACTTCGGGCAATTCGGCGCACGACCCGCCACAGTCCAGACAAGCGCATCTGTATCTCTCGTCGGTACTGTTGCACGGGTGTGCAACCTTGTGCATTGGTTCAAGACCTGGGAATTTCTCCTCGTTTGGCGAGGGAAAATTCATCTGGAACGGGCTACCAAGGAACTTCTTGTCCCCGAGAAACTTGAGGAACTGCGTATAGTTCTGAGCACCACCGCCTATGAAATCCATAGCTTTGCCGTTCGTAGCTCCAAATTTTACGTCTTTACAGCTGTCATAGAATGTCGACGCATAGTCAATGGAGACAAGGTGATCCAGTTCGGTAACGAGATATTTGTCTCCCTTCTTCGCGGTTTGGGTGACATTTATGAACAAGGATTGGTCTGGCGAGCAGGTGAATGTGCAGAACAGGTTGAAGAAGTTGGCTTTGCATGCGGGACAAGCGCTGATGATCGGCGCGGCACGGTCGAGGTTTGTCTTAAGCGCGTCGAGTTGTTCTTCTTCGCAGCAGACATCTGTGTCTGACCATTGGTCGCCGCAGATGTCAACCAGCTTCTTCCTCACCTCGGTATCCGGGCTCTCAGCGAGTCCATTGTCAGGGCACGGCAACTGGGGCGAGAAGAAACCTTGGGAGCCGCAATGACCGCGTATTGCGCAGCGCCCAGGCTCATGCTTCGTTGTCAGGTCCGGCGCTGCAACAGTGTTGCCGGCAAGGATGGAGAGCAGGCCCGCTGCTATGGCTCCTCTTCCTCCATCAAACCAGCGCATCACGAAGGACGCTGTCGTCGGTCGCCGCAAGGGCGCCTGCGGGATTTACGGTGCAAGGCCACGTTATAGAGACTGGTTCGGGACTACCCAGCCCCAAATAGCGAAAGAATGTGGTACACGAGGTAGGATATACAGATCGATCGGATGGCGGTCGATGAACGTCTGGTGGTGGTACGAAGGAACGAAGTCAGCGACGTCGGTGGGAAAAGCGGAGAGGACAGTCTTGAAAGTAGAGACTACGACGAGGCGGTGGAGTCCTGCGGCGCGGAGGAAGGGGCGAAAGGCGCGAGAGATGTTTGTAGTTTAGGTGTCGTGCGTCACTTCACAGAGGGCTGGCGGCGTTGGATGACTGGCGTGGCGCAGGGACCGCGGCCTCGGATCGACGTCACGCACCAGTTGACGGTGGCTGGTGCGATTTGCCTTGGCGGATCCCCGCTCAAACCAATATGTACACACTTCCGTGTACTCCCACTCCAAGAATTCCGATGTCCCCCCCAATCCAACGTATCAAAAACTGACAGCATCGCATCAAATATGGCGTCACGCAATACATGATGTATTTCAAGCCAAACCAGACCATTCGATATAGGGCATTTCATGTTGTCAGACTACATACTCATCCTGATCATGATTAAACATCAGTTACCGGGTATCCCAAAAACAGGCCATCGGCCCTCCATTCGCCTTTTACTTTTGCAGATATTTGACAAGCTCGAGGAGCTGAGCCCGCGTCTCATCCTCCAACTGATCCTCGGGAGGGCTAAGGACCTTTTCGAAGACAGGCATCAACCGGGGCGTCAACTGCTGCACCGTAGGCTCTTGGGCTTGATCTACAACAACGTTAGCGGCAACATATGAGTAAAGGGCAGGCGACTTACAGAGCTTGACAAGCATGCTGAAAATGGGCTTGTTCTCCTCGTAGTCCTCCTTCAACGGCAACAGGTCTACCAAACGAGGCAGCACCTCACTGATGGGGATCTTGTCCGGGTACTTGGAGATCAATCTGCTCACGCACCCAGCTGTGTTATCCAGCAGGCGAGCCTGATCCTGTGCGTCCAGCAATGGCTCCAGCTTGGAGAAGATGGCGGGCAGATTCTTCAAAATCTCCGCATCATCCGTTGTCTTCTCGCAAAGGAGGCCGATTCCGTAGACGGCGTTCGACTTCGTCTCATAGTCTTCGTCTGAGAGACGGTGGAGGAGCAGCTTCAACAAACTAGAGGTATACGGTGTGCAGCCCTCGGCCATGTTGCCGACGCATTCGGCGATAGTTCCGACGGCAGCTGTACGTTCAGCAGACTCCTGGCTGCTGGCATACTTGATGATGGGCTTCTCGAAGATCTTCCAGAGCTCAGAGAAGCTAGGGCCAAGTGCGACCGCAAGGCAAGTGACGACCTCCATAGCCGTCTCAACAACAAGCCAATCATACTCCGAGGATTCCTCAAGAACCTCCTCCTCGGCGTCTTCACCCAAATCCTGCTGGCAAGGATGACGCTTTGTGATAATGGAGACTAGTTGCTGCGCAATCTCGGCAACAACAGGACCCTTCTCCGTCATCAACGCAGCGGGACCGCAAAGCTTGAGGGTCGCAGCGACATCACGGTTGATGTCCGTCACCGTACCACTAGTCAAGATGTCAGTAAGCCAATATGCTGGGATAACGCGACGGTTTCGACAAAAAGTGCTAAACTCAGAAACAGAATCGCTTTCGCCTCAATCGCAACTTGTGCGTCAGAGTGAGCTGGGATTAACGAAGTTGAATCATCCTCGAAAGAGCGCATCGATAAAATCAGGAAAACGACGTACCGATCCATCTCGTCCTGCCAGACCGCCATGGTTGCAGTCATGACAAGGTTACCCAGCTTCTTGAGATCTTCAGAGGGCTCAACCTGGAGGGGAAGGCCAGGCTTCCATTTCGCCATGCCGTCACCCTCGGCCATACCCCAGACGCAGGCGTAGGTGCGCCACAAAGTACCGATAACAGCCTTGCGGAGACCCTCATACGAGTGGTCGACCAGTTCCAAAAGCTTGGCTACAGTACTCTCCAGGTACGGGAGGTATTCGCGACGAGTGTGCGTGATGATGTCTCCGTACACCTCGGCGGCAATCTCCTTCTCCATAGCCACGGCGGTAACGCCAACATCATCCCAGTCGTCATCATCCATGGCCGCCTCGTTGAGGTCGCTATCGTCGTCATCGGTTGCCGCAGCAACCTTGATCTTGCGGCCATCAATGACAACCTCAGAGCCGACTAAGTCGCTGGCCTCAGCACCGAGCTCAACCTCATTCGTCTCCTCCTGATCAAGGCATTCCTGCAGACCCTTTACAGCGCCAGGCAGGTATTTAGCGAATTGTTCCTCATACACCTTAGCCATCGTGCTCCACAAGATATAGCTTGTCTCGCGTAGACGTGGGTGATCCAAGTGAAGAGCTTCTTCTGAAGCCTCCATCAAGGGAAGCACATAAGGTTGGAATGGTTCGGGACCCACGGCAGTCGCGAACTTGCCCATAGAGTCGCACACCACGCCACGAAGATCCAAGTCGTCCTGGCTGTCCTTGATACGAACGTACTGTGAGAGGGCGTTCATGGTCTGCTCAAAATAAGGAAGGAAGGCCTTCTCGGCTGCGGAGGCAAGCGAGCCGACGGCACCGATAGAAGCGCCCTTGCACTTGAAATCGTCGTGGTTGAAAAGCTTACTGAAGCGAGGCATGAGTTCAGGAACATATTTGCCAGCATCTTCAGGATCAAGGCCTTCAATCAACGAATCGATGGCATGACAGGTGCCACGAATGATCTGCAGGTTGCGCTCGTCATGTGCTGATTGCAGATTGTTTAAAGCCAAATCGAAGTTCTTAATCATTGCAGGGATAAGTCTGGCATGTTCGCGACCAACATCCTCGGCGAGATCATCTGCAAGGCGGGCAACACCGTTGAGCGCGGCTGCTCTGACCTTGAGCTCCGGATCCTCCAGGAGATGGAGCACCAGTGGCAGGATCTCGTGCAGCTGGGTGGCGATGAAGTCGGGCGCGCCCTCGACACACATCCCAAGAGCAAGGATGCCAGCTTGACGGTAGTCGGGGTCCTGAGAAGAGAAATATTGGCCAAGAGCCTTCATCAGGGGAATAACAACCTGGCTCGGAGGAAGTTCAGTTGCAAGGATGTCAAGTAGACCTAGCGCAGATCGCGCTGGAGTGACATCCTCGTCGTCGCTGGAGAGATCGCCCAGCTCAGTGACAATCTGCAGAGCCTTGAGGGTCATCTCCTCTCCTAGTTTGAGGCCTTGCACCTTAAGCTTTCGGTATCGCACGCACTGCATCAGGAACGCCAGAGCCTGGCACCTGTAGTCGTCCTCAACGGTGGTTGTGGCCGCGAGCTCGATCATGAACTGAACCAGGTCGCGGAAATGCTTCTGGAGCAGCGCGGATTCGCATCCGAGGAGTGTCTGGAACACTTCGAAAGCCTGCATAGCGTGCTCCTCGTCCCCCTCGTCGACGGTGCGCTTCAAGACGCCGACCATCGCCGGGATTGCGTCTTGGAACTGTGCTAGAGACTTGGGATCCTCTTCAGGGTCGAGCAGCATGGCAAGACGGCTCAGGGCAAGCATGGTGTTGGATCGCACCTCGGCGCTCTCGTTGTCCTGGATGGTTACACCAAAGAGCTTGTACATGTCGCTGACCTTTCCGGGAAAGGCATCACCGACCACTTCCAGCGTTGTCCAGACGATGTATGTGCCAACCTCGCGGTGTCTCACGTCGGAGCTTGTGCAGGCCTGGTGGAGATAGCCAGGCAGCTCGGGCCACTGACCATCCTCGAAGTCTTCGGTTGCAATGGCGGTGATGACGCGGGCGGCAGCATGACGCGCGAGTTTGTTGTCCTCGTTGAGGGTGGACTGAACAATCTGATTCCTCACATTGTTCTTCTGATCGGCGGGCAAATGTTCCCAGTGCTTTGAGACCAATTTTCGGGCCTCGACTGCAGCCAGCTGACGGAGTTCCCACTTGGGGTGGCTGCACAAAATGTGAACCAAAGCATTCAACGAGGCCGGAGATGTATAGTAGTTCTTGTTGAGGGTGGCAGTCGCGGCCTTGACACGCTCGGTGTCAGCTACAGAGGCGATGTCAGTAGTTTGTCGGTGAGAGAGGCTGGAAAGAGACTCACGCTGGAGCAGACTGTCGAGCAGCGACACAAACTCCTGCTCGTCCATTATGGGAGTTGCTTTGCCAGGAAAATCAAAAGCAACCTGTGGCGAGTGCAGTCAGTCGCGAATCCGCGAAAGACGCAGGAATAATTTGTGTATTGAGGGGGGAGCGGTGGAAAGTTTGGGCTTCTTGAAAATAAAAAAAGGTGTTGCGGGGCAGGGGTCCAGCCGGGCGGCAAAACCTCGGCGAGAGCAAGACCGAGAGGAGGAGCCCTGGAGTGCGCTCAGAAACCTCAGAGGGGCGATGAGCTCCCCCAACAATGGGTTGTCGCTCAATTGCGCTGTCCCAGAATTGCATCCCCGGCCCATCCCATAGATTCGTAATGCAGATGTGTCCTCCCGCGGCGCCTCCGCTGTGGTGCCGACCTTAAACCCAGCTGTCACCCAGGTCAGGGCGCACTCCTTACAGAGAGCTCAACCGCCCTCCATTGACGCATCAGTCGAACCGCCACGCGTCTATGCAATTCTCCTTTGGTCAATTGATGGTGAAACCATGCAAGATCGTCGAGAGAGTGTGAGGTTATAGGGCTATGCGAGCTCATGTTGACGAGTGCAACGGCCCGGTCGGAGGGTATCCATCGGTCGAGAGGCGAGGGTAGAGGCGTAGTAGAACTCTCCGGTGATAGTCCATCCAGGCTTCCAGGAGGCAACCGATGCCTAATCAGCGGTAGGAAGAAGAAGGTGAGCCAGGCACATGAAGTGAGTGAAGCAATGAGAATCAACAGCTCGAGGTGTGATGGGCCAAGCTCTCAGGCGCCCAAAAAGGCTTAGCGCGCCCAGCTGTTTTTCTGACCCATGCAACACAACGTTGAACATTGGACGTTGCCCCCAACCCAACAACTTGCCCCATCCTCCATCTCCTCCATCTGCCCCAACGACCGATCGGGCTTGCTGTCCTTGTTTTCCTTGACCCTTCATTTACCCTGAGATACCCCCGCTCGCCCGCTCCTTTAGAGCAGCACCTCACTCAGCCCATCGCCCGACCTCCCTCGATTACCCACTCCTTCCGCACTTCCCTTCGTGTTCCATGGCCTCGGTGAGCTCAACCATTCTGCAGCGTTCTCCATTGCTGGGCTTTACTCTGACCTTCCCTAGCAAACGCCGAACCAACCACGCTCCTATGCGGGCAGCTACATGCCCAACGGCGGAGCTCCATCTGGTCCCACCCCCGGCGCTATTCCACTACTCCCCAACCAGGGCCGTGTCATTCAGTCCGGAAGCGTTAGGGTTCTCTGCATTGCAGATGTAAGAGGTCAGATACCGTCCGTTGTCCCTCTGCCTCGCCAGCCAACTGACCTTCACCAGGCAACCTGCAGTCCCTGAACCAGCTTGCTTCCGAAGCTCGAGCAAACTACATCATACACACTGGTGACTTCGGTTTCTATGACGATCGTTCGCTTGACCGCATAGCGGAGAAGTGAGTTTGCGCAGACCGCTTGCTTATCTCCGGCGCTGACCTGCTTAGGACCCTGAAACACGTGGCCCAATACTCCCCGCTATTGTCCGATCCCGTCAAGCGCTCCATCGCCGCGGTCCCGCCCCAAACATCCGTCAAAGACAAATTCCGCGAACAAGGTCTCCCACTGTCGGAACTGCCGCTCTTTCTGAACAAGACCTACACGCTCAACGTACCTGTGTACACGGTATGGGGAGCTTGTGAGGATGTTCAGGTTTTGGAAAAGTTGAGATCGGGCGAGTACAAGATTGACAATCTCCATATCATTGATGAGGCCCATTCACGCTTGCTGGATGTCGGCGGCGTCAAGCTTCGTCTCCTTGGTCTTGGCGGCGCTGTGGTCATGCACAAGCTCTTCGACAATGGCGAGGGTAGGACCACGATTGCGGGAGGGCAAGGCACAATGTGGACAACTCTCCTGCAAATGGGAGAGCTCGTGGACACGGCCCATCGCGTGTACGACCCAACCGAGACACGTATCTTTGTCACGCATGCCTCTCCAGCCCGTGAGGGTCTGCTGAATCAGCTTTCCGTAACACTTAAGGCCGACTTCTCCATCTCCGCTGGTTTGCACTTCAGATATGGCAGCTCCTACAACGAGTTCAGCGTCAATCCGACCCTTGACCACTACAGAGGGAAGCTTGCTGCCTCAAAGGCTTCTTTCAACGACGTTTGGGAAACCGTCAAATCCGAGGTCGAGCCCGCGGTGGCGGAAAGCGAGTCGCAACAGCGACTGCTCAACCTGGCCCTTGATATCGTCAATAAGATGCCTACTGTTGCCAATGGCGGTAATCCTTTCGGCGGACCCGCACCAGGCCCCCAGAGCGGCGTCATCGACGAGAGTGCATTCAAGAATATGTGGAATTTCAACCTGGCCGATGCGGCATATGGTTGGCTTGTTCTTGACATTGATGGAGGCAGAATCGGCACTGAGATGCGAGCTCAAGGATTCAATTTTGCTCATAGAGGCGGAAAGGTTGTTCCTCAGGGTCAGGCCGCACAACCGCCGGCCGCAGCAACGAACCAGCCAGCTGCCCCAAGCCCAGCGCCACCGCAAGCGCCTGCCCTGGTGCGCGCCCCTCCGACCGGAACTCCGCAACCTAGGCCAGCCGCTGCGACACCGCCGGTTGTTGGACAAACGCAAACCAAGGCTACCTCGCAACCGGCACGCACTGGACCATCACCTGGCCCAGCGACAACCAAGGACGCTCCAAAACCATCGAGCCCGCAACCAAGCGCCCCGGTAAATGCTGCTGCGGAGAAGGCGATCCCAAGTGAGGTCAAACCGAACGGAACGGCGGCGCCAGAGAAAGGACCGGCATCACCCGCGCCCAAAGAGCCTGTGGAGAAGAAAGAAAGCAAGGCACTGTACATTGCTGGTGTGAAGGATGAGGAAGAGGCCAAAACACTCCTCGCTGATGAAGATAGGCCTAAAGTGGAAAAAGTTGAGAGGCAGAAACATTTCTACATCGCTCATTTCACCAGCGCCGCCGATATGCAGGCAGCATACAACCGGGTGTCTCCTGAGATTAGGAGTAATAAGGACCAGACCAAACCGACAGTCAGAATCTATCGCGAGCAGGGACAAGGTCGTTTTGGAAACTGGGGCCCTAGCAACCGCGGCGGTGCTCAAGGCGGCTACCGCAGCGGAGGTGCATCCGACAGCGAGGGCGGGCGTGGCGGCCGAGGTGGCCGAGGGGGATATCGTGGTGACCGTGCAGGACAACGGGGAAGGGGAGGACGGGGAAGAGGATTCCGCTCCGGACAGGGTGAAGGTACCGCCTCGCCCGCCGGCGCAGAGTCGTAATCGTGTTCTCAGAGGCGCTGATGCTGAAGATAGCAGCGCCGAGCATTCCGGCGGTGGCGTGTTAAGATCCTTTCAGTCGATTTTAGGAGCTGGCGCTGGACGGGTTTGGTCGCTCCCATATTTGGGTTGCGAATAGCTTTTCTTCAAGCCACTTGATGACGAATGGCGGACGGATTCGCTGATGCCACGTAATGCCTTGGTACGCTGGCACTGTGTTTCCTCGGGAGGATTGTATCCTTCTGTTTCATTAGACTTGGCCGCATGTATTGGCGGTGCTGGACTGGTGATGCTGAAGGGAGGTTGGAAGGAGAGGAGTTCCGGCTCGTGTAACAGGTTCTCTTAATCTGTTAGGAATGTATGTATTGTAATGGAAGCTGCAGAAGATAGTTCCAGAGGCCTCCATGTCATTTGTGCTCTCGCTTGCGCTGTTTATTGTGAATGTGGGCGGGAGGTCCCGGTTGCATGTATTGAACTTGCCAGGATAGCAGAGTACTTATCGCTCAACTCGAACATCCAGATCACTGCAGAGCAGAAAGGGTTGTTGTCAGAGCCTTCCTACGGTCCCTTCTAAAGTGACTTCACGATTCATCGGTTGGCTTGCTGTGCCATGAACCCCCCTACGCTATATACTTCCCATAGCACGGGTGAGAAGGGGTCTTGTCCTGTGAGTTGCATGAACCACTTTGATTCTATCATATTCCAGCGAAGGTATCATAAACGAAAGTCAAATACAGTTTGGATATCTTGATATCGGCCACCCAGTGCCACCTCCCCCTCAACACTCCGCGCGAGTGTACCAATATTACGGGTCATTTCAACATCCGTTCCATTTATATCTCATATCAACAAGGGACCAGCATCACCAGCTCCACGATCAGGTGGGAACGGTGCTACTACGACTGTGAGTCTTCGAATTGGTCAGCCCAACTCTTCCCCGCCTCAGCCGGCGACAAGCCGAAGGAGTCTTGCTTCTTCATCCCCGGTTGCTCCCCCTCCTTTTCTTCTGCTTTGACTGCTTCAGCCTTCGTCTTGGCCGGCCAATCCGGCTTCTTAGATGATCCATTTTCCGGCTTCGCGGTCGCGGATGTCGGTGTTGCGGAGGGTAGTTCTGGGAAGTCGGACGCTGAGGGGGGTTGTTGAGGCTGCTCCGGTTTGCCGCCTGCTTGAGGAGGACCGTGGAAGTCTCCCCGCCCGCCTCCGCCTCGCCCTCCTCTGCCACCACGACCTCTGCCCCTTCCGCGTCCACCACGATACGATTGCGGCGCACTCAATCCATCCTCGCCAACCTGCGCTGCTGCATCCTCCACCACCTGTCTCGGACTAGGAGCCACTCCACCATACGCACCTCTAGCCGCACCCGTTCTCCTCTCCTCTCCAGTCCCCGCAAATCCCTCCTCCTTCTCATTGTCCCATGCCCTTCCCTGCATAGCATCCAACTTCCTCTGCCTATTCTTCTCGCGCTCACCCATCATCTGCTGTCGATTCTGCCGATCAATCCTCTGCCTCTCGGCCTGTTGCCGCTTGCGCTCCGCATCCTCTTTCGCAGCCGCTGCTTCCCGCGCCTCGAAGGACGCGAGATCCGCTTCCGCGCGGGCGTGCTGCGCCGCGAGAGTTTCGTTTTTGGCGCGCATGGAGGCTAGTTTGGCGTTGAGCTCTTCCTCCGTGAGACGCGAGCGTTTGGGACCGCCGGTTAGAGTCCTGTCACCCCGGACGGAGGTAGGTGCCTTGGTGGTGTCCTTGGGGCCAACGGGTGTAGACGAAGCGGGCGCTGAAGGCGGAGGACTTGCGGTGTCTGTAGTAGTGGCCGGGGTGGCAGCGGGAGTGCCGTCGTTGTTCGCTTCTTGCGGTTTCGTGATGTCTTGTTGCTCCGCTGGCTTCGACTTGGGCTCAGTAGGCGCATGATGAGAGTTGTTCAAGCCGCCTCCCCGGCCACGGCCACCTCTTCCCCCGCGGCCTCTTCCCCGATTTCCTCGTGCGCCTTTGTCTCCATTCGATGCGCCCCTTGGTGCATGGTGCTGTCCCTGTTGTTGCGCAGGGCCTGGTGGCGGGGGCGTCTCTACCGGCGTGGGTTGAGGTGTTTCGGTCGGTGTTTCCTCAACCACAGGTTGGTCTATAGGAACGATGTCATCGTCGAAGAACAGGTCGTCTGTTCCTGCAGTTTGTGCGAACGGGTCCATCGACGGGTCGGAATATGAGTGATCGTACGTTGTGCCGTTGTACTAGATGACGTTAGACATACCGTTAAGCAAAGTCAAAGACATAATAAAATTTCTAGTATAGCTTACGTACAGCATCTGTCGTGGAGGTGTCCACTTGCAGCGGTTCCGAGGGTGCAGTTTCGGTCTGAACAGATGCATATGGCGGGGCGGAGATTTCAGATACGGTCGGTGCAGGTGCAGCAGAGTCTTGCGCCGGTTCTTCTTTCGGTGCCCATCTTGAAGCTTTCATGTCTGTCCTTCTAGATTTTTCCTATGTCTTCAAGGTGTGGTGATGTTGTCTGCAGAAGGTTACATAACGTTGTCGAAAGTTGAGGTCAAGTTGTCCCTCCCGAATTGCGCTAGTCGACTTTAGGTAAGGCGTAAGTTGGGGTAGTCGTCCACCCGTTCATGCTTCCTCCGACAGGAGTCGTGAATCCTTCGAATATCGCGCGTTCCCTACCGATGAGTATCTAACTGTGTCGATCACATCCCATAAGTGAGACGCCGCCAATTGCGGGGTTCGCGTTATCTCTCGCCACTGGATCGCTGGATCTATCCTGCAGAACGTTATACCGCTGACGTTACCCCAGTTAAACTGGAGTATAAAGCGGGGAGAATGACTCTACAGATTCGTGGAGGGCGCATGCACTCTCATCCACTTCCCAACTACCTTCTTACTCTTATAGCTTCTGGTTGAACAAGCTTTCTTCTATCTACGCATTCCAGTCCTTTACAGAATGAAAGCAGCACAGTTTTATGGCGCCAAAGACATCCGCGTCACCGACGTACCGTGGCCTGAGCCAAAAGAAAATGAAGCTTTGGTCGCAATCGAGTGGTGTGGAATATGTGGGAGTGACTTGCACGAGTACATCATGGGTGAGTTAGTGGTGGTTGATGTATCTCTCAAACCTCCATGCTGATAGCCCAGGTGGGGTGATAATACCGACGAAAGAGAACCCACACCCAATCACCAAAGATTACCTGCCTGTGACAATGGGGCACGAATTCTGCGGTCGAATCATCAGTGCCCCAGAAGGCTCGAATCTGTCTTCCGGACAAGCGGTTATGGTCGACCCTCGTATCAACTGCGGTAGCTGCTCTCGATGTAATGCCTCTTGGACGAACACATGTCGATCATGGGGCTTCAAGGGCTTCTCAGGAACAGGAGGTGGCTTCTCCGAGGCCGTCGCGGTGGATGCAAAAATGTGTTACCCGCTCCCTGATTCCGTGGATCTGAGTCTAGCGGCATTGATCGAGCCTCTGGCGGTGGCTTGGCACGCTATTGAAATCTGTGATATCCCAGATTGGGCCGACAAATCCGTCCTCATTCTTGGTGGTGGTCCGGTCGGAATAGCACATGTTCATGTGCTCCGAGCGAGGGGTTGCAAAAGGATTCTCGTCTCGGAACCTACTGCGACGAGAGCGGCTCAGAACAAAGAGGTCGCAGATGAGGTGTTCAATCCATTGATCATGGACGTAGCAGGGAAATGCAGGGAACTTACGAATGGCGAGGGGGTGGATGTTGTCTTTGATTGTGCTGGTATCCAGAAGGCAATGGACACCGGCTTGGATGCACTGAAAGTGAAGGGGACATATATGAATGTCGCTGCCTGGGAGACACCTGTAAGTCCACAGCTTGTCTTAAATCATTGTTATTAACTAGGAACAGATCGTCGTACCGCAGTTTCAGTGGATGCCGAAGGAACTGACCCTCAAAGCAAGCATGGCTTACAACGACAAACACTTCAAAGAAACGGTGGACGCTTTCGTCGCAGGTGTGTACGTTGCGAGTAGCTTTCACAGAGAGACTGATTAGTTTTCAGGCAAATTCAAAGACGTGGAGAAGATGGTCACTAGCAGGATATACATTGACGATATCTCGACCAAGGGCTTCGACGAGCTGGTAACAAACAAAGACAAGCACATCAAGATTCTGGTCACCACCCATAAGGATAAACTGTAATACCGTGTATCTCTATCTCCTTCGTACTTATCTCTCTTTCTTTTCTTTCAGGATTATGACTCGAATTTCTACCTCCACACGGAAATCCTACTTCCATTCACCATTGCCTTGCTGGTTCAGCAATTCTCCTTCGCTATTGCGCCTGAGTCGGCTACCGACCAGATATTTCTTCAAATCCAGGGCCAGCTCACTTTAACTGTGCCAATTGGAACAGAAGCATCGGGAAACACAATTTTGTGACTTGAAGGACCACGTGATTTGGATATTCACCCTCATTTAGACTTGACATTTGTATCATCAATGCTCCGACCGGACACGCTGTCATTGCAGGCATCTTGCTAAGTGTTCCATCTCACCTCAACTCCCGTTACGCAGTCGTCCGCCTCACAACCCTCTTAAACCCTTGCCTCTCCACCTGCGCCTGGGCAGCCGCAATCGTCGCCTGCGCATCGGGATCCACGAACCCGCATCCGTTCTTGCCAGCTTGGAAAGCAGCCGCCTCGGCAGAGCAAATGCCAACGCCGGAGAGGTCGGCGCAGCAGCCGGATTGACAGTCAGCGTCAGAGACACAGCCGCCTGTGATGAATTGCGAGCCGTCGCCGGAGCCAACGTTGCGGGCGCCGGCGTTGTTGGGCTTCAGTTGGGCCAGAGCGAGGGCCAAGACTGGAAGGACTTAGGACTCTGTTCATAGGGTGTCTTTCGATTTTATACGGGGCATTCAAACAGGACCGAACGGAGTGACATACAGGAGAAGATGGTAGCGATGGAGAAACGCATTGTGAAAGTGGTATCTGATCAATGGGGTAGTACTCGTTGGCTCGTAAATCGTTCAAGGAAAAAAAATCGTGGAAAGACACCAGGTCGGTTGCAGTCACAGACGCAACAGGAGAATGGAATCGAAGATGTAGATCGAAGTGAGAGTGAATGACTGTACCCCAACCAGGCGGATGATGACCTCTTTTATGCTGTCCACAACGCCTTCGACATCCTTCTATGGTACTCCTTCATTTCTGAGACGACATAATTCGCAGTGCGATCGCCGTTCTCGACTCAGGTTTCTCGACAGGCTGTGTTGCAGTCTCCCCACATTGTAGTTGAGTATGGGACTCGGGTTGCCCTGACACAATGCCTGTTGCCATAGGAAGTTTACACTGCCCAATGGGAAGTGTTGGGTGTGGTGGTGCATAGTCCATGCGTTGATGTTGCGTGAACCGTTTCGGACTCCTCGAACTGATTCTGTTGCGGGTTCCGCCACGTGATATCATTCGGGAAATATGTTTCCGAGTCTATTATGTGTATGAATTCCAAGATAGAGCTGCTGGCATTATTTGCACGAATTGGCGGCATGCTTGCAACAGTCTGGGCAGTTTTATGGTAAGGCTCGTTGGCAAGTCAGTGAAACTATGACTAACGGTGCCATCGTCGTTCTAACTATGCCATTGCTCTTCCTATGGGTGTGTCTTTGTAGATTAACTATTTGAACCCCCAAATGCCAGCATATATCTAATGCCTATCGCGGCTCTGATCCAGTACGATATGTCCAGGACTGGGTGGCACATCGCCAGTCTCCCAAACCGTCTTCTCACTCCCCATACTGAAGACAATTTCTCCTCCATTGGTCATGATACCTCCAGCATCCTGATGTCTAAACCAATTCTTATCCCATGCCTGACCGTTGATCGTAACGCCTTGAACATAATACCCATTCCGCCCGTCTCCATCGTCGAGATTTTCGGCCCGTATTCTCAAAGTGCGATTGTGATTAACGGTAATGTTGATGTCCGTGAACCAAGGGCTTTCCAAGAGATACACCGGAGTCGTGACGATGGGATACATGCCCAGCATCTGCCATACCAGCCAGCAGTTCAAAGCGCCAGCGTCGGAGTTCCCAGGGATGCCGTTGGAGGAATTGAAGTAGAAGTCGTTGGCGAGCTGACGAGATCTTTCAACCGATTTCCACTGCTTGTTAAGATAGTTGTAAAGATAAGGCGTCTGAAAATCCGGCTCGTTCGCGATATTGTTGATAGTGTTTATGCCCAGCCCATTGACCCCAAGGTCAACGCCAGAGGTGTTTGGCAGAAAGACATAGTCGAGTCGCTCTTCGAAGTGCTGGGGTCCGCCCATGAGTTGTATCATCCGTTCGACATCGTGGGGTATAACAAAGGAGTATTCGAAGGCAGTCCCCTCGTAGGACTCGTCACTCCAGTTGCAATCGCCACAATTGGAGATATTGTAGGTCTTGTGGAATGTCCCATTGGCATATCTAGGCATGACGAATCCTGTAAAGCCTCTTGCCGTCGCTTCTGGATCCCAACTCAACTGCCATCCTGCGCTTCTCTGCAGATACAACTGTCTATCTCCCGGTTGCTCGCCGGCTGCGATCTGCGAGACTGCAAAATCGTTCAGCGAATATTCGACCGTCTTCGATACCGCACGAGTATTTCGATCCGCGGAAACATATCCTAACGGAATCCAGTCATCAAGAGCCGAGCGTCCCTCTTTCAGGCTTCCCTGTGGATCCACCGGGTTTTGGTCAAAGTAGGGAAGAATTTCAGCGTTCTTCTTGACTGCTGCATACCCCTCTGTCCAGTTAATGGCACCTCTCAGGCCCTTGACGTAAGCATCAGCGAGGACGTTGTCAGCATTAGAGCCTCCTTGCACGAGGCCGTTGTAGTTCCCGCTTCGTCCATCTGGTAGATAGCCTTCATGTTTGAACATACCGATCAGTGAGCGAATCATGGATTCGTAGTAGGCCGGTTGAATGAGATGCCACAGGGAGACCTGGTTACGAAACAAATCCCACATTGTGTAGAAATCGTCCCAATACGGTTCTTCGGACTCCCAGAGAGGATTCTCATTGATACGCTCGCTCGGGATCAAGTGCATGAAGTACAAGCTGGAATAAAGGAGGGCCAGACGGGTTTGATTTGCTGACGAAGATGTGTCCACACGTATCTTGGAGAATACGTCGCGATTCCATTCGGTTCGCGCAACTCGTTCTGCTTGCGAGATATCCCAGGATAGTTCCTCGTCTTTGTACGCACAGGCTTTCGATACTGACATAAAGGAAACGCCTACTCTTGACTTGACTGTTGATACCGATTCCGCACCAGTCCAGGAGAAAATGGCACCGACGCGGTTATTGGTTGCACCAGAGCGAGCAGATGAGCCAACAAAAATGGGATTTGGCGTGCTCTCGTTGTTGAAGCTGCGGAAATGCCGACTTACAGGTAACGTGTTTCTTCCCTGGAACGCTTCCGCATCGCTTGCCGGAGAGTCAAACTCTCCACAGACATAGACCGTGACTGGGGCGCCGAGATTCCAACCTCCTCCGATACTAGTATATCCCGTGTATGACTTATTGTCTGGGCTGACCTCAATCTCGCCACCTGCGTAGAATTGCGTATCCCAGGACCTCGTAAGGTGTGGAAGATAATGGGAGAAGTCCACGAGGATGTACTTCTCAGTTGTAGGGAAACTGTATTGGTAAAGACCTGCATGTCTCGACGCTGACAATTCGACACCGACCCCGGATTCAAGGAGAGTCCTGAAGTAGCCCACTCTTGCAACGTCTCCACCTTGCTGTTACAGTGTTAGACATGTAAGTGTTACAAGAATTTGCATACTCTTCTCTGCCAGTAGGTGCAATTGTCCAGTAGGTTGACACCTTCCAAACTTGCCAGTGGCATCTGGGCCGGGAACCCATACTTTGGCCCTCCTCCTATTCCATTTAGAACACTTGATTAGAAACCAGCATCAAGAGCGCTCACCTGTTCCAGATACGTGGAGCATGCTTATTCCCGTGACTTTCCCCTGAGGCGTCCATCCCCCATTCAGAGCGCTTTGATTAACAGGCTCCTCATACGTATCGATGCCCAGCTTCACCATGCCGAAAGGCACCGCTCCACCTACAAAGATGTCACCGCCGCCATCTATGATACGTTAGCTCGATTTGAATCACCGCTATGAGAAAGCGCATACATGCATATCCAGTGAGCGCCCCTTCCGAGCCGATGAAGGGATTAACGAATTGAGAGTAGTCCACCTCTTGTGCACCTATCACTTCGATATATATGAGACATAATATCCATGTCAACATTCGTCGAAGTGCAATCATTTTAGCGGTACTACCGCCACAGAGGTGGTGTTAAGAAGTAGAGTTGCAGAAGAGAGCGACCGGCATCGCCATCATACATATGCATACATCGACCTCCGCACGCCAATCCCCCGCTGGCCGCACATCATGTCCGCGAATGTCGGGCCGCTTCAAGCAAAGCAGGGTTTGATATCCTGTCAATGGTCCGAGGCAGAACCATGGATATTGCTCACGGCGGGGTATTTTGCAGTTCTGTACCGACTTCCAAAAGCGTGTTGCCAAGGTGGGCCCCCGCACATGTGACGCTGACATTCACTCCTCAGAGCCCACAGCCGTTTTTACACCTTTGGTCAGGAATCTTACGAAGGAGATAGAATTATATTTCGTAGGATATAGTGCTTATGTACAAGCAGTTGAATAACTTCTGCCATCTCCCCTTCTGTTCTTCAAGATCTCAAATTCTCTCCCATTAATACTCTATTGCGACAACTTTCAAATCTGTTCTGACACCGGAGCCATCCTCGTGGAGTACTGTCGATTGGACTCAGAAATATCTCGGGTTGCCAAGAAAGGTCCTCTTTGCAGGCTTAAGGCAAGTCTGAGGGAGCCTTCAAGGAGGTATGTCCTACCCTAGGGTAAACTCTCGGTCAAGCACAGGCACATCTGCGCCTGCCAGGAAAGATTCTCTTCAGAACTTGGAATAAGCCTAGTGTGTCCCGAAAATACGTGCATTCTAAACAGTTCATCGCACTCAACGCTACCTCAGACCGCCAACGAAGGTTTTGTTCAGAAGCTGATAAGCCAGAGGAAGGATGTCTGGATGCACGACTCCGGCGAAGGAAGAGCTAGTGGAGCGGCATTGTAGTGCTACTCTGCAATATCTCTGGCTCTCCATAACCAAACGGACATACATCAGCGTTCTGTACGCAAGGATGTGTTTCAATGATGGCGGGGGTGAACCTGGTGGCTGATGCGCATGTCGCAGGAGCTCAGGTTGTTGAAGTCCTGGTATGACGGTGATGTCCCGAGATGAGCTATGTCCGTGATGTCGTGAGCCCGTGGAAGATGCCTCACACTCGCTGCCACTGAGCGAATCTCTTCTCTTCAAATGAAGCTCCGTTCTACCGGTGTCAGAATTGTTAACCGTGTGGTCTAGTTCACTCTGGGGAGACAAGGTCATTACGAATCGCTTCTGTCGCTGTGTGGCCTCCCAGTCTATCATCTGGATTTGATCAGGTTCTTCTTTTGGCATTTGGAGATAATCTTTATCGGTCCAGTGTAGGCCATGATCACCCCAGGGTGGCACTCCTCTGAAGAAGAAATTGGGAGGCAGAATCCATAGTCGATTGTTTGCGCGCAAGCGCTTGAGCTGTTCGGGTTGTGAGGCTGTCCTGTTCATCATCCTATCATACAGATCCGGTGCCTGGCTCTTCACCCAGCTCTTGAAATTATCCATTTCATCCCGACTGTCCGTTTCCTGTGTCGATTTTACGCCAGGTGGCACGTCGTCCGGGTCATCGTAGTCCGGAAGAACCTCCACCTCAGCGGGGAGCACGGTGATTTTGCATTTGGTTGGCCTCCCTTCGTTGAGAGTATATTGATTATAGAGTTTGATAGCTTTCACAGCAAGGATCGGACTAGACAATGTCACAAGAGCTACGTCATAAACCGGAACCGCTCTGATAGCCGAAAGTGGCTGTTCGATCTTGATCAAACCGAACGGCCCGAACATAGATTCGAGGATGCCAGTGTCGAACAAGTCTTTGCGCATATTTCGAACCTGTATTGTCACAGAGCCGCTGTCGTCCAAACCCGCATAACGTTTATGTTCGGAGTTCTCTGAAATCATGCTGAAGTACACGGAGACAGAGAATGTAGGAGGGACCTTGGGGTCAGAGGTGTGTCTGGAGGAGGGGTGGGGAGTACTCTCAGAGCGGAAACCCCGAAGGGGAACCAGTGCCGCCGCACCCTGATAATGATTCAGGCTTTAAGCGTCATTTCCACTTGAACTTTCGACTTCGATCTTGGCTCTCTCGGTTTCCTATAATGTTCTCAAATTCTGACTTGGAACTTTTCCTAGTCTGTGCTAGCGATATCAGACAGTGCTTGCGTGTTACGCATGCACAGTCTCGTGAAGCCTAGCTTCCTTCTCGAATCAACCATCTTCCTACCTTCTGCCGAACTACACAAAATTTAGCACGCGCTTCTGAAGTTACTGGCCGGTAGTTTTGCTATTAGGTAAGATGACGGCATCTTTTCTAGGCGGTGTTCCCTTAAAAGACTGTGCGCAACCTTAGAGCGCAATCAATGCCAACGCCCAAGTGCGCTGAACTCGAGACGTAGACCAGCGTACACGTGTTCAAGAAAGTGCCTAGATGTATATGCGATTTACGAATTTCCATAACCTGCACCTCTATGTGCTCCTGACATAAAGATTTACGAGGTGGATATCTGTAGGGAAGCAAATTAGGGTACTACATGTTTATAACATTTTTATATCTCAATAGTTCTATATCTGCGATATGGTTGGTACACACTATACCCTTGGCTTAGGAGGTGTTTTATTGCCCTACAAGTTGGAGGCCGTCAACCCTTCATATCAAAGTGACCCTTACGCCGGAGACCGGGACTTAAATATTGACATCTAATGGAACACGCATTGGTTAGCAGGAAGAACTTGCGAAAGGAGAAAGTACAAACGAGGGCCGCTTATCCAGTCCCCAGAGACTCTACTTCCGGAATACCTTGAATCGAGTGGCGGAGAGGTTCATCAAACTATCTATACTATGAGAACCGATATCCGGAGGAATCTTCTCTCAGGTTCGATAGGTTGAAAGCGTAGACGGTTCCGGATATGTTGTTGTGCCTGCCCTACAGATTCATAATCAACCTTTGCCCAAATCGAGCATGAGACTTTTACTTCAGTACTGCATCAAATAACTGACCCGAAAGAGTCCTGTGTGGAGGACTTATAGCTTTGCACAACAAGTAGTCCTTGAGGAAATTCAGGGCGCACCTATCCGAAAGTCAAAAGAGTTGAGGGGATTGAGAAATGTGAAGGGTTCGGCGAAATAGGTTTCTCCCGAAAGCGTGCGTATACTGATTGATAAAGGCAATGCAACTAGCGAGATAGCAATTGAATGGTGGGACAGTTAGATTTACAGATTGATGAGTATAGAAGAGATGGCAATGTTTCGATTCAAGCAGATGGTCCATATCCAACGTTAAATCATGAATGCTCCAGAGTATCTACCCAGGTGAAGGAAACTGTCGTACAAACCGAACCCTAAGCTCCGTTGGCCGCTTTTGCCTTACTCTTGTAGTACTGCGTAAAGTCATGCCGTATCGCAAAAATAGATTCTGCAACACTTTTACCCCACACAGGGTCGTCGCTGGCCTTCTCGCACATGGCGAAGAACTCCTCTCGTTCCTTCTTCGCATTCTCATCCCACAGACGGTGGAAGTTCGCCCGCGACATAGGATCGATCATCTCTCGCCAGAGCTTCATGCGGATCTCGCTGTACTTGTCGAGAATATCCTCGTCTAGCTCATCCTCGTGGATGCCGACCAAGCAATCATAAAGGGAGCCGACGTCTGCGAATCCGCCCGTAAGCCCTAATCCGCCGCTGTTTCGAGTCAGCCCAGCATCGTGACAGTTAGTTGGCAAGCTTACAATGGATTACACAAGTGCGCTGCATCAGCCACGAGTACGATCTTCCCAACTCGAAAGCTGGGTGCACAACGTTGTTGGAGCTTGTACGGACTCATGCTAACGAGCTTGTAATCACCGGGCTTCGGATTTCCTGGCAGGATTTGCTCGTAGCGCAAAGGTTGCCGTTTGATGATCTCCTCACGAGAAAGACTTGCATCGTCACCATAGGTGACTCTCCATAACCCATCCTTTGTGATTTTGGCAGCCATGTACCAATCGGTTGGGTGAACTATGAAGTTGGAGTCCCAGTAACCGAACCGCTCGTCGAAGGGAAGATAGACCTGTAATGGTCAGCGCTTCGAATATCAAACGCGAAAGATGCACCTGCATTTGTAGCCACAATCTGCTTGTCCAAAGTCTCTCCAGGGTACTCCTTTCCAAACAAGGCTTGCCGTACACCGCTTGAAGCGCCGTCGGCTCCCACAAGATAATCTCCTCCGATCTTCTTCTCCTGTCCATCGGATGTGCGGACAACGGCGCGCGCTTCCTTCTCGTCCTGCTCGACGCCTACGACTTTGTTGCCCCAGAGGATTTGAGTGTTTGGCAAGCTCTCGAAATGGCGCACGAGCAAAGGGCCCAAGCGATCCAGGGGTAATACGGCCATGGCATACTTGGAGTCCTCAGGTTCGCGGCCCATGCCAGCGAGGAAGGTGGTGTCCTTCAATCTCCAGCAGACGCCCCTCGGAGTGAAGCCTTCCTTCCGTACATCGTCTATTATGCCGGCTCGGTGGAAGTCATAAATGGCCGAGGGCGCGTAGTGGGCAGCACGGGGATTGTCGTTGATTTTGGTATCGGCGTCGAGGATGGTTACCTTGATATCCGTATTACGGGCAAGCATGACACCTAGTAGGAGGCCGGAAGGGCCAGCGCCCACAATGACAATCTGGCTCGGATTGTTAGGGGCTTATGGAGGAGCTTCGGAAAAGGACCTACATGATTGATTTTGGGCATTATTACCGAATTACAGTTACAGTACTATGAGTGCCTCCGCTACTGTAAGTACAGGGTCGACCGAACCGGCTCCTGTCCCCTTTATATCCCCAGTAAGAATGGATCAGAGAGATGATCATCCCATCATGAGGTGGGGCATGCATGGCAGCGGCCGAGTCAGGACGAGAGCCCCCTGCATCCTCAAGGTGCCCGTTCAGAGGGTCCAGTCCAGGATGCGGGGATAGAGGCATTCCGGGTGGAGACAGACGGGAGAGTAGAGTTGTCGCAAGTGGTGCGAGGTGGGAGAGGGATTGCATTGCCCCACATCCGAGGTGTTGGTTGCCAAGAGAATGCTATCTGATCGAATGCGGTTAGCGTACTTTAAGCTTCTTTCGACGACGACACCACCGCCAGTGTTATGGATATGCCACCGCCTACGGAACAGTGTTTGGAGTAGTCTATGCAGTTATACTGCCCCTCTTCGCCAAACTTTGTCTATGCTGGATGCTACTTAGAAGAGGGCGCAGGGTAGGCGCATAGGAGCTCATGACATCATTCGACATCTTCTCCGCCAGCCCCTCTGCTTTAACCCCCTTTTATCTCTCTTCAGCTACCCGGACGACTTGATTCCTCTTTCTAATATTCACAATGGATGATTTCACGGGCTCCACTTTGCTGGATATTGCTCTCTCTTGGTAGCATCGATTGTGTCCTTGAGTAGACTTTCCTTTCTCCTTCCTTATCTTCTTTGTTGAGGTGCTGGCTCGACCACCATTTTTCGACCCTTCTAGATCCAATGCCGTTTCAGAGGAAAATAGGCCGCTTACTACGCACATCTAGAGAAGGTTACGTACGCACTCGGAGGCCGGAAGTTGCTAACAACCAAGCACCTACTTCCTGAATGTGCACTGTTCATACCCTCACAATACCGCCAACCTCAGCGTTCCTCCCAGCTACCATTTCCGTTTTCCAGCTTATCTGCTGCCTGACAACGGCTCACGGACCGGCTCGACGCACACATCAACTTCCACATATTAGAGCTTTCATTCGCGCTCTCCCCTCAATCCACTTCATCTTCTCAAGCAGTTGACAACACAATAACCCGAAGACATTAACGCGTATCATTAGTAGGTCACCTTTCCTTCAGATCTTGGATGGATTTCAAAAGCGAGCCACCTCCCAAACGGCCTCCCCGTGCCGACATGCATTCAACCGGCCAAAGTACACCGAGCCGTAAGCGTGTCGAATTCACTTCGGAGCCCGCGACACCAGCTCGGAGTAGTAGCCCTACGCCAACCCATGCACCTGCAACGCCTGAAAATGGTCCGCCGGAGTTCGGCAAAGGGCGCGGATTGCATCATGAGATGTCACATGAGGAGATATCCGAGAGCCTCCAGGATTTTCAGCCCTACGTCAATGTCCCAAAACGACGACCAGCAATTCGTCGAACTGGACGCCGCCCCACTCGGTTTTACCTAGAGGAGGAAGAAGAGGAGGATAACGACAAGACACGGTCTGGAAAAGTAGCGTTGGAGTCGGCTGTAAAGCTTTCCAAAGTTGTAGGAACCTATTCAGCCTCGGCGCCCGTATCACGTTCTAGCTCGCGCGACCGTTCTCGGGACTTCGATCCATCTTTCTCCCATGGCTTATCGTCGGGCCCAAATGTCCACCGCGATGCAGAAGAGGCTGAGCTCACGGATCCGGACGATGAACGGAACCCAAATGTCGATCTGAAAACAGCCAATCGGTTGCTCAGAGAGTACAGTCGCCAACGTTCTGATATTCGGGAAGAAGACTTCTATCATGAGGACGACAGTCCTTTCCAGTCTGGAGAGGTCACACCGGCGCACTCTCCCGAGTCCGAAGAGGAGCACATGTCGAGACGGCCTAGGTACCGCACAAGTGTGCTGGGAATGCTACTGAAAGCTGCAACCCTTTCTCAAACAGCAGGTCAACGCATCACCCCTCACACAGCCGGTCACTCTAGCTCCCATCGAACAACCGCTAGCTCAACAGCACCTGAAAAGCCTGGACCGGCTCACCGACGGAGAGCTACTGGTCATGGGAGAAATCCCAGCTCAGGAAGTCTGGCATTCAGTGACACCTCGACTCTCAATGATTTGTTGCATTCTCCCATGTCGGAATCAAGCACTCCATCAGGTGCGACCACTCCGTCTCGACGGTATGGACGACCGTGGTACAGCAGAAGTGCGAACAGCTCTACGATATCTCTTGGGCATCTGGGGTCAAGCGAACACCTAAATCCCCAGAGCAGGAAGCAAAGACCCGGTTTGATACGGAATCTCTCCTCCCAGTCACTCGCGACCTTCACCCACCTCACCTCCGCTTTGAAACCCCCAAAGTCCAAGCTTGACCGCCCGGAAAGCCTAATTCTTGCGGACACTATAGCTCGCCAAAGGTTTCTGCGGAAGATCTGCGAGGCGCTTATGAAGTACGGCGCGCCTACACATCGCTTGGAGGATTTCATGGAACAAGCGGCGGAGAGTCTCGAGATCAAATCGCAGTTTTTATACATGCCGAACTGTATGATCATGGCTTTTGACGACCCGTCGACTCATACCTCGGAAGTAAGGCTTATACGAACATCTCAAGGGGTGGAGCTGGACAAGTTACTGGATGTCTACCAGATCTATAAGGCTGTCTCGTTTGGCGATATGCCCTTGGAAGAGGCTACGGAACTGCTCGAGGAAATTATTCAACGGAAAGCGCACTTTAATCGGTGGTTACGAGTATTCTTCTATGGCCTTGCGTCTGCCACCGTGGGTCCGTTCGCTTTTGAAGCGCGCCCCATCGAAATGCCCGCCTGCTTCGCACTTGGATGCAGCCTAGGTTTTCTGCAGTTGATCGTGGTACCTCATAATGAGCTTATGGGAAACATGTTCGAAATCATTGCGGCATTCCTCACTTCCTTCGTCTCTCGAGCGCTGGGGAGCATCCAGTCCAGAGGGCACGAAGTATTCTGCTTCAGCGCAATGGCGCAATCTTCCATTGCCCTCATCTTGCCTGGGTACATTGTTCTTTGCGCATCCTTGGAATTGCAGGCTCGGCAAATGGTCCCCGGCTCTGTGCGCATGGTCTATGCCCTCATCTACTCGTTCATCCTGGGCTTCGGAATCATGTTAGGCAGCGCCGTCTTTGGATCGATCTATCAGGACGCCACGTCAGCTACCCGTTGCGAGAATCCTTTAAGCAACAATAGCGCCTGGAATTACTTGTTCGTGTTCCTCTTCTCCATCTGTCTCACGATCATCAACCAGGCTAGGTTGAAACAGATGCCCACCATGGTTGGTATCGCCATGATTGGCTACGCCGTCAGTTTCAACACCGCCAAGTACGTCAGAGGCAACTCTCAAGTCTCCAGCACCGTTGGTGCGTTTGCCATAGGCGTGAGTGCCAATCTTCAAGCGAAGCTATGGCCTCTCATCGAAGATCACTGGTTGCGCTTTCTGCAGAATGATTCTCGCTGGAGTAGGGTCTGCAAGCACTTGATTTCCCGCTTGAGGAGTGCTAGAGTGTCCAGGTCCTTCATCCCACGCTTTCTTCGCCGGGGAGATAAAGGCCGGAAACCTACCGCCCCACAAGAAATCCCCTTCCCTACAACCCAGCGTCATAGATATCGCGATGCAGCCGCTCCGTCGTCTGCGTCCTCGGTGCTCGGCGTCTCCCCGTCTGGTGCTCGAAGAACTGGCTACGGACTCGCAGCAACCGCCATGATCCCCGCCATCTTCGTACAGGTCCCCTCGGGGCTGTCCGTGTCCGGCTCCCTCGTCAGCGGTATCATCTCCGCGGACCAGATGACGAGGAACGCAACGGGCTCGACGATTGTATCCGGAGCGGATGCTGAAACCCCTTTGGTGAATAACGTGGCGCTGAAGGTAGGCTTTTCGGTCATCCAGGTGGCGATTGGGATCACGGTGGGGTTGTTTGTAGCGGCGTTGGTGACGAACCCGTTTGGGAGGAGGAGGAGAAAAAGGACGCCATTGGCCCAGTTGTAGGATGGGAATGGGAGTGTGAGAGGCGAAGAGAACGCAGAGAGAGTAAGGACTAGTGATGGGGGAGACCCCTCAGCACTTATGAAAGAAGAAGGGCTGATGAAAAATGATCCAGGGCCGAGAAGGAGAATCAGGACGGAGCGCTGACACACACATCGACTCCTCGATGTTCACGCGTCATGGCGCATGGGATGGTTTTGGATATTGGACATTGGAGCACATAATCTTCTGCAGAAATCGTGATTATGAGCATAGACTTAGACTTAGAGAAAAAAGTACGTCAATGATAGAATGGATAAAACAGCTTGAGCAGCTATAGGCAGGTGTATTTTAGAAGCAAGCTGTACGCGTAAATAGCTAACTACTGGCTGTAGCAATATTTAACAGCGTTTCGCATGTTAGAACTTACCGTGTCGCTAACACTATATTACGGCTCCGTACCGACGTGGTAGAGGCTTACTGTTATATGGCGTCTTGCTAGTATGCGAGCCTTCCCGCATGCTATGGTGGCTTAGTTGAAGGAAGAGCTGGATACCAAGTGGTTGCCGGAAGAAGTGATGAATGAATAGTAGGTTTGAACGCGCGGCCCTGCCGGTATGGATTTACTTTGCGCCGATGCCTTTGAAATCGCCCCTCAGCAAACTTGGAGTGAATGCATCTCGATCTGTCGCATTCAATAATACGTCCGTCCAGTCAACTTCCTGCTGAGGCCAACTTTTCTGTATGCCTCCAGCCGTCGCACAACACTTTTAACTCGCGTTTTTAGAGACAACCGTTTACAAGGTCCCTGCAGTCGCGTTTTGGGGGAAGTGGTCAGATCTACTACCTATGCGCGAGGAATTATCTGGGGCCATCGGGTGACGAAGCGGGACCTCATACATATGCAGAGTATTGAGGCTGGCATCGGGCGTGGATTGGGAGGCTGTGGAATCTTGCTCTGGATGGCTGGCCGGAGGCTGAGGCATTCACCACTTCAATCCAAGCCGGACAAGGACAACCATCACCTCAAAGGAACCCCCACCTGCACTGCGTGAAGCATGGCGCTCCTCGAAGCCGGCCTTCCGTCCAGTTCATGCACTCCATGTTTGATACTCCCGCCCAGCATTGGCCTATGACGTTAACTATTTCAACTGCGCTGTGCGACAATAAGCATAAATCCCCCAAAATTGACGCCTCTTCCCCGTTACGGCTTGGTATTACAATTTTTGGGTCCACTTAAGCGCCCACTTCAAATATAGGGCTGAGCGGATGGCGCCGCTGACATGCGTCACCATGTTGCAGGCCATCTTTGGTGAGGGCCAGGGTGTCACAGAGGCGCAAGCCCGGGCGGATTGCCCTCACTAACCCAGATCTCTGTCCGAGCTGGTCAGCCTCGACGAGAATATGGACGGGCACGCCGCACGGCGCACTGATGATTCCTCCGTCGATGATGCTATGACGAACTTGGAACAGGGTTGCGGACCAGGGCGTCGAACGACGTGAACGACCTGATCCCCTATCTGTGCCCCTCCCCCCAAATTCTCTTCGACTTCTGGCCATTTTTGTTGAGACTACTTGGCTTCGACATGTCTTCTGACTTCTCGGGTACGATCACTTGATTTCTTCTCTTTTTCCTTTCTTCCTTTTTCTTAGGTCTTGGGTTGGGTCGGGGGGCGTTCAGCATATTCTCTTCAACATGTGGATACCTTCTTCAACTTCAATAACCGCGCGGTCGGCTCCAATCACGCCAAACAATAAGTCGACGGCGGTCATGATTGCAACATGGATCCTGACGGGCATCTTTGTTGTCATGTTTCTGGCACGGCAGGCAGTTCGATTTGCACGGGTACGGCGACTTGGACTGGATGATTTGCTCATGTTCCTTGCAACAGTAGGTACACTTCAGCCGTTATGTGGGTTCAACTGACTTGATTCAGCTCTTTGGAATTGGCCTCTCTGCGACGACTCTGCTACTCTCCTCGGAAGGTCTGGGTGTCTTTGAGCCCGTTACCATAGCCCGCGCCGACACCCTCATGAAAGGCTTATATTCCTCGAACTTTCTCTACATATCATCGCTGTGCCTCACAAAACTGTCTCTCCTCGCCTTCATCTATGCTAGTGCGGCGCAGCGAGGCCTGAAGAAGGCTGTCGTTGGATTGGTTATCTTCGTCGCGATATGGTGCACTGCGTCTCTACTTGCGGCGGCCTTTCAGTGTAAGGTTCCAAGGCCATGGGCAACAATGACGCTTAACTGTTATAATATTGTAAGTTATGTTCGCGTATTAACTATTAATCTTGAGTGATAGCATAGGCGCTAACCTTGCTAGGGTGTCTTCTGGATCGTCTTCTGCATAATCGACATGACTACGGACGTCGCGATCATTATGCTTTCCGTCAACCTGGTCGCATATCTCAATATCGAGTTTTCTCGAAAGGCCGCCATTGTCGCTTGCTTTGCACCCCGTATCCTGGTTATTTCCGTTGCGCTTGTTCGCTTGGTTTACCTCTATCCTATCACACCACACGACAAACCGGAGTTCAAGCTCTGGGTTCCGGCAATCTGCTCCTTGGTGCACGTCTCCCTAAGCATAAGCACCGCATGCCTTCCGTTCATGAAAAGATTCTTCGATGCAGGCGAATCCACCCGTCGGCGTGGAAAGAATGATTGGAAACCCCGAGGGCTCAGGGGTGATAAAGCATCAAAGCTGTTCGCAAGACCGAAGAGAGGCCAAAAACTGCATTCGATCGACTCAAGTGTTCCCAAACAGCGAAGTCCAGATGTCTCGCCACGCATCCCAACACCTGCACCGTTGAGTCCATTAGCACCTCCAGTGTACAGCTCTCCAAGGGCTACCCCACTCAGTTCGAAAGCAAGCTCCAAGAGTCCAAGTCTGAGGTTGCATATTCCCCCTTCACAGCCGCGTAAAACTGTTACCAGTGACCTTATCAGTCCTCAGACTGCAAGCTCTGCAGCTTTGTCGCCGCAGTGTCTATCTCCATATTCTCCTCAACCACTTCTTTCGCCTCATGGTATCTCTCCCATAAGAGAACCAACGCCGCCGCCACCATTGTACAGTCCGCGCCCAACCGTTTCCGGTTCCCATTATGGAAGAACGGCTAAGTCAAGTCCGAACTTGAACTTGCGCAATTCGCCGCCGTCCCCTCGGTTTTCTCTGTTTCCTTCACCAGCGACCGGACGTTACGTTGTGGTACCACAGAACCGCCGCCCCCAAGCTCAAAAGTACCCGATTCGAACGAGTAGTTTGAGGCAGAGGCCTGACAGCCGTCGTGCCACCGTCAAGTTCGCCGTAGCCCCCAATCCGGCGAGCGCGAGCCCAAGCACGACGATCTCCTCGTCACGATACTCCAAACCCACGCCAACTCAAAGCATCGGCACGACTCCCTCTATTCCATCTTACTACCTCCACACGCCGCCCACATCAAACCCTCCCTCCTTCCCAGTGCCTCAACCGCCGAGCCCACATCGCCAACGAAACCAGCGCATTCTTTCTCCTCGAAACTCGTCCCATAAAGACCAGATCAGCCCCGTTTCTCCGTCATCCTCCAACACGGCCCCAACACCGCCTCGCACGCCACTCACGTTCTGGAGGGACGACACGTCGCCTGAAAATGCGGCGCTGAATACGGCGGCCTCGGAGATGCAGGCGAATCGTCCCTGGGAGATTGAGCAAATGCCGGTTGTGCAGGACGTTAGGCGGGCTTCGCCGAAGCTCACCGTAAGACCACCGTCTTAGAAGTTTTTGTTTTATTAGTTCTTCCTAAGGTTCCCATTTTCGGATCATGGATCCCTTTTTGTTTTCGTTGGGTGGTGTAGCGCTTAGACCAGTATATGCATGGAAGGGCACAAGAGGATACGAATCTCATTTGTTCTGTATCTGGGTGGGAAGATATGGGTTGTATGGCATGACATGGCGCGGCGTTTTCTGTTTAGGTTATGGATCGATGAGGCTGGGTATAATGAGTGTACGACGTCCATTCTGGAATTTATGGACGCATGGGCTAGAAGGCATTCCAGAAGATGTTTGTTTCTCACCATTGTATTATTACATCAACCCCATTCTATTCTGTATACGTTAGACCTCTTTAAACACATCTATTCAATTCCCAAAAGAAATACTTGTAACGGACAGTTGCGAGTTTCCCACGTCCATTACACTTTCCTCTCAAGGTTAGTAGTTGAGATAGCGGAACCGCAGCATCTTAGCATGAACGATTACCCCGGCATATACCATGCACCACGGACACTGCCGCATGCATGCGGGAATGCCGTCGCCGAGGTTGGCTGTGCTACGGATCCGGCGCTTTAAGGTTGCGGCACAGCGCGGTTGAGGCGCGGCTGTGGCTGTGAGGTTCGGTTTGGAGGCTTGATAGATCTGAAGTGTATCTTGGGGGCTGTATTTATGAACGAGGTCCTCGAGCGCGTAGTGAGCGGTTATTGAATTAGATATTGATAGCGAATGTAATTGTGGGACATCAACCGTTTTTCGGACTTTTCAACTGTGTGTTGCCGGGATTGGGAGCGGGAAGTGAATGTGGCGGAACATTAGCAGTCGTACTCGAAAATTTCAGTCTTCATATCTTGTCTATAGAGAGAGTATCGGCAGCAGATCTAATAATCCAAGGCTCTAGAATAGCCGTTAGACGCCTTCCCCGCTTCCCTCGTCCAACGATAGGCCGTCAAAACTGGGCACTGGATCTGGCTGATCCTGTGATGAGTCTGGTCCCGGCTGAAGCATGGTTCCGACGCAATCTATCAAGAGACGTTGGCGTGCTCTTAGCATAACCTTCACAGATCGCCTTTCACGTCGCTTGCTTTCCACCAAAGCCGTGGCATGCCCTAAGAGTGTCTGTACTTTGGTTAATCGTAAGCCTATCAGCAACGTCCCTAGGGGATAACATACCTGCATGTCGGAATCTACGCAGTCCCTAGGAGAGGATGTTGCGTCAGCCAGAAGACGAAGGGTATGCAGGCCTATGGATTTGGAATAGGCGCGGCGTCGTGCGGCCTTGTCTGACCCGTCTGGCCTGGCTGGCTTGGCTATCCGGCTTTCCCGCACTGGACGATGGTCGGGAGGGGATGGCAGGACGAAAGACCTCCTTGGGCGGGGTGGGGTTAATGAAGTGCCTGTAGGGGAGAGTGGAGGAGCGACACCAAGAATTCCTGTGTTTCCTAGGGGAGGTAGCGGACTCTGCAGTTGAACAGCCCCAGAAAGCTCTTGAAGAAGTTGTCGCTGCACTTGATTTGGGACTTCCTGATTATCGCGTGGACCCTCATGGACTATGTCGGCGGTCGGGTACCAAGCTCCCCGTGGTAGCAAAGAATACGTTTCATCGACTGGAACGTGGAAGCCTTGGATATGGACGTCATGGTGCTCATCATGACGTGGACCGTCGTCCCTGTTCACCTCCCAATCTCCTTGAGAAATCATTTTGCTAGACCGTATGAAGTGTGTAAACCTAAAATCTAGGTTTCTCACAATGTGAAATTGGGCAGAGAGGGAATGGGATCGAGAATCGAGAGGTATATATTGATGTAAACATGGGGTCCGTATATGATTCTACGCGTAGCACGCTAGTTTAGCATCACGACAAGCGGGGGACGCGACGTCACATTCACCGCATCGGGCTCAGGACACGGCCGTCATACCGATTTCCTACCTGAGACTTGCGTACGACATCTTAGCAAGGATTGTGTAAAAAGGCTCTCTTTAATATCTTTATGCGCGCTCCTGATTTGTATATGAGGTATGGGCAGATTACGGGTAGAGGTCAGGGGAGAACTTTGAAGTATATCATTATATCAGCTATATATTCGCCCCCCAGCCTACCTAGAGATCTAGAAAGGTTCTGCAGAAAATAGCCCGCGTATCGGTACAGCTGATTGGTTTATTCCGGAGCCTAGAGTGTTTTAGCCTTCCAGTCTCGCTTGCTCCCGTTCTCCTGAATTACTTCTCTTAAACATCCAACACTTGTTTCATTATCTCTTTAACCTGTCTCGCATAGTTTCAGGTGCATGATAAGTTCGCTGTGACGGTTTTATAATTATGGTCAGGACGTGCGAACCAAGAAAGATTCTCAAATATACAGTTTACCACTCGCATTTAGCGTAGGGTACTCCAACATCACTAGCCTACAACCGACTCTGCAACTTCTCCAGGGTATCACCCAGCGCATAATCATTTCTCGCTTTCCTGCTCCGCACCTTCTCTCCCTCCTCCTTGGTCACATATCTCGCCTCGGTAGCGGGATTGTATGAGAACTGGCTAGACTGGACAACCTCCTCATCACTGAGCTTCCTATTCATACCTCCATCGGCACGCTTATAAATTGTAATGACAACGGCGCCACCGAGGCCAAGATTGTGCTGCAAAGCGACGTCTGCATCCACGAGCCTGTTATTCGCCCAGCCACGAAGCTGCCAGGTCAGCTCCGCGCACTGAGCAAGACCAGTGGCGCCGAGGGGATGGCCCTTAGAGATGAGACCTCCTGACGGGTTGACAACGGGACCCTTTCCGCCATACGTGATGTCGCCGCGGCGAACCATCTCGTGGGCCTTTCCGGGCTCGCAGAAGCCCAGACCGTCCAGGACGATTAACTCGTTTGCAGAGAAACAGTCGTGCATCTCGCACACTTTGATGTCCTTTGGGCTTACGCCGGCCTCCTTGTAGGCAGCCTGCGCCGCACGCCTGGTCATGTCGAAACCGACGAGGTCCATGCTGCTCTTGGAGTAGAGCTGTGGAGAGTCGGTGAAGAGAGTCTGGCCGGCTATAAGGATAGCCTGGCTCTTTAGGTGAGGCCGCTCATCGAGGAACTTCTGGGAGACGATGACGGCGGCAGCGGCACCGTCCGAGGTGGGAGAGCATTGCAGCTTGGTCAGGGGATAGTGGATCATGGGCGACTTCTCGATTTCCTCCAGCGTGTACTTCTGCTGGAACTGCGCATAGGGGTTCCGCTGGGAATGCTCGTGGCTGATGCGGGCTATCTCTGCAAAGTCGCGGGCCTCGGCGCCGTATTTCTCCATGTACTCCCTTCCGGCGTTGGCGAAGTACTGGGCGTTGGGCGGAGAGTCGGTGATACCGCGAGTATCGGCCATCATACGCATGGAGAGGCCCATGGGAGAGGGACGATCGCCCCAGACGGACTTGATGGAGCCGGGATTCATCTGCTCAAAACCGATGACAAGCGCGCAGTCGATTGCGCCGTTCTTGATCAGGGTGCGTGCCATGTGCAGACCGGTGGAACCAGTGGCACATGCGTTGTTCGTGTTGTATATGGGGATTCTGCAGTCTGTCAAAAGGAGGTTGTCTTCGGCTGAAGGGGGATAGCGTACTGGCTCATTCCAAATTGATAGAAGATGCGCTGCCCACTGGTGGTGTCGCCATAGCAGTAACACGCAATGCCCGTCTCGACATCGTCGTAGTTGATCTGAGCATCCAACATAGCCTTCACACCTGCCTCATATCCCATCTCAGGATAGAAGCGCTGCTTCCGCGGCTTGATGAAATTGGTGAGGCCAACACCTAGGACATAGGCCGGGATATCGTTCTTGGGCGCCATGGTAGAGGAGGAAGGCTGCTGTTACGGGTTAGATGCCAGAGCCCAAGCTGACGTAGGAGCATGATATATCATCTTTGTTGCATGAGGTTGGGATAAGCAAAGGCGAGTTTGGGGCCGAGGTTGAAATCCGGGGTAACAAGGTCCATACCCCACCTCTCCGCATTTTCGAGTCATTACCCGGGGAAAGCATAGAAGATGTAAGTTTACAGACTTTAGAAAGCAGAAAGGGTCTCTCTCTGATACAGTGGTAAATGATGAGGAAATGCAACGGAAAACGGGGTGTCGATTTGCGGATAACTCGACGGACACACCTCAAACTGCTGTCTTACAATTCACTCTCGCGCGGCTTGGTTCCATACCTGGGTGCCATAAAGAAGTCACTAATCCGGTCTCAGATTCCGAGTAGTTCGCTAATCCCTCATATGCTCCGTACATATGCGGTTATCGTCAGTTCAAAGCCCTGGAGTTCCACCAACGAACACGAGATTCGTTCATTCACCACGAACCGCGATCTTAGTCGACGGCTCCAAAGCATAGCGAAATAGTATGTTCACACTAGGCAATATCCCCCCGTAGATTCCAGAGAACAAGACGACTCATCTCCCGCCCATCCTCCTCCACATCCTCTCCCTCGCCCAACTCCTCCTTACAATCCCACTCTTCCCCGCCATCGCCCGATCAACGCTCTTCGTCTTGGTAATCTCCGCGCTCCCATCACAAAACATAACAAACCCATCCAACTCCAACGTCTTGATAATCGAATTGATCTTCAAAAACGGCTTCTCCAAGCTCGCCCCCTCCTCATCCAAATTGCACAACTTCCGCCTCAACTTCTCGTCCTTCAAACCGGGGAAATTCACATTAGTGAGGCGGAACTTGCTCGGATTCAGCGCCACACCCTGATCACTCCAACCGCCGGTGTACGTGTAGTTGACGTACTCGACCTCGAAGACGGGCTTGCCCTCGAGGCCCGCGCGCGGCGCGGTGGTGAAGTTGGCATAGGCGGTGCAGTTGAGCCACTGGACGCATTCTTCCGAGATGGCGAAGTCGACGTCGGGGAAGATGTCGCCGAGGATCTCGATGCAGTTCTTGATGCCGACGGACATGCCCTTGTTGCGGGCGTAGGCGGAGATTTTGTGCAGGTAGGCTACCGTGTCGCCAGGGGTGATTTCGGGCGTGAAGCCGTTGTCGTTGGAGTAGACGTCTGACAGGGTTAGTTTTGGGTAGGTGGTGAGGGAGAACGGTTTACATACCCACGTTGTCTGGTTCAATCGCATTGCATCCCTTCTGTGCGGCGAGGTCGATCCGCTTCTTGATCACTTCGAAGACGTTGGCTCTCCGGATATCGAGATATCTCTCTCCAGGCCAGTCAGGCAACTCCTTCCCAAGATCCTGCTTCTTGAACTGATTATAGTCGTCTCTCCAGTTCTCAGCCGTCGCTGCAGAGAAGTAGCAGATGACTTTCTGTCCCAACTGGTTCATCTTTTTGATTGTCTCTGCGGGCGTGTAGAACATGTCAATCTCGTAGATGCCTGCCAGTGGCCGGATGTAGTCGTCGTCTACGTCGGGGATGCCAGAGAGAATGAATTGGATGTTCGACTTCATCGGCGGCTTCCAGTAGCTGGCTTGACGGTAATCGACGGAAACGCGCTCAACAGCCACGGGCTCAGATAATGGGAGATCGCCTGTCGGTATAGCATTGCTGAATGTCGCAGCTCCCAGGATGGGAATGAAAGACGCTAACCGCACCATTTTGGGATGTTCGCTGGGATCCCTCTCAGCGGCCTGTACGAGTGACTCAATGAGTACGAAAGACGAGAGAGCGACTCCATACCCCAACATATATACCAGTCCCTTCTCTCAAAAAATTTATATATATGGTGTTGGAATCATATAGTTGATCTGCGGTTAGTGTACCATTTCCGGGAATACTGGCGATGAGTATTGATTGGTGCGCATACTGATATTCAGCAGCAGTACCTGAAAGTATGCATGCGTAGTGCTCCTAAATGACCCGCAGATGAATTCTCTGCAGGAAAGTAACACAGTGCCAATATAGTCAATATAGATGAGGCCGTGGGAGATGTAAACGGGTATTGAACCCCTTGCGAACGTCGATCCTGGTTATTGGTATTAATAGATAATGTGCATCTTGTCTATATCGAGGTCGGAGCTTGTCCTGCCTCGTCATCTCTTATCCTAAGGTTAGCATATGTCCTTGGATGTAGGCCGGAATCATTGCGATGCATCATGCAACATTCGCGATGGGACTTGCGGATGCCCGACGCGGTTGACAGGAGAGAAAGAAGTGTCCTGTTTGCCGGAACGCATCGGTGAAATGGGAGAGAAAAACCGAGTCATAAGCTTTGAAAGGTGAACGTAAGTTAGGCGCCCTAAATACGAGGTTTCCATGCGAGAACGCGCGTCATCCTTCTGAGCCACTCAGCCAATGCCCAGTTAGTAGCCGCGACCAAATAATCGGTAAAGCAAGCTGGTCAGTGTTGAGAAAGCTTACCCTTCTCGCTCTCAGTATCACCTTGTACATCACTAATATTATACTTTCCAAGGTATCATTGTAGATAGATAACTGCCAATGCATTTTCAGAAGGCATTGCAATGGTGAATGGAACCCGAACGCCCAGCATAGTGCTGTGTCCTTCAGAACGTATTCTGCAGCTAGCGGCAAGATCATGTAAAGCTAAACCGAACCAAGGAGATCTATATTGTATCGTGGCTCGACCGAGCTGAAAAGGAGAGATCAAAGGCCATCTCTAAGCGGGGTAGGGGCGATCTATCATCTCAATGCTGCTATCTCCATCCAAACTCTTCTGCCTCCGTGACTTTCCAATCGTATTCGCCAACGCAGGGAAACAGTACCCAGGGTGGAACACCGTAAGAACGAGAACCGAAATGACAATCATCAACCCCTCCAGAACGATGAACTCCACCTCTGCCCTCATCAAGGGATTCCCCCACCCGCCCGTAAGTTCCGGTATCCGGTAAATGCAGCGAGCGAGGATTGTGACATAGGCCGTCATGGTGGCGCCGACAAAGAGGCGGAACTTCTTCGAGTGGAACAGGGTCATGGACTCGGGAGTCAATTCGTCGCGGTGGCGGTGCGTACGGAATGTGTACTCGGCGAGGAAGTATCCGAAGAGGCCCAAGCAGACGACCTGCCAGATCACGCCAGCAATCATGAGGTTCGTCCCGACATCCAACATGGTGCTACCGCGTTCGGCCGTCGCTGCGATACCTCCACCGGCGCCCTGCAGGACGAGCGAGAGGATATCCCCGCCGATGAAGAACCGGGTATACCAGCTCGGTCGGAGTCTGGACCAGCGCTCGCCGAAGTTGATAACGATGTGCTTCAAGGTCAAGTAGACGCCGGCAGCGATGAAGGCAGGGGAGATGATCAGGCAGCAGATTTGGATCTGGAATCCGAGTTCGTCGTAGGGGTTGTTCCACAGGAGAATGCGGCCGATATAACCAATCCCTTCACCCAGACATCCGAATCCTAGTGCGATCATGAAGGTCCATGTCTTGTATCGGATTCCAAGTATGAGGTGAATGATCAGGCAGATGAAGAAGATGGCCGCGAAGGTGGCATTGGCACCGATGCTGGGAGCATAGCCATATAGTGTGCCCTCGACTGGGCAAAGCGCTGAGACTTCTATACAGGAATCCGGAACCTGTACTCTTTCGCCCGCAGTCATGGTGTTCGTTTGGAAGGGGACGGCTGTGGATGGCTATTCAAGGGGAGAAAGATAGGATGGAATGACTCCCAGAAAAAGAAGAACAGGAGCAGATGAAAGGACGTGTAGTGATATAAAAGCTTGTGTAAGCGGGAATGGAGGACCGTAAGCTCAGGGGATATCTTGATGCCTTAAATGCTACCCGCCAGATAGCTGGCAACGTTAACTCCGCCACCTACACTGCGTGGCACGGCGCTGGGAGACCATAGCATAGCTTCTGGGCACGGCGTAATACAGAGCCATCTGCAGTTGCAGAGAGCATATATGGTACGTACCGCGAGGTGGAGTGCTGCGCCATACGATTTCGGGCTGGATGACTACGCGTACGTACGCCCGCAGAGCGTTCCAAAGTTCGCGAAATGCCCTCGAAGTGGAACGAACTCTCGTGTTTCAGGGATTACGGCGGATTCTAATTGGGGACGTGGCTTATTCAGACGCATCCTAGCGATGCTGAGGCGCAGCACGGAGAATGTCAACGTTTCTCGTTGTCGGAGTCGGAGTTTGAGATGCTCCATGACCCGAAGACATCTCACTAGGCCATATGGATGAAACTATAGCCTACACAGGTTGGCTTCCATTTCGAGACAATCGCGCGAATGCATGCTTTAGTTTGTACTTACCTGACCGGAGGCATGCATAATGATTCGGTTGCAATGAGTGGACAAATATACGAGGGTGACGTAGTCGGCCGTATTCCTCGTCTCGTTCAATCCACTCTGCGGGCCTGAAATCCATCCGATGACGCGGAAGAACAGTGAAGGTTAGCTTCTCTCTCTTTGGGGGAAAGGTAGGTGTTTCTGATCAGCCCACAACACCCTACGGCCGTAAGATGCGCTTGTCAGCCACACCCCTCGAGGAATAGTCCAGGCGTAAGCTGGGTAGTACAAGTCCATCCTCGGTCCAAGCTATATGTATCGCATATCCTAGACCGCAGTGCAACTTACTCTTGTCTTGTTTGTTTTGGTAGGCCGCAGGTCTTTTGAGCAATATAAACATTGCCCATCCCATATTCCGAGGCTACTATCACAGTAAACGGGATATCGAAGGACTGATGGCTGGAGGCCCCGGCGGCCACGCTTAGCACCTGGTTGTGAAACGGTTATCTGTTTCCAACCAATACAAAGCATGGAATGCAGCATGTGTCATAAGTGTCTTTACGATGGTTGTATATGTACTGTGGTAACATGAGCGGCAAGCGAGCTGATCAGGCAAGCGAGCTGATCACTCTGCCAAGGTTACACCTCTCTCACTCATCTCAATGTCTCAACAACCAGATCTTGAATCGCTCCCTCGTGAGGATAGGATTATCCTTGCCATCGAAGCTATGAAATCCGATGCGTCATTAAGCCAGCGACACGCTGCTACTCTCTATGGCATTCCTCAAAGCACGCTTAGTAGCCGATGCTCCAGAACAGCTGCTCGACGCGATATCCATCCTAACTCATCGAAGCTCACCAAGCATGAGGAGGAGACAATAGTCCAGTATATAAGGAAGCTTGATGCACGAGGATCTGCCCCTACGCTCAGCGATGTACATGATATGGCTGATCAGCTGCTGGCTGCACGTGGTGGTGGGAACGCTGGAGACAAATGGGCTAGGAACCTTGTCCACCGCAAACCTGAGATCAAATTTCAGATAACCAGACTTTGTGATCACCAAAGAGTCAAGTGCAGCGATCCAGCTATTATTGGTCCCTGGTTTCACCTTGTACGCAATACCAAAGCTAAGTATGGCATCCTGGATGAAGATACTTACAACTTCGATGAGATTGGCTTCCAGATGGGTGTTGGAGGATCAGTAAAGGTGGTAATAGCATCTGAGAGGTGACTGAAACCACTGCAGGTTCAACCTGGGGACCATGAGTGGGCAACATTGATTGCTGCTATCAACGCCAGGGGCTGGCCACTCCCACCCTTTCTGATCTTCAGGGCAAAGCACCACAACCAAGCCTGATACCACAACCCTAAGGGCTGAAGGATAGGTGTCAGTGATAATAGCTGGACAACAAATGAGCTTGGTTTAGCCTGGTTACAGTACTTTATCGAGCATACTCAGGCTCGGACAGTAGGCAGTCATAGGCTGCTGATTCTTGATGGCCATGAGAGCCATAAGTCGTTTGCTTTCCAGGAACTATGTAAGGAGAACAAGATTATCACCCTTTGCATGCCTCCACATGCTTCCCATATCCTACAGCTGCTTGATGTAGGGTATTTTGCTCCTTTAAAGCAAGCATACAAGAAGGAGGACAATGTCTTGGCAAACTGCTACATCAACCATATCGACAAGAAAGCCTTCCTAACTGCTTTTTCTGAGGTTTTTGACAAGGCTTTTTCAGAGAAAAACATTATATCAAACTTTAGAGCAACTGGTTTAGTTCCACACAGTCCAGAGGTGATGCTATCAAAACTTGAAGTGAAGCCTCGTATGCTATCACCAGCTTTACCAGGCTCTGTCTAGCAACTCAAAACACCAAACAATGCAGTTGAGATAGATGCTCAATCAACGCTTATCTTTAACTGGATTCGAAGACACTGGAGCTCCTCACTAGCATCAATTATTGAGATGGTGAGGCAGTTTAAAACAGGAGCAGAATTGGTGGTGCATTCACAGGCATTAATGGCTGCCAGGATCACGAAACTTGAGCTAGCCTGCCAGGCAGCTTCTGAATATAAAAAGTATAAGAAGAAGTGGATTCAAAAAGGAGGGACCCTATCGTAGGCAGAAGTAGAGGCGATAGTAGCTCAGAAGAATGCTGAGACTCAGCTTGAGGCAGAGAGACGTGAGGAGAGGGAGGAAGCAAGTGCTGGTGTACGAGGTATTCGATGCTGTAAGATGTGTGGTGAGCCAGGGCAGAACAAGCGTACATGCAAAAAAGATGCAGTAGATGTAGAGAATTAATTTGAGCTATTGTAAGCTGCAATAGCTTGTTGTAACGTTGAGATATTTAGATTTGGAGGTAGAGCACTGTATTTAGTGATCAGCTCGCTTGCCTGATCAGCTCGCTTGCCGCTCACGTTAACAAAAAGAATGCCAAAGATCCAAAAGGCAAGGACTACCGACACCCTCGCGTATACCTTCCTTTCCCAAATACCTCACGTACTTCTTTTCAATTCAAAAAGACAAACCTATTCCCTTACCATCTCTGTTTCGCATCAGACACGCCATGAACGAAGGACCGTCGTTGATGGCAGTATCAACCATGTTTCCTGCAAATCAATGTGACTATTTGTCCAATACCATCGCCTCCACCGAACTGAAGGAGCGAAAAGAACCTCATTTCCCCAGCTCTTCCGGATCAACGACTATTAACCATACTTGCGCAGTATCCCATACCATCCTCCTCAATTCTCTCCCTTGAGCCCCCCTCTCGTCAATCTCGTGCCTCGATCCCGCCTTCGTTTCATCCCTCGCTTCAACATGCGCGTCCCGCGTTTCACCAGCATTCCAGTAACACTCCCATCCCATCTCAAACGAGATTCTTTAAAAACGATACGCTGCTCGGGCATCAACATCCCTTCGACAATGCCGTCCTCTCACCCTCCAGAAACGGGATACCATGATTAAGCAATCGCTGTTCCTCTTCATCGCAGCCGCAACCCTTACCCATGCGGATACGATTCATCAAAACCCAATCATCGCCGAGGCATGCCCTCTACTTTCCCACGCCCAATGCCACATATCAGGCCCCTTCAATCCGCTGGAGCTGGAAGTGAACACATCCCAAATCATCACTCCACCCTATGTCTCCCAATCTCATGTCCAAGATAACCCCCCTCCACCACCCGCACCAGAAGAAGAAGATCTTAAAGAAACCGACTACTCCCCCTGGACCACCCCACCCCAATGCTTCACCAACGCCAACCTCACTTCCCCCATCTGCGTCTTCACCGACGCAACCTTCGCCTCAGGCCGGGGCATCTCCATCATCACGACCGCCGAGCGCGCCTACGCCCTGCTGAACAAACCCGCATTCACCCATCCGGACCTGCTAAGCAGCGTTAACATAAACCAAAACCAAAACCACACACACTCCGCACCGCCTTATGAACTGCGCAACATCCCCGGCCGAGGCAGGGGCCTCATCGCAACCCGCACCCTGCACCGCGGCGACCCCATCTTCGCAAGTACTCCGATCCTGCTCCTCGACGCCGCTGCTTACGACCTCGCGCCCAACGAAACCTCCTTTTTGACCAATCTCGCCATAGCCAATCTGCCGACCGCATCGCGTGTCCAATTCTGGAAACTCCTCGGCCACTCCGCCTCCTCCTCCTCCTCCTCCTCCTCGGACCCCAACCCCATAGAATCCCGCATCACCACAAACGCCTTCCAAGTCTCCATCAACGACGTGGAGCACTACGCCCTCCTCCCCACGACCTCAATGCTCAACCACGACTGCCGCCCCAACGCAGACTACTTCTTCGACTCCGCCACCCTCCTCACGCACCACGTCCACGCCACCCGCACCATCTACCCGGGCGAGGAGATTACCATTACATACATCTCCAACGAGAAACCCCGACACAAAAGAAGGCAGATGTTGAAGCAGAATTGGGGCTTCGAATGCAAGTGCTCGGCGTGCGCGGCGCATCCCGCGCTTACGAAGGAGTCGGATGAGAGGGTCATGCAGATTGGGATGTTGAAGAAGAGGTTGAGGCGGTGGGAGGAACGAGGGGGTGATGATGACGAGAATGAGGATGATGAGGATGATGGAGAAGTGAGAGTGACGCCTGCGATGGCAGACACGCTCATAAGTTTATACGAGCAGGAGCGGCTGTGGACGGGCATAGGCGAGGCGTACCGGTTCGCGGCGCAGGTGTATGCGGCGTTTGGGAGGGAGTGGGGTGCGGTGAGGTACGCGCGGTTGGCGGTCGAGTTTGGGATGCTCGCGAGGGGGTTCTATGATGAGGATGTTTTGCTCATGAAGGGGTTGGCGGCGGATCCGAGGTCGTTCTGGGGTTGGGGGAGGGAGGTTGCACGGACGGAAGAGGGTTCGGAGGCGGGAAGGGGGTAGATGCTGGAAGGATTGCATTATATGGTTAGAGAGTCGTCACGTCACTTCAGCAAACATGGGCAGCGACGATAAAAGAATGAAGAAAAAGCCCATGCAGAGATTGGAAAAGTTTAGAAGAGAAAAACAATGCATCTCACGCCTACAGACCAAACAGACAAAACACCTGCAATGCGAACATGTCCCACACAACCCTGAAATCCCCTTCACACCCAGCCCAGTATTCTTCCACTAATACCTCAAACTCTCCTCAAACAACCCCCTCAACTGCTCCCTCTCAGCCTGCAAATCCCCCATCTCCAAATTCGGCGCCAACATCAACACCCTCGCCTGGGGAATAGTCCCCTCAACCAGCGCATCCAGGTGCTCCTCCCCGAACCCCAGATCCCGCAACCCCCTCGGCTGGTCGCCCAACTTGATCAAAAACTCGGCCAGCGCCTCGCTCAGCACCTCGCCCGCCGACTCGCGCTTGACGTTCGACACGTCGACGCCGAAGCACTCGGCCGCCTGCAGGTGGCGCTCCGGGTTGCTCGCGGCCGTGAACCTGAAGACGGCGGGCGCCGAGACGGCGACGCTGACGCCGTGCGGGATGATGGGGCCCTCGACCTCGTAGCCCTTGTGCTTGTAGCCCGGGTTCTGGCCCGAGATCGGGTAGCTCATGCCGTGGCAGAGGTGGACGCCCGCGTTGCCGAAGCCGACGCCCGCGAGCGTCGCGGCCAGGAGCATCTTTGCCTGCGCTTCGTGGTCTTCCGGGTCCTTGACGGCGCGCGGGAGGTACTTGACCGTGTCGCGCAGCGCGTTGAGCGAGAAGATGTCGGAGATGGGGTTCGCGCCTTGGTACGCTGGGCGATTGATGGGGTTGGTTGGACGAGGTACGCGTTCGTGGAAGGGGATGGCGGTCCAGGACTCCAGGCTGTGGCAGAGGACGTCGAGCCCCGAGGCGGCGTGCACGGCGGAGGGCATGGTGCGCGTGTTGAGAGGGTCGACTATGCCAAGTGTGGGCTTGAGGTTGCGGTGTGCGATGCCCGTTTTTGCGCGCTTGGAGACGAGGTCAAAGATGGCGGTGCCGGTGGTTTCAGACCCAGTGCCTGCTGTGGTAGGTACGGCAATCAGGGGTTTCAGTTTCCCCTGGATGGGAAGTCCACGCCCGAGAGGGGCGTTGACGAAGTCGAGGAAATCCGCCTCTATAAAGAATTGTCTGTTAGTTTCCACCCCAAGACGCTTCCGAGTGAAACGACATACCAGGGAACGTGGTGTACAAGTTCATCAACTTGGCAGTATCGATAACACTCCCTCCTCCCACCGCCAAAAACGCATCCGCTCCGTACGGTTTCGCATACTCAATCGCCTGCTTGATGCTGCTATCCTTGGGCTCCACCCTGACCCCGTCAAAGATATCGTACTGCACGCCCTCGCTCTCCAGCGCCTGAATCGCACGCTGCATCGCCCCCAGCTTCCGCACATTCCCATCCGTCACCACCATGACTTTCTTCGCGCCCATGTTCTTCAGATCCATGCCGACTTCCTTGGTGCAGCCGGGGCCGAAGCGTATCGACGAGGCCGCCATCTCAAAGGCGTATTCCTTCTGCTGGGAGTGGTCGATTGGGGTCGCCAGGGCGCGTTTTGCCTGGTGGATCGTTGAAGGGCCATGGTGGTGGTGGGCCGGGTTCGAGTGGCAGGGACACTGTTGACGGTCAGTATTCTGTTCGAGCGATCCTTTGCTTGAAGTGCATGTTCTACACACGTTTGGTGGGTGCGTAAATTGAATAGTCCGAAGGAGATTCACGGCCCTCGTGGCCCTTGATGGGCTAATCCTCACAACGCTCGACATTGCAGTCGGCAATCTTTCGAATTACTCTCAACCTTCAACCAGGAGAAAAAACGACAACAGAAGAATCAATCCCACAATTCGCCGCGGAAAGACAATGTGGGGAGGAAATCGGGGCCGTCATTTTGCCAGCAACGTTGTGGTAAGCTTAGGGGAGCTTCCTGACCCGAGGTCGGGCGCGTGGGGCGTAAAGGAAGCTCCGGCGTTACGCGGACGGGCAGACGTCCGCGGCGTGGGGCAATCAAGTGCCGAAAGGGGTAAGCCGATGCATGGGTCACGTGGGACCATGGAGGAAGTAGACTTCGGCAGATTAACAAGGGATTAAAACTATTTAGCAGAGGAAAAGGTGGTATCGCTATTAGAGGAAAAGATAACTGTAGGAAAGGAAAATCATTGATCCAGACGTCGCACTTGGTATCAGTCTTCCTCATCTCCAACGGATCCATCCGCAACATTGAATATTATTTACCCCGTCCTTCATCCCCAAAGTCAAACTTCCTCATCTTCACCCCAACCCCATGAACAATCACCAACTTCATTCTAATACTTCCCAGGCTCACTGGGAACTCCACTAGCAGGCACCGCACTTGCCGGAGTCGAACCAGCCGTGGCCTGCGCTGGCGGCACATCGGTCGCCAAAGGTGCAGGCTTCGCATCCGTCGTCGCGCTCGGAATCGTCCCCGTGGTCTGTTCCGTAGTCGGTTGCGTGGTCTGCGGACTCAGCGGCTGCGTCGGGCTGTCCTTGCTGGTGACCGGGCTCGTCGGAGCACTCGTCTCGGGCTGCTCTGCAGTGATCTGTCCGGCGGCCTGGCGGATGACTTCCCACCATTTCTGCGCAGCCTGGGGCGTGTGCGCCTTGAACTGGAGCTCGTGGCTCATGCTGAACGTGTTGCCTACCTTGCCCTTGGAGACGTCTTTGCCCTTGACATTGAACTTCTGGCCGTTGACGGCGCCGACGATGCAGTCCGGGAGGTAGAGCGAGAGCTCGGGGACGGGGTCCTTGGCGAAGCTGTCGTCTGTCTTGAACTCGTGGAGGAACTTGGAGGGCGTAACGACGTAGTAGTTTGTGTCGTAGCTGCGCATGATCTTTCCCTTGCGCTCCAGAGAACCTGCGATGATGGGCTGCGTCGAGCGGTGGTCCTGGTTGGGGAAGTGCACGTTCGTGACACTTCGTGCTGGTGCAGACGGATCGATGAGGATGCCGCTGTTGCGCCGGACGAACCCGTTCCATTCGAAATCCAATGGGATGCGCTGGGCTGTGCCGACCATGTCCGCATACATGGCCTTGGTCTGCTCCGCCTGTGCGGTCACGACCTGCATGAACTGGCCCAGTCCATGTTGAATGGTCTGAATGACATGGGCCTCAAACTGCGCAAAGCTGTTCTGCACGCTGATCAAATCCTGCCTGTTGTTGTTCTCCTCCTGGATCTGCTTGTTCAGACGGTACAAGACGCCTCGCTGGAGCACGTAGGGGTCGTCGGTAGCGGCAATCTTCCCGCCATGGGAATCAAACGTCGCTGTGTGCTGACCGAGGAGTTCGATATGCTTCTGTGTCGCATTGCGCGCCTTGTCGACGGCTTTGCTGCCCTTACCGGCACCTTTACTGAGCTCCTTCGTCTTGTGCTTGATTTCGCTGTGGAGACGTTCGAAGATGGAGAGAATGGTGCCTTTGAGAGACTTGGCCGTCTCGTAGTGCTGGTTGGAGATGCCCTGGGTGTTCGACCTAATATTCTCAAACATGCCCGCAATCCCCCCCAAACTCTGATCGAAATGATGCCCCTCCTTAAGCGGCTCATTCACAGTCTTCGCATTTGCAGAGTCGTCAGCACATGCCAACACGCGCGCATAACCTCATTCAAAACCCACCTTCAATATCCGCTCATACTCCTTGCCATGCGCATGCTGCGTCTTCTCTGTCGCCGTGATGTAATCCTCCAGATAACCCACTGCGTGCTTCCACGCCTGGAGACGCTCGACGAAGAGTCGGGTAACCTCGCTGGTGTCCTCGCTGATGATCGCCTCGTCGTCGTTTGTATTCGCCCGTGTGGGCATGTTGCTCGTCGGCGCGGTCGTTGAAGTCATATTGTTTCTCGGTGATGGATTGCGAGCCTAGGATTGCGCTGTGGAACCGTCGCGGCGCTGTAGAGCTGGGGAGAGAGGTGATGTCGGTGCTCAATGTGGAGCGCTAGCGAAAGAGAAATCGAGGAAGCGTCTCGTCTGTAGCTGGACAGTTTGCTCTCCTACAAAGAGTAGTAATACTGCAGAATAGTGGCAGTGGATGTGTGATCGTGGTCCAGGATGCGCGATACAAGATTCCCCACTAACAAGAAGATAAACTGGGGTCGATCGAGCGACGTCATGCCCAGCGGAAAATGTGGAGTGTGCAGGGTCCAGGCGCGATGGAGCTGGTGATGTCAGTGTGGCTGGGGTGGGTGGCGGTACCGTATCTCTGAAGAGACTTCAGATGGTTCTTTGCCATACTATGGTAAGTTGAATTTCAAAGACAAAGGGTCATCTCACACAAGACACGACCTTAAATCTCAAATATCACAATTCTCCAAACCCCCGTTCGCCCATGTATATACACCTCCTCCTTCTCCTCCCAACAACAACAATCACTCCCAGCCACTCAAAAACCATACCGCTAAATACATTTCATTCAAAAAACACCATCAATCCACCCACCCACCCATCCATCCATGCGTATCCCGTCAATGTTTCCACTCCGATAATATATTTCCCATACGATCATTGCACATCACTGCCCCATCATCCCCAGCCATACTCCGTGCAAAAGCAATATTCGCGCGCAAAAAGACAAGAGAATCAAAATCCGCTCTGGGACACAGGAACAAATCGTGCTGAAGGGCAGAGCGAAAAGAGGTAAGAGCAGACAGAGTTTATATACATACACAGAAGGACAGATGGTTTGTAAACAGAGAATAAAGGCACACCTCAATGTCGTTCACCACATCTCCTCGTCCCGGCTACTCTGGTCCGAGTCGTCGTAGGCGTAGTAGGACTGTTGTTGCTTCTGGTTGCCGCTCGGGTAGCCGAGATTATACGAGACGCTGTAGGAACCGTTGGCCTTTCCGTACGATGAGTGGTGAGAGTCACGCTGTTGATCGTGCTGGGACCCGCGGGAGTCGGGTCGGTACTGGTTTCCCTCGTCATGCTGCTCGAAGCCATGATTATCGACTTGATGGTCATTTATGGGACTCAAGTCTTGTTGTGATTGGTCCTGGTGTACATGTTAGCTGCTACGAAGCGAGCGAGAAGCTTTATATATATACCTGCTGGTACAGCTGATACTGAACATACTCCTCAGGCTGTTGTTGCTGCTGCTGCTGTAACTGTTGTTGCTGTTGTTCCTGCTCCCGTTTCTGTTGCGCAGCCTGTTGGGCCTCTCGCTGATGTCGAGCCTGCTTGGAGTTGCCGATCTGTATCTGCGGGTGCATCTGCTGGACCTTGGCGAGGTACGAATACATGAAATTGCTGAGCAAGACCTGCGAGTACAGCTCTCGCCGAGGATTCGCGAGCTTTATGTGCGCCATGCGGTAGATAGCTCGCTCCTCCAGGATGGAAAATCTTGTCCAGTTGTAGTCGATATCTGGCCTGAGTACTCGGGGAGGTGGATCTGGGGACAGGCCACGCATGGAGCTACCCTTCTTATGCGATGACTCTTTCTCTCCCTTCTTCTTGCTGCCTCCAAATATCGAAGAAAAGAGACCCGACTCCTTCTCTTTCTTTGAATCCCCAGACGACTTTCGGGTGCTCTCCTTCTTGCGCTCCTCCTCGAGCTTGATGCTATCCCGATCCAGTACAAGGCTCTCGCGACCACGCCCGCTCTGAATCGAAGTATGCAGCACATCGAGCCGGGTGTCGTCATGCGCCTTCTCTGCGGTTTTCTCCTGCTGCTTGCTAAGCTTGTTTTTGACCTTTCTGGCAAGTTCCTTCTCGCGCTCCTCCTTTTCCTTCTTACTGCCGTCGTCGCTTCCAAGAAGCCAACCCCAGCTCGTTTTTCTTGAACCACTCTCTCCATCCTTTTTATCCTTCGATTTCTTGTCCGTCTTCTTCTCTTCTACCAGGTTAGGGATAATAGAGAGGGCATCGGTTCGGGTACTGTTCCCTGGCAGCGGCGAAGGATGGGAGATGAGATCGTCAAACGACTGCGCAGGTTTGATTGGAGAGGCATTACGGTCGATGCGATTCAGGGGGGGCCTTGATGGCGATTGTCTCTGCGATGGTGGCTGCACAGGCTGTGGAGGGTGCGGTTTCGGTGGAGTTCGCTGAGCTGGTGGGTACCCAACGGCTTGCGGAGGCACCCTTGACGAGTTGCGCTCTGGCAGATGCATTTGAGACTTATAAGGAGATTCCTGGGGCGGCGGCGTCTCGATGATTTGAGGCACTTGCGGCGGAGGAACATAACCAGGTAGCGGAGCTGTTGTCCTCCCGTTTGAGGCGATGCGAGAATGAAATGGCTTAGCGGGATGGGATGGTCTCCGGTCCATTCCAGCGGAATCGGTAGGCTGCGGACTGGAGACATCATCTGCGGAACCGGGCCTCTGCTGGGGTGGCGGAGATCGCCGAGTAGGACGTGAGAAGTTCTCTGTTGAGAGGTTCATCGTCATATCTGAACGCCCGTGAACGGGTTCCGAGTTCACGCGATGGAGACCCAGCCCGGGAATTTCGGGCTCTCTTGGGTATGTGGCTTGGGTTGGGGAAGTAGAGGGCGACTCCTCGTTGTCGGTTTCGACCTGTCTGCTTGCCACACGTTTCGAAAATGGAACACGCTCGCCCTTGCGCAGACTACCCCGCCTGTAGTTGGTGCGCGTGGAGCGCTTCAATGATCCGGGCCCGGCGGGTCTCACGGGGAGAATTGGCAGGTCTTCGCTGATTGGAACTTCGCCGTCCGGGCCAGAGTTTTTCTGCACAGAGTCGATACTGAGACGCCTCATAAGGCTGGCAGGATCCTCGGCCAGCTCTTGCAGCTTCTCCAGACCGCCAATGCGCGGAGGCTGGTTAGCTCCTGATCGTTTCCTTTCCAAGCGCTCAGCGCCATCCCTATAGCCATTCGCATTATCAATCTGCCTCGACAGCATGGATTTCTTCCTCCTCAACCCACCACCAGAACCCGAGCGCCCGAGGGCGCTGTCCGGCGATAAGGAATCCGCATCTCCCGACCGCCGTCTGATCTTGTCCACCTTTTCCTCTATGAATGTTTTGAATTCCTTGGGCGCAAGCTCGGGATGTAGCCGTGCCGGGACCCAGAACAACTTGGACGGATCTTCGTCCTCGGAGAAATGGGGTGGAGCAACTGTCGGAAGGCTAAAGCTTCCAAAAGACGGGAGATCTGGATCTGCCGTGTTTACATCCATTGACATGCGTCGTATCGCTTGTAGATTGCTAAGTTCCTTCGCGAGCGAAGCTGGACTTGACTCGTAATCAATGTCGTTGAGGGGAAACTGTTGAGTAGCCGTATCGGATGAGTTCGACCGCGATAGAGAAGGAGGCGACAGAAGCCCATTGGCACTGCCATGGCCGAAGGAGGTCCTCTTCGACGGCACGCTTGGCTGGTCATTGGTGTTGGGAGGCGATGAGGGCTGCTCGTTGGACATGTGGGCACGGAGTGGGGACTTCGGGGGAGCATTGGGAAAGGGATCGAACGGGGTGTTTAGGTTCAGTGTGTCTCCGAGGGGGTTGCTGATGAAGCTCAGAGGACGAGAACTGCGTTTCGAGGAGTACTGGTCGTCCCCATACATGTCGCCGATGGCTTCGGTGACATGATGGGTGTCGTCGCTGATGGACAGTTGCGAGGCATGGCCGCGCCTGCTTTGGTAGACCCGTTCCAGCTCGGCGGCGCGCTCCGAGGCCTGCGAAGCCGTTGGTCAGCCTTTTGGGGAAGACATGGCGGACGGGATGTTCGTCCGGCCGCGTTGCGGGAGAGAAAGCGGTCCAGATGGGCCACACGACGCTCACAAGATGTGTGCGGCGTACCTGCTGGAACATAGGAGAGTCCATGGATTGAGGACACTCACCTGCATGGCTGTTCAGAGATATCCGGACTGGTGAGGTGGTTGGCAGTCCTCGTCTGCTTCGTACTCTGCTGGGATCGAGGACCGAGGAGAGATCATCGAAGGGCGAGCAGGGGGGGCGCGGGACCGAGAGGGCATGCAGCAGGTGAAGGTGTAAGAATAGGAGAAGCGATCATGACCTCTCAGAGGTCCCAGGAAGGTGTGTGCAGAAGGGCGACGGCGTCGTGGTCACTGATCAGGCCGGTGGAGGGTGAAGGCGTCCAGGCGGTCAGGGATCATGGCTCGGCTAAGGCGGGAGGGCACCCAGAAAGGGACACAGCAGCGGAGAGCGTTCTTGAGGCGCCGCTGTGGAAGGTATGCAACCAGCCAGCGGGACGATCTTGGATAGGGACAGAATAAGAGGGTAAACTTCTTTTGGCTCGAGATCGTCTATGTACCTCGCCCATGGATATGTGCACAAAACAGCTAGACTGCCTCCAGCTCTCACGGAAGAAAGACAAGACACCCCTCCTTTCTCCCCAGAGGTCACTGTACTCCTCACGCGGGGACCCTCAGGCTGAAAAGGTCACCCCCTATACGATGCGCTCACGTTTCCCGCCCACGCGCTCAAATAGAAGCCCATTCGCCTGTATTATTATCACTCGGAGACGTGTGAAGATGGATGTAGTACCAAAATAGGGACTAGTCTCTAGGGACTCCCATGTGGCGAATAATGTAGTTTCTGTTCCTGATCTGTCGGTCCCGACTCCCCTTGCGCTAGCCTTTGAACCTGCCAAGAAATACTGGTTCCGTTTCACAGTCGGCGGACGCCGAACGAGTTGCTTCTCTCTAATAAGCGCCCTGAGCTTCTTGACCCCTTTTTGAACTACTCAGTTCAGGATTGCACATGCAGACTGGAGGTAACCGTGGGAGGGTAGATTAACCATTATACTACTAGACTAAGTCGCCATCGTGCTTCTCGAATCGTTACTCCGCTACGCCTATTACACATCTAAAGACATCAAACTGCACCAGACCTAGCACATCACGAAGAAGCCGCAGCATTGCGTTTCCATACGAAGATCACCGACGCGGCTGCACACGCTATGGCGCCCAGTGTCAGATAGAGGCTCATGTTGTCCGACGACGACTCTTCCTGCTTGGGGAAGGCCGTCGACGGATATGCAGCACATTCAGCGAGCTGTCAAGGTCAGCGAGGTATGATAAAGGACACTTCGAATGCTGGCACCTACATGCACAAACAGTTCGGAAATACTACTCCAAGTCGCACTGACATGCAGGGGAGCCGACATGTTCAGTGCCGCCGTGTACTCGTCCGGCTGCAGCTCGCATCGTTGCATCGTCTTGTCCTGGTCGGCTTTCAATGCCGTGTACACTGCAGGGAGATGGTCGAGGTGCGGGTACTTCTTCCTCAGCTCCACTATGTGCGCAAAGCTGTCGGGCTCGCTCGAGTCGTACGTGAAACAAAGAAGGTCGCAGGCATCCAGCTTGGCCTGATTTTCCAAGATTGCCGTCTCCAGCTCGCCCAGCTCCTCCAAGATCAGGTAGCACTGCTTACCCCCTTTCAATTCCACACTGTTCACGGCCGACTGGGGCTTGATGGTAGGATGGTAAGTGTGTGAGAAGGGCCGCTGAAGGAAGGCAGAAAGGAGGGCGCTTTTCCCACTCCCACTTGATCCAACAACGTAGCACAGGAAGACGTTGCGTTCGACTCTACCTGGTCGATTTCTGCGTTTTCGGGGTTTGGTGACTTTGAGGGCTGTCGTCGTGCCTCCCCGATCGCTCTCAAACCCCAAGTATGCAAGATACTCCAGTGTTGTCTTGGGCTCTTCGAAGGTCGTCATACTCCACTGCGCAAGCCACCCTTGCAACGTGATGTGGCCGGCCTCGTTCCGGACAGTACAGGAGGGGAAGGCCGAGTCGGTCCACGAACGAGGTATGCCTGGTGTGGGCGCAAACAGCGCTGCAAGCTCTTCGTCATTCAAACCCCCATCATTATCCTTGTCAAACTTGATGAACAGATCGACAAAGAATCGGTACCCGGCGGGGCTCAGCTCCGCGGACGAGTGTTGAGGGACATCGAACTTGGGATGCAGGAACGAGTCCTGCAGGCTCAGGCTGTCGGTATAGTGGAACTTCCTGAGAATGATCCAGATGGTCTCGTGCCGACCCTTCTCAGCAAAGATCTTGTTCAGCAGCAGAAACCCCTTCTCATCTATTCCCCGTTCATCCACCGCATCCGGTACAAATCTTTGTATCGACCTTTTCACATTCTGCAGATCGTCATCTGACAACGGTTTCTCAAAACACTTTATCTGAAAATCATGGATCTCCTCGTCATTCCAGTAGCCGTCCTTGTCCTTGTCGCAGAGATGGAACACTCTCTGCAGCGCCGAGACCGCAGCGGGCTTGAGCGCCGCCTCCTTGGAGTCGTAAAGAGGTGCGATGGGATGTGTGACGGCCTTTTGGCAAAGGAAAAAGACCTCGTTGATGTTGTGGTGCTCCTTTGCGCTCGTGCGGATGCAGGAATCGATCTCCTTGAACTCGTTCATGATGGGGAGCATCTCTTCGTGGACCACCTGCGAAGTCGTGCCGTGTGTCTGCAGATCGGACTTGTTTGCGCATAGCACCACTGGGACATTGACGCCCAGGGAGCGGAAGTAGGGCATCCAGAAGAGCGCCACCCGTTCATAGCTGTAATGGTCCGAGTATACCAGCAGGATCACGTTGGACTTGCGAAGCTCCTTTCGCAACGTGTGGCGCTCATGCGGTAGTGCCGAGGTGTCTACGATGATGGTGGTAACGTTGTCGGGGGTGCCCAGGGTGGGAGGTAGGGTCACCTGGGGGAGGACGGGCTGGATCTTTGCTGTAACAAAGACATCTTTGACGAGGGAGGTGATGATGGAGCTCTTGCCGACTCCTTCATCGCCGCATACGCATATTCGGACTGCAGAAGGCAGGGTTTAGCGGTGGAAGCTCTTGAAGCTGTCGAGGCGGGGAGCTATGCGCACCTGTGGCCATAGCGAGCCTGCATTGTTATGAATGCATCCAAGGAGGGGAACTTTTTCAAGTCAGTCGGGAGGCCTCAAACCTCCCTCAAAATCTGCTTTTGCGCCGGACGCAGTGTCGTGAACAAGACATGGTACTTGTGTGAAGCGCATCAGATGGAGGCTGGCGGCGGGCAGCTGGTAATGTCTTGGCTCCGTGGGATGAATTGGGAAGCTCTCCCGCCGGCACCCCCACGCTACCCCACACCTATACCCGAACGGTGAACAGTTGCTTGTGAATAGCCTTGTGGATTGTCCCAGAAACCCGATTGCTGGGAGCTGTGGCAGGTTCCCATCTGTCAGTCTCCTCCATAGCGCTCCTCTGACGCAGGGTCGTGAAGGTGCACAGCGTCTTGTACCCATCTATGGATCTATGGAACGAAGGAGTCGCACTCGAGTAGCGTAGTCTGGGGCCGAAGTCGAAGCGGCCCCAGAAACCCGCCTCGCGTCTGGGGCGCCTCCGCAGTTTGTTACAACACCAACATCATCTATCCGTCGGTTCTGTCTTGCCGGGCCGCCGCCTGTCAACGCCGCATCATTCATTTTCCCACGCGACACTCCCATACTCTGAGCACCGCATACATATCCGCCTGAATCCCTTCGCATCGCTGGACCGCCGCTACGGACCCTCAAGCTTCCCAATGCCCTGAACCAGCCCCGCAAAACCCGGCCTCGCGACCTGGCCCAGAGCCCAGAACAGCGCAAGCTGCAGCCGATTGATTGCCGGTTGTCTACCAGTATATTGCACCACCACCTCCTCCTCCCGCCATGTTGTGAGTATCCATCCCATCATATACACTTCCGAGTTCGTTCTGCTTCCAATCCCACTGGAACCACGCCATGGTCTTGCGCCCACCCTTGACTGACATGCGCTGGCCTTCTCGCTCAGCGTCCTTCCCCCTCCACCCAGATATCCTGCAGGTCCCTACCCCGGCACGCCCGGCGGTGGCCCATTGATCGAGACTAACAATACCGTTACACGCCCCACGGATAACAGCAACCAATTGGTTGTGGGAGAAGGTATGTGCCTTCCATCCAACGCGGACGCCGACGAGCTTCGTCTCACCCTGGTACCATGATAGGAACCTATGTGCTCCGCGACGACCTCTACCTAGCTACTCCACCGCCTCACCCCTCCGAAGCTCCCGTCCACAATCCGAATCCGCTCGCGACCACTATAGCACCTCCGAGTGCAGGAACAAAACTCTCGCTCGTTGCCCTCTCGCCGGCACAACCTTCACAACCTCGACTCTATAGACTGGATACTGCAAATAGCAGTGGCCTCCCTCCGAGCATACAGGAATCTCCACATGAATGGAACAGCCAAGCTAGCGATGCAGGCTCCCACAGCGCTGGTGGACTGACCCGGTCGGCGCAAGGCTCGCAGACGCCTGCATTTGGCGAAGGGAACCCGTCGCTGTCGCTTCCAAACGGAAAGGAGAGCAAGGACCCGCTGAAGAAACGCAAACCGAAGAGCAGCATTGTCAAGAGCAATTCTTCCTTCGTCTCGAGGGTCATACCTCATGAATCGCTGTCCAAGCGGCTGCAGGAACACGATCCCAAGGGGTTTTTCGCATTTGCAAACGTCAACCGGGCGCTGCAGTGGCTCGACCTCTCCATGACAAACAAGGACGAGCATTTGACTAAGGTTCTGTTCACCAAGGCACACGCACTGTGCCACGACGTGAATCAGGTCACAAAGGGACCTACCCATATCGATGTCATCTTGGGCTTCTCAACAGGAGATATCATATGGTATGAACCCATGTCGCAAAAGTATGCGCGCATCAATAAGAATGTGAGTAGCGAGCCATCTCAGCTGCATGCAGTGGCTGACCAACTAGGGCAACATCAACCGGACACCGGTCTCTGATATCAAATGGCTACCGAACAGCGAGAACCTGTTTATCGCATCCCACGCAGACGGTGCCTTGGTTGTGTACGATAAGGAGAAGGAGGATGCGGTATTCGTTGCAGAAGATGCTTCGGCGCCAGATCTACCGTCTCAGAACGGCGAGCGAAAACCGTCATTGACTGTGAGGAAGTCGGTAAACTCCAGGAACCAGAAGACGAACCCGGTGGCGTACTGGAAGGTGTCCAATTCCAAAATCAATGCATTCTCCTTCTCTCCCGATTGCCAGCATTTGGCGGTGGTATCCGAGGATGGGTCATTCCGTATCATTGACTATCTCAAGGAAAAGTGGGTTGACGGGATTGAGGGTGCATGTGGATAGCGGCTGGCTGACTGGATCTAGGCTGTTGCACCTGTTCTATGGCTACTACGGGGGGCTGATGTGCGTGTGCTGGTCGCCCGACGGGAGATATGTGGTGACCGGGAGCCAGGATGACCTTGTGTCGATCTGGTCGCTGGAAGATAGCATGCTGGTTGCGCGATGCCAGGGGCACAACTCGTGGGTGACTGCCGTGGCGTTTGACCCGTGGCGGTGCGACGAGCGCAACTACAGGATCGGGAGTGTGGGCGAGGACTGCCAGCTGTTGCTTTGGGACTTTAGTGTTGGGATGCTACACCGACCACGCGCGGTATGTTGCAAGGCACGGCTTCACCGCTGTGACGGAGATGTTGCTGAAACTTGCACAGGCTTCGGTGCGACAACGAAACAGCATCACGTCGGCGACGTTGCAGATGGCTCGCAGCCGTACCGACGGATCCTTATCCCGATTCCGATCCAATTCCAACCTCACCACAGCCACGGTTGACGACGAGGTGAATGTGCATCCGGTGGATGGGAAAGCGCGCACGCCTTTTCTCCCCCCTGTCATGGTGAGGACCAGATGAGTCAATGCAGCAGCCAATTACTAACGAAGGCCAATACATAGTCCAAAAAGGTCGACGACCATCCGCTGAGCTGGCTGGCTTTTGAAGAGGACTGCATCATGACGGCTTGCAACAACGGTGAGTGTGGCTCCTCGCCCCCAATCTAGACCCTCTTGCATGCGACCCTGGTCATGTGCGATAAGCTTAATCGGTGGATCCCCCGATACGCTTAAGCCAACCGCATGTCCTCGACGTTGCACGCACAGTGGACCCCAACACAGATTTTGAGACAGGATGCTGATAACAAGGGTTGAAAACTTCAGGCCATATCAAGACATGGGACCGGCCCAAGGAGGCTGCCGGCGGTGAGGACGCGCCATCGCTGACATCGACCTGAAACAGCAAAACATTTGTTGAGAAGAGGATTTTTTTTGTTGGTGGGCGAGTCGGGAGGGTATCACACTACTTGTGGAGAGGATTTCGGTGCACGGCTGTGATTTTACTGGCTGCTCGGTTGTGTTGGCGATGAGATGAAACGGTGTTGAGGGATTGAGTCGGGAGGTCTAGCGTTATGTTCCTGTTGGCTTTCAGCGGGAGCGAGGGAATGGCGGCACACTTCACACAGAGTCTGAAGTTGGTGGTCGGATGGAGGCTACTAAATACTTGCGACCTCTTCGCATTGATCGTATAGGAGGAATTGTATTATCAGTCTCTCAGCTATGAAGTCGCAATCTTGGCATCTTGGCAGTGAATTCGAGCACGCCGAGACGGCCAGGTGAAGCATCGGCCACCAACACGGCAACTTTTTTAACGGTGCTAAACTTAGTGCCGAAAAGTCCGCGCCTAGTCGATCGGTGCATCGGGGATACCACGGTCAAGAATGGCAGATGGCGTCTTATAACCACAGTGACATGCCCAATTTGATACCTCCAGGGCTGCGCGATGCTGCTTGCTGCCGGCTATAGGGGTCTTGTTTCCGCAAGGGCCGAGCATGGGGAGGGTACAAGAAGAGGATGGCGCTTCGCTCCCGTCGTTTTCCAAGAGACTGTTGAGTCAAAGATGAAGAGGTGGATTATTCAGTCGTCGCAAGAATGCTACCATACAGTTCCATGTACTACAGTACTGTACATACTTGTACAATCTGTGTAGTACATGATTGGTGGGTGACTGGTAGTCTAGTGCGTCATGGCGACTAGCCCGGTGCCGGTGATGGGTCACGTCACACCCTCCCGGGCCTCGCTTCATCAACAAGCGTTCAAGGGGGACCAGGGGCGCCCTTCCCTCCCGCCAGCCACACGCCCATTCGCGGCAGAACGGTTTTGTTCATCCCGAGAAAATTTCGAAACCAAAGACGGGAAGACGACCTTGGAGAGCAAATCACTGATCAGATGGCCCGGCCGGCTTAGGGCAAATCTTTGCCAGGCCCAGGAATGCGTATCGGCGAACCCGCTGACTACTACACAGTACCTCCACGCCCAAGTACATAATGGAGCCTTCGCCGCCTCCCCTCTGTCTTCCGTTTCAATTGATCCACCGGTCTGCTTCCAGCACCGAACCTGTCGCTTCTGTCGCTCCTGTGGTCCCTGTGATGGGCCCCCCACGCTACGCCTGCCTCATCCCACTCATCGCGCCTTCCTGCTGAGCGCCTTGCTCTGACGTCCACGCATCCGTCGTTTTGCCGTATATTCCGCCCACACCCGCGGCCTCGTATCCCCGGTTCACAGCCACCGCTCGCTCACGTCACTCGGTAGAGTCGTCTCTACCATCGTCCGCCGCTCCTCCGCTTCCCTCTCCCTCACATTCCTCCTTCGCCTTCACACTTCCCGCCATGGCTCAAGCTCCGCCTCAGTCCAGGTCTCAGCCTAGCCAGAGTTGCAACCTGATCGACATCATGTAAGTGAAGTCTTTCTCTCAACCCACATTGACTGTTGCTGACCTAGGGCCGCCAGACCAGACTCAAAGTACGTCGTTTTCGAGGGTTTACCCCATGCCTCGCCCGCCCAAGAAGTCTCCGGCAAGGTGGTCATCAACGCCTGCGGTAGTATCAAAGTGAAGCAATTGAGGTTGGACTTGATCCGGAGGCAGAAGGTCTCATGGCCCACCCAGCACCATCTCAAAGACAAGACCATCCTCACCAAACGAGCTGCGTCCTCCAAGAAGACTTCCCCCCTCGAGCACGTCGATCTCCTTCCTCTTGCCGAGAGCGGTTCCTACAAGCTCAGCCGCGGAGCCCACGAACTCCCCTTCTCCTTCACGCTGCCGGGAGACACAGAGGAAAGCATCGAAGGACACGAAGATTGGTGGAATGTCTACGAGTTGCGAGCCACTTTGGTGAAAGGTCCCTTAGGTCGGACTGTCAAGGAGAGCTGCCACCTTCGTGTCATCAGAACCCAGGGCGACGAGGACTGGGTGCCAGTGCCCTATACTGTCCAGAACCACTGGACGGGCAAATGCATTTATGACGTGCTTGTACCCAACACCAAGGCCGTCATGGGCGGCAAAATGGAGGCCGAGTTCACCGTCACGCTTCTGAACCCAGCCCTGGAAATCATACGATACACCGCAAGCATCCTGGAGCAAGTACAACTGTTCTGTTCATACGACAGCGGTTATCGACCCGACCTTCGAGCCGATCACGTCGCCATGAAGGAGAAATCCTGGACGCTGCCAGAGGATTCGAAGCGCACGAACCCCGACGATTTGGAGTTTTGGGATGTCGAGAGGCTTGAAAACGACGGCCATCGATTCAAGTGCAGATTTGACCTTCCGAACAACCTGAGAGAGTGCAGGCAGACGGCGGACATCGAGGACATCCGCGTCCGCCACAAGCTCATACTACGCTGCTATATACTCAATCCCGAAGGCCACACTAGTGCCCTGGAGATCAAAATACCCATTCATCTCTTCATCTCGCCCATTCTACCACCCAACGATGATCATAGGGTGCCCACCAACCCGGACCTCATCACGTCCGCAGCCGAACAGGTGCAAGAGAGGCTGGCCCCTCCGCCCACCTACGGCGAGAGGCATCTAGACATTTTGTTCAGCGGCATCGATCCCGACGACTTTTTGACTCCAATGGCGCCTGGAAGTGCTGCTGCCAGCGGCACAAATACCCCGTTTTTGGTCGCCAGCCGTGCCACGTCCTCTGAACATCTGCCCTTGGCAATGCCTGAGGGAAGGGCTGACACTCAGCAGCAAGGAGAACACGACGTCGATGCTCTAGTAAATCGTTTGGATGCCTTGCAGCGTACTCCTCTTGCGCAGCGCGACTTCGACCTTCGTGCGCTGTCGCGAATCCCATCATATAACACCGCTGTCCGGACCCCAGCGCCTCGCGATTCCGCACTTATTGCGCCGACGTATACCGAGTCCCTGTCGGTGTAAGTATGCGTCTCATTGTACATCGTCTGCAGCGTCTGTCGATTCCTTGTTTTGGAGTCATCAAATCACGCTGTTCAACGGTCGGAAAGGAGACTAATGTGCGTTTGCACCAACAGCCCTCCATCCCGTCCGTCCTCGCAAATCTATACAGAGTCGACTTTGGCATCGTCACCACCGGCCGCGAGGACTAACTCGACCATATCGACCTCATCCGACTCATCTTCAACATCTGCATGTTCCGCTGCATCGGCGAGCGAGAGTCCCAAGACGTCGATTGAACACGTCTCCGAGCAGGCAATGCAGGCTGCCTCGTCGGAGCAGCCTTCTTCTTCCTCTCCGTTAGTTAAAGATACCCAGTCACGCTCTCCGCCTAATCCTTTTCGGCGCATTTTGAGGAGTGTACATTAGGTTTTGTTGATTTCCTTGCTTTTTGGATGGGAAGGGTGGGGTAGGTACTGTTTTCCTTGCTTTTTGGTCTATCTAAAGAGCCGGCGGCACTATTGAAGCGTTGGTTGGTTTCATGATCTTTATTGGCGATGATGTGATGGTTATGAGTCATGGTTTGGATCTTGACTTTTACTTTTTGTGAAGACAATGTCTTCTGGTTTCAATTTTCTCCCTGTCCTCTTTTCCCACTTTTTCCAGTTCCAAGGTTTAGCGGTGAGTCTACCTTGGCTTGCACATGTGACGGGCGTGGTGGGAGCGGGTTTCCCACCGTTTTTCACTTTTTTTTCTTTTTCTCATTTTCTTTAATCATCTTTTTTGGTTTCCTGGGATTGTGGTATGATATTTCGTTACATCACCTCATGGGTGGTGGAAGACATTGGTACCGCGCGAGGCCTTTTCGTATGGGGCGGGTCATAACTTTGGGATTGATGTTAAAGGGATTCTGAATACTTCAAGATATCAAATTGCAATTTGTGTAATGCAATGCAACGGAGCAGTTAGCATCAGTTAACATCAGTTAACATCAGTTAGCATACATAGCACGCATGCGATTCGTTTAATGAAGACTTTGCCTCTCTGCGAAATCGCAATCTCGTAAATTGTTTGTAGTGGTGGAAGTCGCAGGATGCTTTTTCATGGAGGGTGTGCAAGCTCGATGGGGAGGGAGTAGTTGGGTATTGGGGTCGAAATCGGGGTTAGGGATTGGATTTGGATTTGGGATTGGGATTGGGATTGCAGAGTGGGAACGGTATGAATAGTTTGAATGGTATCATTTATTTTCATTGAAAATGGTATCTTGCTTGCTTTCGTCTCGAGCACCTGATGATGCTGGACCATATCTCATACCTAGGTATCGCATATCTCATCCATCATATGCTCCAGATAGAAAACATGGCATATCGAAAGGCTCCCCGTTCATGACACACACCACTACCACTACCACTTCACTACCACTTCCCTCGGCGAACGCAGTCCGCGAATCCTGCCCTCCCCTTTGGCTCAATCCACTGGTCCAACCGTTCTCCAGACCCGTGCTGTTTGACCCTTCGCCTGAGCCCAACTACGCTAACGAGGCTGGGCCGTAACCTTCCTAAGCAGTGAACTCGCCGACGCCGAAGCCGACGACGAAGAAACGTGTGGGAGACCAGGACGACCGGAATTCCCATTCCCATTCCCGTTCCCATTCGCCTTCCCAGTCCCAGTATTATTCCCGCCCTCACTCGACGGCAGCGGTACATCCGCACCCCCTACCGGAGTCGACTTGCTGCGCCTACCAACACCCGCGAGCGGCGAAGAAGGCGGATACGCATACGCATACGGCGACGTGGACGTGGACGCAGAGTACGACGAGCGAAGCGGCGTCGAGGCGCCCGATCTAGCCTTCGACCGCAACGGCGAGGGCGAAGCCGACGACGATGTCTTGCCGTGCGGGAAACTGTCGTAGTCGAAGCGGGACCTGGCTTCTCCATTGACCACGGCACCGGGCGAAGCAGCACCTCCACCACCACCATCATGATCATGAAACTCATGCTCCAACCACTCCTCGCCTCTCCGCTTAATCGGACTCTCGTCGTACGGATCGAACCCGACCCTCATGCGGGCCTCGCGTCTGACCCTCTTCCGCAGCTCCGCGTCCCCGCCTGCTCCCACAGTGCTGCTTTCCGACAGGAAGAAGGTGAGCAGTTCGTCCGGTATGGCAAGGTGCGACGATTGTTGGAACTGCTGGAGCGCCGTGAGGCGGACCAGCATCTCGAGGAGGGAGAGCGAGGTGCGGATCGGAGGCAGGGTGATGGGTGGGTAGGAAGAGTCATGGGTCGTGGTGGATAGGGTTCGCTTTTCGGGAGAGGGAATCAGTTGTTGGTTATGTTGGGGCGAGGACGAGGGAGACGGGGTGCCGCGGAGGTGGATATTCGAGAGCGAGTTCGTTAATGATGGTGGGATAGAGCCGGTCCGTTGGGTTGTCGAGGAGGAGGACGGAAGGTCGACTTCGGATTCTTCTTCGGCTTCCGAGGCGGACGAGGGGTCTTCGGTGTATACTTCGAACGCCATCCATTCTAGGTCCAGGTTTGGCGGGAGTCGCCAGGGATGTGCATCTTGTCTTTCTTCCTGAGTTGCCAGTGGCTCCTCGGCAGTCGACTCTCGACGGAGTTGCTCGTCTAGCGCAGATTGCTCGTCATCTTCGTCAGATGCGCCGGCAGTTTGCGAATCATCGGACTCGTATTGTGTCTCCACCGTGCTACGCTCCATCATGCGGCGAGGTGGCACAGCGTTGACGTCTCGTTTCAGCAGGAGGATGGGATTGTTCGTCTCTCCCTCGGTGCCGATATTGAGGATCTTGCCCGTGTCCGCATAGAAGATTTTGGATATCTCGTGGATCGGGATTATTTCGCGTATGCCAGCCATATCCACACCCTCATACGCCGTAGGCTGGGGCTCATCTTCCTCGAACGTGTGCACGCGGTCATCCGCGAGGTCCTCCACCACCAGAAGTTGGTACGCGAATTCGTGCAGCTTGCTTTCCGACGGTATGTGCTCGTGTTGCGCTTCGTCGGCCGGCCTCGTGTCGCCTCCGAATGGGGTCGGGTAGTCGTAGACGTTGTCGAGCGGTACTCGTATGAGCTTGACTCTTGCCTTGTGCATGACTTCCTTCCACGTCGTTTCCCTGATGCCTTCTTCATCGTGCGGGCGATATGCATGTCCGGAGAAGAGCATGTACATGGTCAGCGTGAAGACGGGTCCGATCTGTTGAGCTCTCGGGAGCGAGCTACAGTACTGCATATCACCAGCCGTCAGGAAGGTGCTCGCTTGCAGGAGACGAGATGGCGACACAGTGGAAGGTAGAGTAGTGGAAAGGTTGACGCCCGAGGTCGTAATAGCCAGGTTGATCAGGGGAACAGCATCCTCGATGCGCTCGAGCAATTTCTTGATATCCGCAATGATGAGTTTGACTTCCAGCTCGTTCTGCGCCCGCGAGCTCTTCGAGCCACCACTCTTCCTCGCAACTTTACCTTCGCCAACCGCCCTCTCCAGACGAGTGCCCAGGGATTGGATCTCCCAACGGAGCGACTTGGTCAGCGCCACAGCAGACTCTAGCGATGTGTTTCCACGTGCCGCAATGAGTTCGATCATGTCGATGGCCGGGGAAATGATCCTAATCTTTCCCTCGAGCCGGAGCTGTAGAGCGGCGAGCTCTTGCCGTTCTTGGCCATCCACGGTCCTGAGCAGGCGTCCGCATTGCCGGATGGCGTAGGTGCTGGTGATGGTGATGCCGGTGCGGATGGCATAATTCATCGCCTGCTTGGTGACCTGGGTTGTGTTAGCAAACGGCTCCATTTACGCCATGATTTCTCTTAGTTGGAGTTTCGATGAATTATATATTCAGGATGAACTCACCTGGCCAAGCAGGACTTCCATGGTGCTTTCAGTTCCAGGTTGTTGTTACACAAGCTGAAGAGCTCAGAAGAAGTTGTCAGAAAAGGTGAGATACCCTCCGGGGAAAAAGTCCCTGATAAAACTGGGGAAAGAAGGGAAAGTTGGCGCCGTTTCGCACATGGCTTGTGAACAAAGTGAATGTTTGTATTTGTGGCGCTGTCAAAGGGTGGTGGTGGTGGGGTGGTTTGCAGGCAAGTACCAGCCACGGCTTGGCAGCCCTCTGTTCCGCCTTGCCCGCCGCCGCCCCGCCAAAATCGAAAAATGGCTTTCAGGACCGTCGGCTTGTCTCTACTAATCAACCATCCTTTGTGCCTGGACGATCCGCTCCTTTACTCTGCGAACACTCGCTTCCGATAGGTCGTCCGGCTGCGCAAATCTTCATTAACCGCCTAATCCCCATCGCTTCGAATAGACGAATTTGCAAACACATTCGCCGCCCCGCATCGACAGCATGGCTGACTCCTGGGAAGAAGAGGAGAACAGACTCTCCCAACAGGCACAGAACCTGAATCTGGGCAACAACGCTCAAGCCCCTACCTTCCATCCTGGAGCCTCCACATTCACGCCCGGCGCCCAGTCCTTCGTCCCCGGACAGCAGTACCAACAATACGGCGGCTACAACCAAGGCTACGGCCAATACTACAACCAGGGCTACTCGCAATATGGACAGCAGCAGGGTTACCCGCAGTATGGTCAACAATACGGATACCAACAACAACAGGGTTATGGAAATCAGTACGGATATCAGCAGCAGGCTTATCAGCAGTCTCAGCCTCAGCAACAGCAACAGCAACAGCGTCAGACGCCCGTTCAAATCGCTAAGCGGCCTGCTGCGGGAGAGGACGCTGGAGCTTCGCAATCACAGGCCACTGCTGCCCCAGCGGAGCCCAAGGCTCCCAAAGTGCTAAGCATCTCCGCAGAGACAGCCGCACCTGCAAAAGCGAAGGTCCTCTCCATCGGCGCGGACACCACAACACCGAAGGTGGAGAAGACGGGCGGAACCAAAGTGCTCTCCTTGGGAACCGCGCCCGCTCCAGCCCCGTCTGCCGCAAAGGAGACTGCCGACAAGTCTGCTCCCGAGGCAGGCTCCAAGGTTACAGCGGCCAAGGCCATCGAGAAGACGGGAGAGCCTACCAAGTCCTCCACTTCAACTGGGAGGACCTCGCCAACACCATCATCTGGACGGCAGAGCCCCTCGCGCGCCGCTGAAGCTCGTGAAGCTCGCGCGGCAGCGCGTACCGCTGATGCTATTGAGAAGGAGCAGGTCGAAGACGTTGACGAAGCCACCCTCGCGGAAATGTATGGCAAGGAACACGTCAACGTCATCTTCCTGGGACACGTCGACGCAGGAAAGTCCACCCTCGGAGGCAGCATCCTTTATGCCACCGGCATGGTGGATGAGCGGACCATGGAGAAGTGTTAGTATGACCCGTTGACTTGACGGAGGGTAACTAAGCGTACACAGACAAGCGCGAGGCTAAGGAGGCTGGTCGAGAAACATGGTACCTTTCCTGGGCTCTGGACCTAACCAAGGAGGAACGGGCCAAAGGCAAAACGGTCGAGGTTGGACGAGGCTTCTTCGAGACCGAGAAGCGCCGTTACAGCATCCTGGATGCCCCCGGCCACAAGAACTTTGTACCTTCCATGATCGGTGGTGCATCACAGGCCGACGTGGGTGTGCTCGTTATCTCCGCCCGTAAGGGTGAATACGAAACCGGTTTCGAGAAGGGAGGACAAACCCGAGAGCATGCCATGCTCGCCAAGACACAGGGCGTCAACAAGCTCATTGTGGTCGTGAACAAGATGGACGATCCAACTGTAGAATGGTCCGAGGACAGGTACAAGGAATGCACAACGAAGTTGGTCGCCTTCTTGAAGGGCTTGGGGTGAGTGATGCGCGATATCATGCCCTAGCGATTCGTCAAGCGTGTTAACGATTTCCCTAGGTATAATCCTAAGACCGATATTACGCTCATGCCAATCAGCGCGCAGACCGGCCTCGGCATTAAAAATCGCATCCCCAAGGATGTCGCCCCCTGGTATGACGGACCGTCTCTACTGGAGTATCTAGACAGCATGCAGGCGTTGGAGCGCAAGCTCAATGCGCCCTTCATGATGCCCGTGGCGGCGAAATACAAGGACATGGGCACCATGATAGAGGGCAAGATCGAATCCGGTGTCATCAACAAGGATTCCAAATATCTGCTCATGCCCAATCGCGAGACTGTCAGCATTTCTGCCTTGTACGGAGAGACGGAAGACGAAATCCAGAAGGCTGCCTGCGGAGAGCAGGTGCGAATCCGCCTCCGAGGTGTTGAAGAAGAGGACATTCTCCCGGGCTTTGTGCTCTGCTCGCCGAAGCGACCGGTCCACTGCGTTTCTCAGTTTGAGGCTCAGATTGTTTTGCTCGACATCAAGTCCATTCTCAGTGCTGGATTCAACTGCGTCATGCACGTCCACGCTGCTCAGGAAGAGGTGACTTTTGTTGCTCTCTTGCATAAGCTGGAGAAGGGCACTGGCAGGAAGAGCAAGAAGGCTCCTGGGTTTGCCACGAAGGGCATGAGCATCATTGCACGCCTAGAGATCACTGGCCAGGCAGGTAGTATCTGCGTCGAGCGTTTCGAAGATTACCCTCAGCTTGGCCGCTTCACTCTCAGGTTTGTTTCCTTCACCTTCGGGACGAATATGGTGAAGCTAACCTCTTTCTAGGGATCAAGGACAGACGATTGCTATCGGCAAGATCACCAAGCTCATCACGGATGAGACACCTGCGACGTAAAAGCGTGATGTTTTGATACGAAGTTATGCACGTTTCTTTCTTAGGACCTAAGCATGCATGCAAAGCTTGTTGCATAGCGTCGCAGGTATTGCGTAGAGGGCGATGGTGTCAATAGATTGAAAAGAAATCACTCATGTAGCTGAGATCTTATTGCATATATGAATCCGAGTTCTGCTGGGGGAGCAATGTCTCATTTAGGGTGGATACATATGAACATGATGCGTACGCAGTTGTAGCCCTGAATTCGGGAATCCCTGAGTGGGCCGAAAGGAAAAGCAGATGTGCAGCACTCTTATAAGCTAGCGCCACACTGCTCCGTAGCATCAGCGTGAAAGAAAAACAGAACTCCTATAATAGATTTGCAGCCCCACCTGCATCTACATTGCCCGCTGCTATTTAGCTAGGAATTTCTCGGTCCGCGTACGGCAGGTATCAGCGCATGCAGCTAACTCGGCATTCTGTCAGCGAAGAAACACCCTAGCCGAGCGTTCAACGGCAGTCAAAGGTTTGCTCATGCACTTCTTGGCGCTACAATCGACGACAAACTTAAATTGAACATCAAAACTGCTGGATACGGAAGGTTCGGCACAACTTGTCTGAGAGGTGTAGGTTGGAAGGTATTGGCGGGATCGGAGCAGGGATCTGCGCCACCCGAGCTCTCCCGCACCGCCACGCCAAGTCTCATCATCTCAACATCGTTCAGCATACTCACCCATTGAATTACCACCATCTTCACCGCAGAGCACCACAACGTCCATCCACCAAAGATTAGACCGCGCACGCCGCGCTACTTGCCTCTCCATCACCAACCACCATGCAAGGCTTCAACATGGGGCGGTACTACCCGCCGGACTCGGACTCACGGACCCCACAATTCAACACATCAGCCGCGCAGCACCGCTCCAAGGGCGTGCCCATCGTGCGCTTCGAGCTCCCCTTCGCCGTGTGGTGCCAGAAGTGCAAGCCCGAAGCCATCATCGGCCAAGGCGTGCGGTTCAACGCCGAGAAGCGGCGCGTGGGGAACTACCACAGCACGCCCATCTGGGCGTTCCGCATGAAGCACACGGCGTGCGGGGGGTGGTGGGAGATTCGCACGGATCCGAGGAATGCGGCGTATGTGGTTGTGGAGGGGGCGAGGAGGAGGGAGTATGGGGCCGAGGGGGGGAATGAGGAGGAGGAGGGGGAGTTGAGGTTTTTGACTGAGGAGGAGAGGGAGAGGAGGAGGGGGGATGCGTTTGCGAGGTTTGAGGGGAAAAAAGAGGATAAGGGGTTGGAAGAGAGGGGGAGGGATCGGGTGCAGGAGTTGGTGGTCGCGCAGGAGGTGTGGAGGGATCCGTATACGATGAATCAGAAGTTGAGGAGGGTGTTTCGGGGGGAGAGGAAGGTGTTGGAGAGGGAGGCGGGGGTGAGGGAGGGGCTGCAAGAGAAGTATGGTCTTGGGTTGGAGATTGCGGAGGAGGTGGAGAGTGATGCCGCGAGGGCTGGGTTGGTGGATTTTGGGGATAAGGGGGCTGCTGATGCGGTGGTTCGGCGGGGTCTGTTTGAGACGAGAGAGCAGGAGAAGGGTAAGGGGGCCGTTCCTCAGAAGGGGAAGCTCAAGAGGGAGATTGTGCTTGAGGAACGACGTAAAGAGATAAGGAAGAGGCTGGTGGGCAATACCAAGGCCGCCATCGATCCCTTCCTCTCCAATCTTAAAACGAGCATGAAGACCACCTTCCGGATAACGAAGCTGAAGCGGACTGAGAAACCAGAAATGAAAGAAGAGACCGGCAGTCTGAAACGGAAGCGGAGTGAGGAGGGAGATGGAGAAGTAGATTCCGGACAGCCTCCCACGCAGCGAGTCAAAGTCGACTGTCTGTCACAAGCTCCAGCCCAGGATACAGGGCCGCCAGTGGCATTGGTTGGTTATGACTCTGATTAGGATGCCGAGGTCTCCTATTCCCGCTCTTATGTCTACCATGGTCAGCTACAAAGAGCTTTCTGGGTGCATTGGATGTTGTTGCTCAGACTCCAGACACTGTGCATCAGGCGGGGAAACCTTTCCGATTTTCATCGCCTTCATGGACGTAAGCATTACTGGCGTTATATACCCAATTGATTTGTTGTTTCAACCTCAGACACTGTCAAACCATGAAATACCGGGCAAACCCTCTGTGCCATTAACATACCCCCTGGTCATGACTCCCACATCTGCCTCACATTTAGATTAACCCTCTTCGTCTTCATCCACCCCTTCCACTCCTCATATTCCCCTTCTCCTCCACTTCCACCCGGCCACGCCTCCAAATACCCCGGGCACGTCCCCGGCACAATCTGCGGTACACCATGCCAGGCGAACCGGCTCTCCCCACTCATATACAGAGCACTCCCACTCCTAAGCCTCAGGACCAGCGTCTTGCTCTCCCTCTCTTCCACCCTCTCCTCCTTCTCCCCTCCCTCAGCACCAATGACAAATACGGCATCGCACCCCAGCGATATACTAATCAACCCCGTCCCACACCTCTCGGCCACATCGCGATGCACGCTCAGCGTATCCCCCGGCGAGTAGAGATTCACAATCGCCGCCTCGGCCCTCGTCTCCGGAAACAAGCCCTCCAGGAGATCCCCGATGTCTGGTGGAAATGCCGGGGGAGGCGTTGCCGGATACCGTTTCAGCGTCCAGTCGTACTGGCCGCCTAGGGTCATCCAGCGGAGCTTTTTGGTTAGGAGGGGCGTGATGGGGAGGGGTTTGTGGATGGTTGGGTCCAGTGGGTGGGCTATGGGGGTGGGGTGGGTGGGAGGGAGGGAGAAGAAGGAGGAGTGGTTGGGCGGGTAGGAGAGGGTGTAGTGTGTGTGGATGTTTGTGAGGTGCGTGGGGTTGGAGAGGTCGCGGTGGAGGAGGCGGGAGAGGAGGGTGGATTGGACGGGGGGAGGGAGGAGTGCGGGGAGGATGTGGAGGCCTGGGAGGGGATTAATCACTGTTTGAATTGAGTGGGCAAGCTTTGCGAGGCATGGCGGATTAAGGATTCCATTGTTTGTTAACGGGGGAATAGGATACAGGAGTTATGACAGTGTTTCGCAGAGCGAACTGAATAAGTACTCCCCCACACATTCCACAGGGTCGACCATTGGGATGGTAAACCTACCGGGCATATCTGCGTGTTCGTAAACCGGAATGGGAGCATCGGGGATGTCGACTTCTACATCCACAAATTTCCGGAAAGCGCCCCTCAATTGTTGGGGATTTATTTCTCTGACCGTTCTCACCTTCGTATTTTCCTCTCTCAATATATCTCTTTCTGGATCCACAATGTCTGCGTCGCCATCTAGCTGGGTGGACTTCATCTTCTGATATTTCTTATAGACATTTCGAATTCCATCTGGAGGGCGTTGGTGCGGGTCCAGTGATTCCATCGCTCTGACCTCTTTCGATTCGTAAATGGTCCTTTCTTGTCACTCAAAACCAGAGATGAGGTTGTCGGATATCGATCGATCGTAAAATGCAGGGACCCGCACAGGCCGCCACGCCTTTCCCGAATCGGACGACGCGCTTGGGCCCCGCGAGTTTGTAAACACGCACCGCACCTGCAGCTTGCAAAACCGGTAACAAAGGCTGTTCTCAACCTACGCCCTTGCTTCCTCCTCGCCGATAACATACTAACCCGCAGGTCACTCAGATAGTCGCTCTCTTGCGTGTTATTTACACTTTTGGGGGTCTTGATTCGCTGCCAAAGGATCTCGGACACCAGCAATTCCCCGCGTAAGCCACCGTCATGGAGAACTATCAGAAGATGGAAAAGATTGGGGAGGGTGAGTTTGATGCCGCAGCCACTCTGACGGCTGACCGGGATTGTATTGATGCTAACGTTGCGTAGGAACCTACGGCGTCGTCTACAAAGCTCGCGATCTCACAACCAAGGACAATAGGATTGTCGCCCTCAAGAAGATCCGCCTGGAGGCCGAGGATGAAGGCGTTCCCTCAACCGCTATCCGAGAGATCTCGCTCCTCAAGGAGATGAACGACCCCAACATTGTCCGCCTTCTGAACATCGTGCATGCCGACGGCCATAAGCTCTACCTCGTCTTCGAATACCTCGATCTCGATCTCAAGAAGTACATGGAGGCGCTCCCGGTGAGCCAGGGTGGGCGTGGGAAGCCTCTACCTGAGGGTTCAGGTCCTGCCCTCAAGTCGTTGGGTTTGGGCCCCGAGATGGTGAAGAAGTTTATGGGTCAGCTCTGCCAGGGTGTTCGGTATTGCCATGCTCATCGAGTGCTTCACCGCGATTTGAAGCCCCAGAATCTCCTGATTGACAAGGATGGCAACCTCAAGTTGGCTGATTTTGGTCTGGCGCGTGCCTTTGGCGTCCCGCTACGCACATATACTCACGAGGTACGCCTTTGCAGGCTGCCACTTTGAGCTTTACTAACTGGCACTCAGGTGGTCACGTTATGGTACCGTGCTCCCGAGATTCTGCTGGGTGGTCGGCAGTACTCGACAGGCGTCGATATGTGGTCGGTCGGCTGCATCTTCGCCGAGATGTGCACCCGCAAGCCTTTGTTCCCAGGTGACTCTGAAATTGACGAGATCTTCAAGATCTTCCGGTACCCTATACTGTTTCTACAAGTGCGAATACGGTTTGCTAACGAGAAGCAGGGTACTTGGAACCCCAGACGAACAGGAGTGGCCCGGCGTGACATCCTTCCCCGACTTCAAGTCTTCATTTCCCAAGTGGAAACGCACCGACATTGCGACCATAGTCACCAACCTGGACGACGCAGGCTTGGATCTTCTGGATGCTATGCTTGTCTACGACCCGGCTGGACGCATATCAGCCAAGCAGGCGGTCCAGCATCCCTACTTCACCGGCTCAAACGGATACGGCGGGTATTGATATGTCAGCAACGTCCCTGGAGGATAACGACTGTAACGGTGAACGGAAACATGTGGTACAGATAACAGTCTCAGTCCCTACGTTTCTTTTGTACTGGTATAGGCGTATGAATAGCGGAAACGGCGTCATAGGCGTTTTATTTTGGGTAGGTGTCTTTGGACTTTCGGGTAGCATCACTGGGCAATCGGCATTGTGTGCATCAAACATTTTTGTTCCGCAGTTGTGAACACTTTGTTTTCTGTGAATGGTGGTGCTTCCTATGACGCCACCAATCATTTCCCTCCCCGCACCGCTAGTGGGGCATCTAGCTCCGCAACCAGACCTTAGACTACTCCTTTGCACACCTCACATCGTCTCAGATGCCACCACAAGCCCCCGAACTTCTTCCTACACACGAAGGCCCACGCCTCATCGTCTACGCTCAGACCTTTCACGATGAAGATGGCCATTACCATTCATTGCTCCCGCTCATAACAGAGAAGACCGGCATTACGCATGTTATTGTAGCCGCCATACATATCAATGAGGATCCCGACAAGATTACTCTAAATGATCACCCGCCAGAGGACAAGCGCTACTACACGCTATGGAGCGAAGTAAAATGGCTTCAGGGCCACGGCGTCAAGGTGCTGGGTATGTTGGGTGGCGCCGCGAAGGGCAGTTATGAGCGTCTGACGGGGAGTGAGGAGCAGGTAAATACACTGGCTTTCCGTTACCTCAACTTAAGGAGGTTCAATCTATATATCTGCACAGTAATCTGACGAAATCCAGTTCGAGCGCTACTACACGCCGCTCAAACGCCTCATCCAGATCCACGCCCTCTCGGGCCTCGACCTCGACATCGAAGAACCCGTGCCGCTCTCCACGCCCTCCCGCCTCATCACCCGTCTCCGCGCAGACTTCGGCCCAGAATTCCTCATCACCATGGCCCCCGTAGCCACCGCCCTCCTCCCGGACCCAAACATCCCTCCCCACTTGCGCCCGCCGCGCCCCATGCTCGCAAGTCCAGGAACCACGCCGAACCCCCTGCACAAGACGCTCCCGCACCTCAGCGGCTTCAGCTACCCGGCGCTCGAGTGCAGCGCCGCAGGGCAGGAGGTAGCGTGGTACAACGCGCAGTTCTACTGCGGGTGGGGCGACGCGCGGAGCACGGCGTGGTACGAGGCCATCATCGCGGCCGGGTGGGCGCCTGAGCGCGTGGTCCTGGGCGTGGTGACGAATCCGCGGAATGGGGCCGGGTTCGTCGACGTGCAGAGGTTGAGCGAGGTGGTGGGCGAGTTGAGGAGGAAGTATTCCGGGGTGGGCAAGGGGTTTGGTGGGGTTATGGGGTGGGAGTATTTTAATGGCGGCGAGTCCGAGGAGGATTTGGAGGCTGTCACGGAGCCTGAGGTCGGGTGTGAGACGCTGAGGGCTGGGTGGGTGGGTGTGTTGGGGAGGGTGTTGAGGACGAGGGATGTCGTCGCTGGTGGTGGGGGGCAGCAGGTCGGTGGGGTGGGGAATGTTGCGTCGGAGGAGGAAATCAGACGGATTGTCGAGAGTTTACCGGGCGCGGAGGTGCCGTGGCCGGAGGAGAAGATTCAGGGGTTGGTGGCAATTGGGTTTGAGAGGCATGAAGCGGTCGCGGCGCTGAACGCTACGGACGGCGATGTCGATCTCGCTGCCGGTTTCCTGTTTGATCATAGGTAGGCGGGAGCTTTTTGGTAGTGGATCAAAGGTGGAGTTGGGCAAAGTACCAGCAACATGATTGAGGTGCGAGTAGAACGAAGAGATACCCAACGAGGCAGGCATGACGAGCGAAATCTCAACGTATGATAGATAATGGGAATGACAGAATTATAGGTAATGGACCACGATCCAAAATTACGAGCAGCGCTCAACGCAGGTCCCAAGTACGCCATCATACCAGCGAAACCACATGTACAAAAAGTCCCTTATTCCCAGTCATCATCGCTTTCCTCCGCCACGACTTCCTTCTTAGGGCTCGAAGGGGCTCGCGTAGAGGCGGCGCTCACAACATCATAGCTCGCGTCGCTGTCCGCAACAGACTTCTCATCGTTGGAGCGACGAGGTTGGGCAGCAGGCTTGAGAAGGTCGTTTGCCGACTCCGCCTTCAGCGTCTCTTTCGAGGCGGCGAGGTTGGTGGTGGAGTCGGTGGGTGCGGTTTTGGTGATGGGCGTGTCGGGTTCCGAGTCCGAGTCTTCGTCCCAGGCGACTTCTTCCTCTTCTGTGGGCGCCGAGGCTGGGGTGCAAGTTAGCATTGTTGTACACAAAAAAGGGGGTAGGTGGAAAGCAGAGGATCTCACCCTTAAGCATGTCCCTCCTCCTCTGCTCCTCACTCTCAATCACATGTCGCAGGAAGTAGTACCTGCACCAAAAATCCTTGTACTCTACCTTCTCGGGAACCAGCTTCTCCATCGCCCGCCTCAACTCCTCATACTTCTCCAAGTCCTTGGCAATCGCATCCGTCTTCCTCTCCACATCAAACCCCTCCTTGAACGGCCCCCACTGCGGGCTCACGGGATCCTTGATGAACGAATCCAGCGACGAGTGAATCACATGCAACTGCGCATCAAACCTTGTTGTATGAATCACCCTCCTCCCCTCGCTATCCTGGCTCTCAAACAGCACCTTTGACGACCCAGCGCCGGATCCCTCTCCCCCGAGCGCACCGGAAGCCTCAGGCGGCGCGACGGTGACGGCTTCGCGCAGGAAATTGGCAATGTTGGTGCCGAACTTGAGCAGCGCTTCGTCGGCGGCGTTCTCGGCTTTCTCAATGTCTTTGATGCGCTTGGCGGCTTCGGAGCGGAAGCGGGCGAGCATGTTTTCGGCTTCCTTGACGATGTCGGCGGGGAGGGATTCCGGGCGGTCTGGGTGCGATTCTGGTGATGGGGGCGCTTTGGATGTAGATGCGGTATCTTCTTTGTCCTTGGTGGTGGTGGCGGTGGTGTTGGGGTTGGAGGAGGAGGAGGAGGGAGTACTAGGTTGCACGGAGAGGGAGCGGATGTGGCTCGTCAGGGAGGAGAGGCCTGCGGTTGCGTTCGCGCTGGCGACGGGGAGCTGTTTGCTTGCTGTGGTGTAGTATTGCTCTCCCTACAGTTCTGTGTAAGCGCGATGGCCGATGAATACCGGGAACGGGATCCAGTGTACCTGTTTCTTCACGGAGCCTAGGAATCCCCCAAGGCGAGCTGCCCAGGGACTGCTGGATATAGCCTTATATGCATCCTGGAGCTCGGTGTTGAAGTCGTTGGTTTGCGGTGTACTCCCCTCGTTGCTCTGTTGTTGCGGCAGTGGGTCCTCGGGATAGCTTTCTTCTTGGATGTGATCGTAGGCGGAATCCATGGTGTTTTGCTGTAGGAAGAAGTAAAGTTTACAAAGGCTGGGAGAAAAGGAAGGGGTTGCCTCCGATATGAGGGCTATGAGGGTCTGGAGCGACGTCGTCCAGTAGCGTAGGGGAGGCCGTCCCGAGTAGAGAAGCGGGCGCTCCCCTCCGCAAGCGGGATGTCTTGGCATATATTGGTGGACGAACCCTTTGAGCGATTACTTTCTTTTAAAAAACATAAAACGTTGTAAAACGTCTGCAAGTCTAGGTTTTGATAATCACGACTCTAGCAGGCGAATTGGGTGTTCATGTCCTATGTACTTCTACGTAAGCGTTAGGTGGTTGTTTTGGTCGAGCTGGGATGGCGTGTATATATTCTGCTGCAGTCCGACAATAGATCTGGAAGTGATCATATTCGTATCAGAAATATTTGGCTTCTTTCTCGTAACCCTGCACATCTAAGGTATTGATATCCTACGCCGAGACTAAGCGTTCCCCTCAACTTCACCCGATTTGATTTGTCCCAGACTTGGAGATTTTCGGCTCATTATTCGTGATATGATCCATCAAGGCAGTTCTTGAGAAGACCTCACCTCCTCCCCTTCCGCACCACTTTCTCGAAGCCATCCTCGTCGATCTGTCGTTCCGGTTTCTCCTTGGGCTGCGCAGGAACCAGCGGCGGCGCATCCTCCATCTCTTCATCCTCGTCAGACTCCTCATCGACACTATCCCAGTCCCCCTCTTGCTCCCTTTCCACCACATTCACACCCCCAGTCGCAACTTCCCTCCCCTGCCTTTCCTCCCACCTCTTCTGCAGCGCATCCACAGTCTCAAACTCTCCCCTTAGCGTCTCCTGCCGTATCTTCAGGATATCCCGCGCCACAGGCACCTCCGTCTCATCCTCTATCCGCACCCCAAACTCATCTTCCATAGCCTGGAGCAGCACGACTTCAATGTCCTCGGTGTCCGTCTCCGGGTTCTCCGCAAAGATCTCGGATATCGCGCCGGCGAGCCAGTCGCGCTTGTCTGCGCTATTGGGGCCACCCCATTGGTTCTGTATTGCGACGGTCAGGTCGGGCCAGTTGAAGAGCGTGTACCATATCCCTAGGTCGAATTTGCGCTGTATTTCTTCTGCGAAGTTGTTAGACGGGAATGAGAAACGGCGTTTTTAAGGACTTCACCGGCGCTTGCGGTGATAGCCGCAGGTTCTACGGAGTTGGACATATTTTTGCTCCAGGTCTTTTGGGCGCAAATTCCTGAGATGCTCGGGTAGAAGAGACGAGAGAGTGGGTCGGATCTCTGTCGGACGTCATCCCCCTTCAGAACCAGGGATCGACCATAATCGGAGCAGTACGGCAGATGGACAGCTTTTTAGGAGGGAAAGGGCATACTAATAAGCAGGTGAATGGTGCGCAAGGAAATTGCTCGTTTACATGTGTGATTTTTTAGATATAATGGCGGGGAGGTACAGAAGGACACGGCACGTGACTGCCCCTTAATCTAATCAGATTTTGCCTATTTCGGCCAGCACTTGTACTCCTACAATCCACTTCACCCCATTCATGCGTCACCTTCTCTGGCCGCTACTCCTTTTTGTGCATACACGCCATGTTGCAGCCGCGGTCCGGAGAGGCGGTCACTGCTTCGATGCCTGCGATCTCACGCTAACGTATCTCGACTTCAACGACACGGATCGTGCCCTGTCGAAGAAGAGTCGGACTTGTCAAAGTGCGCTCCATGCGACGTCTTTGTATTTGTGCATCGACGAGCACTGCGTAGAGGATGGGAGGGAAGAATGGTTAGATGGGGTCAATGGAACCTGCCAAAATGCGGCAGGCATATCAATACCACCATGGACCATTATTGACACCTTTACTCCTGAAGATAGAGCACATGTAAGAAGGTTGAAAGCGGAAGAGGGCATGTGGTATTCTAGAGGTCCTCCTTTGAACGAAGTTGTGTTACCAGATGATGATTTTTTCGACCGAGCTTTCAAGACTTTGGTATGACTCCCCTTAGAACGCCGGTCTGTATAGACGGACTAACCGAATGAAAAGGAATTTGCGTTTTTTGAGATAGATACTCACTGGTTATATGGGTAAGTTCTTGGACGTTGTTTGAGGTGCCATTCATTAATGAATTCAGAATTGCTATGTACTACTTTTGGGCTGCAGTAATCACCATCGGAATTTGCTGGCGTCTGGCCTTCCTGATTCAGGAGATTCGACATCGGAACTTTCAACGTATTCCAGGCGACGACCTCGAGTTGGAAGACGTCAATGGGCGCAAAGGCGCCCAGGTCACACTAAGAGCATATGGCCTACTAAAGCGCTACATCCTCGTCCCAGCTACATTCGGATACCGCTGCGCGCAGAACATAGGCTGGTGCACTATTCCGCCCCGAGTACAAAGTCTCACCATCTTCGCCTTTGTAATCCTCAACCTCATCCTATGTTGCATCAGCTATCCAGTCTTCGCTGGTAATCTCTATTGGCCGTTGGTATCCACGCAGCTGTGGCGCTACGTCTCTGACCGTACCGGAGTGATTGCACTTGCAAATTTCCCTCTAATTTGGCTGTTTGGAACGAGAAACAATGTCTTGATGTGGCTTACCGGATGGGGATTTGGAACGTACAACAGCTTTCACAGATGGGTGGCTCGGGTGGCTACGGTGCAAGCGGTTGTACATTCTGTTGGGTACACTGAAATGGTGTTTGAGCGTGAGTATGGTTACCTTACAAAAGCGATCAGGGTTGTTAACCAGTGCAGGCGGGAATTGGTCTCTATTCATGAAATACTTGCGCAAACACTACTTCTGGAACGGCGAAATCGTAAGCTGGCCATCTGCTAAGCTCGCTCAGTCCGATAGTCCAAAATCTCACGTATATGATAGGCAACCGTCCTCATGTGCGCAATCTGCGCATGTTCGGTTTACGGTCTTCGACGCTGCCATTACGAAATCTTTCTGGTCACCCACATCTTCCTCTCCATCATTGTGCTCTTAACAACGTTCTAGTGAGTACAGCCACCTTTTTCTCTTATCCCAAATGCTCACAACGTTCCAGTCACGTCGAGATTTTCAACGGCGAATGGAACATCTTCATCTGGCCCTGCCTTGCGATCTGGATCCTGGACCGCGCCCTCCGCCTCCTCCGCATTCTGGCCTTCAACAGGATAATTTGGAACACCTATGCAACAGCTACATACGACTCAACCTCTAACATCGTCCGATTGAAGGTACCATGCGAGCAGAATCTCGTGCGACCACAACCGGGAGCTTACTACTACATATACGTTCTCAATGACCTGCTATTTGCGCATCAGAACCATCCATTTACACTGGCATACATGTCCTCGAACGATGGCGCCGATTCAACCGATGGGATTCATATCTCCCGCCACTGCAGAGCCGATTCCACGACATCGTCAGTATCTTCCGAATCTTCCTCCCTCCTGCGCCCCACGAGTCCCCGGTCACCAACACTAACCTTCCTCATCCGTCCCTACGACGGACTGACCTCCCGCCTGCGCCGCATTTGCACAAGCGCTTCCAGAACTTCCGTCCGCGTCCTCGTCGAAGGACCTTACGGTGCACAGCAACCGCTTCACACCTTCCCCTCTGTGCTGTTTATAGCCGGGGGGACGGGCATCGCGGTCGCGCTGTCGTATCTTCCTTCCCTGTTACGTGAAGATGGGGAAAGCGAGGTGGTGGACGTACATCTTGTATGGGCGGTTAGGGAACAAGCACTTTGGAAACAGGTGCTTCAGACGGATATCCCGAGCATGGTGCTGAGGGATGATAGGTTCAGGGTTACTGTGCATGTGACGAAGGATGTGGATGACGGAGGGAAAGACGCTGATGATGCTATCGACAGTTCTCACATTGCTGATCGGAGATATGACCAGGAAGTCATAGGGCATGTTGAGGCCAAAGGTGGGAGACCGAACGTCAGCGCCGCAGTCGAAGATGCCGCGCAAGAGGTAGGTAGGGCAGGGAGATTAGCGGTTGTGGCATGTGGGCCGGCGCAGATGGCGGATGAAGCGCGGAGAGCGTGTGTTGGAGTGTTGGGAGCAGGATATACCGGGGTGGAGTACTTTGAGGAGAGTTTCAAGTGGTAGAGGGATTATACATGGAGATAACGAGTACTATGATGCTGCAGTTTGTACACCTGTCCATGTTACTTGAGAACAATGATGCGCGATTAGTGTTTTGCATATCTTGGTAGAAGCATTTTCCACGGTAAAGAACGTTATATCAAACACCAGTTGGACTTGTAGATATCGAGTAATGTTTAACAATGTTTAACTTGGGATACCACCGCTTGAATCATGTGTATTACCCATTTCCCAGTTCACTGCCCAACGTATCCAAGGAGAACTAAACCGCCAATCCCTTGACCATCACTAGTTCATACAAATGCCCAATCCAAAGGTCCAAACTTCTCCCCCACCCCGAGACGACATACCCAACACCTCACACCTCCAACCTAACCACCCAATCACCCCTCAATCCCCAAATGATCCACCCTCCGCACCTGCTTCTCCCCCTTCCCTTGACTCTCCTCCACCCTCTTCTGCCGCGCTTGTCCAACCTCCCTACTCCTCTCCTGCTTCGACTCCGCCACCTGCCTCCCATCCGCATACGCCGTCCCCTGCCCCGCCGCATACCCCTGCGCGGCGCCGCGCTCCTCACCCTCTTCTACAGAATGCGAAGCCCCATCCGGTTGCGTGTGCGTAGTTTTCTTCTTCTTGGAGGAGAATGCACCACTGAGGGCGCCGAAGATGTTGAGGTTGAGGCCGGCGGAGGCGTCGGCGCGGGCGGTGTGCGTGGTTGTTTCTGTGTCGCGGGTGTAGTGGTTTTGGGAGAGGTCGGCGGATTGGTGTTGGTGGGATTGGAGGGCTTGCTGGGAGGAGGCTTGTTTGGAGAGGGCGCGGGACATGTTGGTTGTATTTACCCAATGAAGGATGAGTATAGTTTGTGTGTGAATGCTGAGGTGTTGATGAGATAGGAGGCTCTAAATCGGCAATGGTGGGGGGTTCGATTGTTGATGACCAGTCCTAAGGCGGTAACGATATGGAAGTCTAAATACTTCTCGCTACCTGGTCCTTCTACTTGTACTTGTGCCTGGCGCTGACCATCATCATCAGAACCCTTTGTGTGAGGTTGATGATGTGAAGGTGCAGCATGACATCATGGGCTGTCGGTCGCCAAGCGGACGCACGGGCCTTTGGTGAATGAACCCCATCCTGTTTTTACGAGTTGACAGCTATGACAGGAGACGGCCTCGCTAATATAGATCGGACTCTGAGGTAGCTCTTCAAAGCCATAGGTGAGAGGTATGTTTCGGCACAACTATCGAGAGTCGTCGGATATGTTGTTCGGATGCTCGAACCCAGCGGGCTATCTCAATGCCTCCATGAGATTATCCCAGAATCCGAGATCATAGACATTCTCCACGGCGCCGATATTCCAGACTCTTTCAAAGCTGTCCTCGTCTGCCACACAGCGTATGCGCTCTGGAAGTCTCGTCGGCGGTTGTCCGTTCAGGGTCCGTATCAGCACATGACGGCTCTCCAGCGGCCAGGATGTGCGTGGTTCCGCTGGATCTTCTTTTTCCTCTTCCTTCTTTCCATATACACCCCGTTCCAAAGCCTCTCCAGCTTGGATCCTTTCGACCTTCTTGCTGTGACCCAGGAAGACGCAGCCATCAGCCATATCATCCCTCCAATCTGCCCACTTCGCATTCTCATTCGTTGTCATTCCCGCCCAAATCAGGTAAATATGATAGCCAAGCAGTCCCAGCGGAAGCGGCCAAGTCAGAAGCGCTAGCAACCCTACACCTGAGGCTCGCACACCCCCGACATCGATGTATATCGACGCGTAGGTGGTAAGATAGTGCCATTTCGTATCACCCCAGCGAGCCCACCCGTCCAGACGATTCTGATTCTTGTATCTGTACCATCGCTCATGTTGCGCATAGTACCTCTCTGCTCGGGGATGAATAACGCTATACGCAAGAAAGGCGGCATATGCAAGCAAGATGCCCGTTGATAGAAGCAGCGCCAGGAACCACCGGTAATTCCCTCTTCCAAGACAGTTGTTCACCCAAATGCAGTGGTGATCCATACGCGCGACGCACGTTTTGCAGATGCGGCAGTGCTTGCTACGAGCTGGTTTGAGGAGGTTGCACGTTTTACATGTGACCTCTGGATAAAAGAGCACACGGTCGTAGGGGTAGAGGCGCATTTGTTCCGAGTGGTTGGCGGGCGTGATATATGTTTTACTATTCTTCTTGGCGCTGAGGTAGGTGAAGAGATAAGGAAGGGGCAGGAGTAGAGGAATGAGGAGTTTGTGGTGAAGGGGCAGAAGGGGCCATGTTGCTGGGAGAAATAAGGCAGCACTGATGGAGACCAGTCCAAGGAAGAAGATGATGACCAAAGGGTGCTTCTCGTTGATTAGGTAGTTACCCAAGCGAGAGAACGTTGAAGCTATTCGCCCGTTTGTGAAGTAGCTGTCGAATTTCGCAAATAGAGACGGAATGCGGACGAAGAGAATGAGGTGGATCCAGCCAATGGGTGTTTTTCTAAAGACATGAGCGTGGGGTTTCAGATATTAAGGGGGAGACCTGCCTGAAAATTGGTAAACGCCCGAAGAAGGCGACGAATGTCACAAATGACACTGAAAAGGTGAATATGAGGACGTTACGCAGCAGAGCCATCGTGAAGGATGCCGGCGCCACACGAGGGGCGAAGACAACGACGGAATTTACGGCGCCTATCGTATTCCACACAGCGCGCAGTATCGTCGACGTAAGACTTTTATATCAAACATCATGTTATGTGTGTAAAGTCCACCGGCTGTCGCAACCATTGAACTGGAAGATGAAGATGTTGACCGACGCCAAGACTGGTCCCGTGACAGCGTGTTAGCACGCGTCACCCCCACCCATTAGCTCACTTCACTTCCCGCAGCTCCAACCCACCCCACTAGTCAGGATGGCAGCGCCTACTGTCTACGAGAATGTCGCCCCTGGCGCGAATATAAAGGGCTCACTTTTCGCCGGCAAGAAGTTCTGGGTCTCCCAGCGCATCCCCCAGCGGACGTCGTTCTTGGAGCGCATCAGGAGCAATGGCGGCGAGGTGGTGTTGCTAGAGAAGAAGGCGGATTATATGATTGCCGACCACTTCCGAAAAGACTGTCCTCCGGGGAGTATCTCGTACACGTTTATTGAAGAATCTATCAAGAGCGGAGCGCTTGCGGATCCTGAAGACCATCGCGCGGGACCACCTCTGGGGACTGCACGCGAAGCTGGATCGATGGTCAGACCCACCAAATCGAGTCGAGCGCCGTACACGACTGAGGACGATAGAATACTCTACAACTGGGTGAAAGAGTACGAGAGGCAGGGCGGTGCGGTCAGCGGAAATGAGATATATAAACAGCTCGAGGCGAAGGTGAGAGGGGGGATTTAGTATCCGACGGGCTATAGCTGATTTCAACAGCATCCGCGACACACATGGCAGTCCTACCGCGACCGGTATTTGAAGAGGCTTCAGCACAGAAAGCCACCTACGCTCAGTGTTCCGCACAACGCTCCCCCGTCCCCTCCGTCTGATCAATCCGCAGATCAGCTCCAATCCGAACCCCAACTAGAGCCTTCAGAGCATAACGAGATGCGAGCCCCAAAGCCCAAAAGCACGCCCCCCGTCAAAAAGGGGGGAGCAGGAAACGTGAAACAGGAGCGAGCAAAGCAGAAGAAAAGCCACACCGTCGAGGAATTACGGGGGATGTTTGATGAGGAGGACTGGGAAGAACTCTATGCGAATGTGGACACGATTCTCCAAGCGAGCGTTGAAATCTATCTTGAGGGGTGGGTAACTTGGGCCAAAGGGACAACTCAGACTGCAGAGCAGTGGCAGCAGTTCTTCGAGAAAGTGGTAGTTCCAGAGTGGAAGAAGGATGCAACACCCAAAAAGCAGGCCATCCAGGCAAGGGTTTCGCAAAGGCATGCCAATGCTCGTAAGGATCACGGCGATGAACCCATTGTTGAACCTTCCGATTCTACGCCCACACCTTCGCGGAAACGCAAAACACCCGAACTGGAGCTTCGTAGCGCTTCACCAGACGCGGAGTTGTTTGATTCTTTCGTCGAACGATTTTTGGAAGAGCGCCAAGGTCGAAGGGCACAGTCAGCATACATGTTTTGGGCGAGGGAGAAAGGCGGTCATAGGAAGATCGCCATATGGGAGGAAGCGCCTGGATTAACTTCTGGTAAGCCAACGGACCTCGGAGCCGAGCATGGTGCCCATTTGCTCATTGTTCTACAGCAGAACTCCATAAACGGCTGAAACCTCAGTGGGACGCACTGCCAGACGCCGACAAGATGGTCTACGCGATTATGGAAGATGCGGATAGGAGGCGAGTCGAGATCGAGGAGGAGCGGGCCCGAAAGGCTGCAAGAATTGGAAAGCGAAAGGTGGAGCAAGAACAGATGCCGTCATCATCAACCGCAGTCCAGCAGACACCGGACTACATTTCACATACCCATACGCGCATCATGCAAAGCATCGAGTCTGGGCAGCTTGCCGAGTTTTCTAAACAGATCACCGACGGTCATCCGTCCAAGAGGCGAAAGCGTGACACCTCACCGCCTGTAAAACAGCCGAAGCAACCAGTGGTTACAGGGACTCAACGTGACCCGCTTGAGATATCGTCTGGCGACCAGAGTTCAGAATCAGAAGATGACGAGGAAATGGTGGATGCTCTGGAGGAGCAACGGAGAGAAGAGGATGAGTTGGAGGAAAAGGACTCGGAAGAGGACGAGCTGCCCACGCCCAGTACAAAGCGACCGAACGATCATACCCCGACCTCTGACCTCCCACCCGATACTCCCACCACCCCACGACCACCGCGGCCCCATACCACAGCATTCGATACCCAAGCCATCCTCTCCTCGCCATCCCCAACCCCAACCCTCCCCCTGCAAGCTATACCCCGTCCGCAACAAACACAACCCCAACCAAGCGCAAACCGCGAAAGCGAAACCCCCGCCCGCTCTTCCTCGCCCCTCGCTCCCTCCGCCTCGATATCCACCACGCACTCCATCCACGAATTCCGCCGCTCTCTCCAGGAAATCCGAGAATCGAAAGAAAGAGAAGAAGAACAAGAACCATCGCTCCCACCAGACGACTCAACCCTAGCGCCCCTACCACTACCGGAAAAGACGCCTTCGTCCCCAGGCTCGGACTCCGACTCCACGGACCCGGACCCCATGCTCCGCCCGACCGAATACGACAGGTTCTTGGCGGAGGAGAGAGGGTACGGTTTCACCGAGGACGAGATCAAGGCGGCCCTGCATCGCACCGGGTTCAGGCCTATGCTTGCGTCCGAGGTGCTGGAAGCGTGGCGGAAGGGGAAGGAATTGCCGAATAAGAGGGGGATTTGGAGTAGAGAGGATGACGAGGCGGCCGAAGGGGGGGATGGGGTGGCGTTGGCTTTGCTGGCGAAGAAGCATTCGATGGATGGGTGGGGTGGATTGGAGGAGAGGTTGAAGTTTTTGCGCAAGGTTAGGGATGCGACGTAGGCGGTTTGGGTTGGGTTTTTATTCTTGAAGAATCCAAGTCTGGGGTATGAAGTCGTGGATTCTATGTGCTGATATGATGTACGATGCTTCCCTGCTTTGGTAGACAGCCTTGCCTGCGAAAAAAGAGAAGAAGGCCATGCTCGCCGACTTCAACCTCCAATGCAACAGCCAAGCCCGCTCTCACAATCTCCTTCATATAAGCAAAAACAGCGACATGAATAAAGTGGTATATATCCCATGCAACCAGCCAGCCCTCCATGCCATCTATAATACCCAAACAATGCCCTAGAAACTCCGTATGCAACAAGAGAAACTCGCTATAAACAACATCACGACATTCACATCTTCCCCCTCCACTTCTCTCCTACCCCCCACCCCCATAACCCCGAGGAAAACACCTCGCCACGCCCTCGACGCCCGTCTTCGCAACCGCCACATGCCACGGCACAGTCCCCATCCTATTCCCCCTGACCCCCTTCAATCTCGCCAGCGTCCCCAATCCTCGAAACTGCGTGAGGATATCCTTCATCAGGTTCTCCACGCTCGCCCGATGCTGCGGCGTCGGAGTCCAAATCAGACTCATCCGATTTTGATTCTCCGACGAGGGACCACCCGTGCCGAGAGGACCTTGTGACCCGCCGGGTGATACGCCGTCGGTGGGTGTGGGGAAGGGGGAAATGGGGGCGGTGCGATTCCCGACTGTGGTGATCCAGATCATGTTGACGCCTACGACGATGGGGCCTACTTCGGGGTCGGGCACCGATGGCGGCGGCGGGCTGGTCTCGTGCGGTAGGCCGCGCTTGATCAGAAGGCCTGAGACGAGAGAAGGGCGGAATTCGACCGTCGAGTGGCAGCTATGCAGGCGATGGGCGAGAATCACACCCCACGATTCGTCTGTGACGTCTACGAGGCGGGCGTCAGGATCGTTGGCTGGGTCAATCGCGGGTTCGGCAGCTGGAGTCGCTGCAGGGGTAAGGTTATGTCCATCTGGAGAGACACCAGCTTGAGGAGTCGACGCGGGCGTCCCCGCTGGTGCCTGGGCGTTGCTGTTTTGACCGCTGGGGTAGGCCATAGTAGGGACGCATTTCAGGGGCAAGTTCGGCTCCACCGTCAGTAGAATCGTGAAGAAGTTGACGACCTTGTTCTGGGTGGCGGCAAGGAAATACCACGCTTCGATCTCCTCCTTTTCCATTGCCCCGTGCTTGGCAATGCATAGTCGCCATTTGATCTTTCGTGCCTGGCATATCTCGACTGTAGTCTGCCAGACTTCTCTCGCAATCTCGATGAAAGACCGTCTCCCAATATGATATGAGACAACCGTTCGAGACCTTCCGCAGCTGTCTGTCCAGGCAGCGGTCATCCAGCTGTCGTCAAAGCTCTTAGCATACCCGATGTGCATGTACGAATTCTCTCGCAACAGATCTGGCGGAGGATCAGCTACCGTCCTGAAGTCGATCTGGCGCGGGAGGCATTCTTCCAAATGGAAAGCCGGTGCGGCGTAGATGCTCAAGGGCAATTTTTCGTCGCTGGGGCTGCTCGGCGGACAGCGGTCGTATACTTCCCGGGCAAGGCTGGCGTATACGGTGGCGTCGAGGATAACCGGAATCTCGAAGGAGGCTATGTACTCCATTGGGACAATCTGAAGGACGACGTCGGGTTTCAATCCCATTTCCATCCTAGCGGAACTCCCGTGACTGTACGCCTGGAACAGGCTCCAGAAGGCCGAGCATAGCTCCCACAATGCCGACGAATTCTTGAAAGGATTGACTATGTATATGACGAAGGCATCGATGCGTGGCATGTCCTCGCCATTCTGCATGTCTGCATGCTTTGCAGCAAGAGCGGTTCCCAACGCCTTGCATGTTTCCCGCAACGACCTGAATGCCGCCCGCGAAGTGGCTTGGGTGGGGACCGACCAGGGTACGAGTCCTCTCGGATGATCTTCCGAGCACTCCACGGTCTCATGGTTACCGAGCTTTTGGCCTTCGTAGGCAATGCGCAGGTTCAACAAGAAGTGCTCGAGCCAAGGTTTCAACGGGTCGCTGTCCGGATAGACGCAAATAGCACCCACATTCTTGGAAGAGCTGCATGGTGCCAAACCAAGGATCTCCCAGAAGTTCAATGCGGGAGGCAAGAACTCCCAAGAGGCGTCCGATCGCTTCACTCTGATATACGGAGGTTGCATCCGAACAAAATGACAGCCGAAGGTCGCTCCATCATTCGGTCTCCGCCCCGAGGCTCGTTGCTGTTGTGTGTGGGCTGAAGGGGGCGGTTCCGGATAGATCTCCGCAACGGAAGCCAATCCTGCGAGACTGCAATCTTGCGCCTTTGGAAAGATATCCCTGATGGAATGCCGTAAACCTGCTGTCAACGGCTTCGAATCGTGCTGCACAATGGGAGATCCGTTTTGGAACAGGTTCAGTGTCGTTGCAACAACTTGGTCAGTAAGGACCTGCGCCACAGCTATACTATCGCTTCCACTTAGCGGTTCCTCATACTCAGCTTCTGACGTGCTGAGATCCGGAATTGATGCCGGCGTACCGGGTGTGGAAGTAGCCGCAGTCCCAACGTTATTGTGTCCCTTGGATGACACTTGTGTTGGTGGCGGAGCATCAGTCAGGGACCAATCCCATCGATCAGGCTCGAGTGATGGAATGACCCTCTTGTCCGTGGTCACACCAAGTACATCCAGCGCGTCTCCGAACACTGATGAGGCGAATGACGTTGCCGACATGGGAGTTGCATTTCCATCCCCGGGGAATTTCCTCTTCATTGTTCCAAAGGGTCCCGCTGAGAGTGCCGCTTCAGACACTGATGCCTTCTCTTCTGCCTCTTCTGAGGTCGACGAAGTCACACTCGCAGAGTCCGAAGAGGTCTCATCGAACTCGCTGTCGGCAGACACTGCCTCTATCCCTGCACCAGGAGAGAGACCAGCTGCAACTCGTAATTCGCTGATTGAAGGCACACTTGTTGAAGGAGCAGGACCTTTTCCGACTCGCTTTCCCATGTTTTTGCCAGCCCGGAGCTTTTCTTTGGGGAACTTGAAACGCCCTTCGAAATACTTCAGGTCCGACTCGGCCGCTTCCCTGCCGAAGGTGATCGGCTGGAAAACGCTGTGTGGGTGCACGGCATGTTGTCTCCCAGCAGTGGATGAGAGAGCAGCTTGTTGCTTCGCTGACAAGGGCCCCCGCCGATCTCTGGAGTCCTTTGCTTCGGGTTCCAGTTCTTCGATCGTTATCGGCTCAGATGTACCAATGTGTCTTGAAGGCACGGAGTCAACCTCCATAGCCATAGTCCCGTTGGCCACCTCTTTATCCCCTGTCTCCTCCATCTTGACATACTGTTTCTGGTGCAGGGGTAGATTAGATGCAGAAGTAAGTGCACTCTCTAAGGCCGCCATAGGATCCGTTTGATCTTCCTTCTCATCCGCAAGCGCTTTGAAAGATGGGGTATCCTCGACACGAGCTTCTTTGGAGGTATCCACACCTCCGCCCTTTCCAGCGCCTGCATCCGCCATCTCACCAACTTCTCCGTGATCCGGCCCATCAAAGAAACTAAAATCCGCATCTGTTACTCCATTGCCACCAAAGTCGTCTTCATCCATGTCGTTAAAAAGATCATCATCGTTCTCACCTGCATCCAGGCCCTCGTAGCCGGGATGCTCATCGGGCGCATTTTGCGAGTCTTGTTGCCCATTTGGGCGGGGGCCCTCTGAAGGTGCTGATACATTGATGCCAGGTGTGATCCCTGCAGGTGCAAGAACTTTACTCGTCGCGGTGCCGCTTATGGTCGGGGTGTCGCCTTGTGTAACAGCAGTGCCAGGGACTACGCCATCCGGTGGTGTAGGATAGACGCCGGCTGCTGATTGAAGCTCTCCATACGGTACCGTCCGAGGATGATTCGGCGAAGAAGGAAACAGACCGCCAGGCATGTCTTCTTTTAACCGAGCCGCGGCTGCTTCTTCTTGAGCTTTCGTGGCAAGGCGGCGTGCTTCCTCAGCCTTGTCTCTCTCGGCCTTACCCAGAAACCATTCCTCCGCTGCGTCTATCGGGTCCTTGAATCCGGTCGTCTGAGAGTTTGCAAACCACAGGAGGGGGTCATCAGGGCGATTCGTAGGCCATCCAACGCGGGACTCAGGTAGAATCGTAGAGTCGTAGAGGAAGCACAGCGCTCGAGGCCAGTAGATATCGCCGACGTAATTCGTTGGTGTTTGCAAAAGCCGAATTCTTACCCATGCGTCTTTTCCGTCCAAGCCGCTGGTCGAATACCCCTTCCAGCAGAGCCATCGTGCCAGCTGGGCCTTCCACTTATCAACCGAACTCTCAAGCAGCCCGACTTTGATCCTTTTTCTTCGCGATCTCGTACTAGAGTCACCGGTGCTCATCAATACCGGATCTTCGAAGCTCACAACCCTAGCAAGCCAACCATTAGGTGCAATTCGAACGCACTTGTTAAGCACCTTCTCTTGCAATGGCGATTCCGAGAAGCCGTCTAAGCATCGAATTGCAGTCTGATACGGTACGCATACGCTTGATACGAGCACCGTCCCGTTGCTGGCCCAATAAACACTAAGATCCGTCAAGAAGACAGAATGACCGCCAAAACCGGTGTTGTCACGGGAGTCTTGTCCATAATACGGCGGCTTGCACACGAACGTTCTGAAATTGAGAGCAACGGCCTGCTGGTGCTTGACCCAATGATAGGATATCAGGGCAATGACAGAGGCCGTGAACAGTTCATAGAGTGTGAAAACATCATTTGCCTGCAGCTGTGGGGTCGGCGCAGGCGGCGGCGCTCGTTGTGAAGCGGGCGTGGAAGGGGTGTTTGCGCTTACAGACGCCGAGGGATTCTGGATCGGAGGTCTCCTATTCGGCGGCCGTGCCAACTCACCAGCTTTGACAACACCGGATTGCTCGCCTGCAACAACACGTCAGCATGTGCCCTCAATACTGCGGCGGTTCATCATACGCTTTAATTCATATCCCTCGACTTTTGGCGGTTCAGGAGGACTCCCGGCCGTCTTCTCGGGAGAAGTCGCTTCGAATATCCACAGCCACGGCCTTGGGCGAGTTCCGCGATCCTGTATGACCAACTGCTTACGCTGCCTGAACTCCGCCTCAACAGCGGAAACATCTTCAAAAGGTAGAGTATCAGTCGGGTTGCGCGGGGGAAGCGTGCCAATCCGAGAGACGGAGAAGGCTTGGTACGATACGATTTCGAAGCCAGCCTGTATGATAGTCAGCATCGTGTTTGCCGCACAGAGAGGAACAGATGAACTTACAATAGACTGCACACTGGTATTGCAGGACTTGAGAAATTCCATTAGACAGACTGGCTGCCCGCTATGGAACGCTCCGGTGGTATTGACGTTGAATGAAAAGCCCGAACGCGGCAGTATGAAGCTGCATCAACCCGTCTCTGGTGCGTGAGGTTGGGAGGCCGAGGCTATGAAGCGGGACCGGGTGCTGAGCGTGTCGTGAATACGGCGGTGGTTATCGCGGATTCATGGTAGTATGGCGCGATTCGGTGGTGCATGATGGTCAAGGAGAGCAGGCGAGACGGTCTCGGGCGCTGTGGTGATGGATCCAGCTCTTAGTTCATGTCAGGAGCCTCTCCGGATGCAAGAGATGCTGGATTTGAATCTTGAAAGATGTGGCCGGCACGCAACCAGACGATGGCCGGGGATGATGTCTGGGTGCAGGCCCTGGGTGCTGAGTGCTGGCGATTTGCGACTCGTGATCGCGGAGGAGGCCATGTCAAGTTCAGGGAACGCTGGACCCTTGCTCCGGCGCACGGGCCGCTGGGAAAGGGAAACCCGAAGCCCGGACTCCGCCTTGGCCTCCGTTCAGCCCTACCAAGCCACATCGCAAGCCACACATCCTGATCCATCTCAACTTTTTTATGTGCAGGTGGCCAACCTAGTAGAATACATACTCCGTACATCTCGACTGGTGCTCCCGCCGCCATGAAGGTCACCAACGCCGATGTGCCCGTCTACACGGTCGCAGGCTCCGACACCGCCCGTCCGCTCCCAGAATGGCTGATCCGCAAGAGAAAGCGCAGCTTGAAGCAGGATCCCGAATTTGCGAACCGCGTCGAGCTGCTGCAGGACTTTGGCTTCGAGGAGGCCAGCCAGTGCGTGCGTGTGAGCGAGGATGGCGACTGGGTCATGAGCACAGGTATCTATCTTTCTATTCATTCTCTCAAGTGTCGAGCAGTTCAAATAGATAGCTAACCAATCCACAAGGAACATACAAACCCCAAATCCACACGCACTACCTCCCCCACCTCTCGCTCTCCTTCGCCCGCCACACCAACTGCCTCAACCAAACCTTCGAGCTCCTCTCCTCCGACTACTCCAAATCCATCCACCTCCAAACCGACCGCTTCATTGAGTTCCACACCGCCGGCGGCCTGCACTACAGCACGCGCATCCCCCGCTTCGGTCGAGATCTCCTCTACGACAGACAGTCCGCTGAAGCTTTGATCCCCTCTGTCGGCGTCAACGCAGACGGCAACGGCGAAGTCTTCCGCCTCAACCTCGAAGTCGGCCGCTTCATGCGCGGCTACGAAGTCGACGTCGGAGGCGACGACCTGACGACCGTAGGCGGCGGCGCCCTCCAGGGCGGCATCAATGCAGGGAGCGTGAACACGGGCTCCATAGCAGAGGAATCGCACAATCTACTCGCCTTCGGCACCTCCTTGGGCACCGTCGAATTCTGGGACTCGCGGTCACGGAACCGCGTGGGGATTCTGTCGGCACCGCAAGATGCGTTTGAAGGGCATGCGGAAATCACGGCTCTCCAATTCCACCGTTCGGGCCTGGAACTCGCCACGGGCAACTCCAACGGCTTGATTCACCTCTACGATCTCCGGTCTCCTGTACCTCTCCACAGGAAGGACCAGGGCTACGGCCTCCCCATCAAGAAGCTCATTTATCTCACCCCGAGATCGGCCTCGCGCGCCGCCACCGCAGAGCCCAAAATCCTCTCCGCAGACAGCAAGATGATCAAGATCTGGGACCCGCGGACGGGCGATCACTGGACGGGCGTGGAGCCCGCCGTCGATCTCAACGACGTGGTCTGGGTGCCTGACAGCGGCATGCTGCTCACGGCCAACGAGGGGCGGAACCAACACGCGTTCTTCATCCCGCAGCTGGGCCCGGCGCCCCGGTGGTGCGCGTTCCTGGACAACATCGTCGAGGAGATGGCGGAGGACAAGGACGATCCGAATGCGTATGCCTTGAACCAGAACGTCGGTGCCGTTTACGATAACTTCAAGTTCTTGACGATGCCGCAGTTGAGGGCGCTGCATCTGGATCATTTGGTGGGGCAGACGGGCTTGCTGAGGCCGTACATGCATGGGTTCTTTGTGGCGCAGAAGTTATACGAGGAGGCGAGGTTGATTGCGAATCCCGAGGAGTGGGAGATGCAGAGAAAGAAGTCGATCCAGGAGAAGATTGAGAAGGAGCGAGAGTCGAGGATTCGTGGGGCGAAGAAGGCGAGCGTCAAGGTGAATAGGAAGTTGGCGGAGCGGTTGATGGAGAGGGAGGAGAAGAGGGAGAGGGCGAGGGCGAGAAGGGTGCTGGAGCAGGGCGGGGATGATGATGTTGTTGCCGAGAGGCAGAGGGAGAGGGAGGCGCAGGGCCAGGAGCAGGAGGAGAAGGCGGGAGAGAAGGAGAAGACGAATATCCTCAGCGATCCGCGGTTTGCGAGGATGTTTGAGGACGAGGACTTTGAGATTGACGAGCAGAGTCACGAGTTCCAGGCACTTAATCCGAGCACAAAGGTTGAAGGGCAAAGGACGAAATTGCCCAAGGGCCTCACGGCCGTGGAACAGGAGGAGCTGGAGAGTCGTCGGGGTTCCTCGAGTGAAGACGATTCGGACGAGGAGAGCGATGCCGGGCAGAGGAATCGTAGAGGGAAGGGCAGGAAAGGCGCAGACGACGATGAGGGCGATCAGAACCGCATTTCCACGTCGTCGTACAAGAAGACAACCAAGCAAAAGCAGAAACAGAAACCATCAGGCCCAACGATGGTCGTTTCGTCCTCCAACGCCAATGAGCGGCGCAGACAGGGTAACAAGGACTCGACGTTCGGAGCGCGAGTATCCAAGCTCTCGGGCGTGGAAAGGAGGGATAAAGCGAGTGCGGGGAATACGATGGTGGTGGGCGAAAGGGAAATCACGTTTGCGCCGCAGGGGAATCGGAGGCCGAAGAAGGGTCAAGCAGACAAGCAAGCGGATGGGGGAGACAGGGGGGATAAGGGCAGAGGGTGGAAGGAGAGGAGGAGTGCGAGCGGGAATGTTTTTAGGCGGATGTAGGGGCGAGAGGTTGAGATGTATGTAGCTTGTAGTTTGTCGAGGAGAGGAAATCCGGAATTTGATACCCTGCTTGCTTGAACTACGGGCCTTTGTAGCATGCGTTGGTGTGGTGTTGTGTCTGGTGCCGGCAGTACACAGTATTTTGGGAAAAGAACTTGGTCCGTTCTATTCAGGAGCAGTTATTTACCTATTACTATAGGTTGTGTTAGAATATCAATCCGACCATCTCGAAAAAATCCCCCGAGTGAAAACAGAACCCAGACAAACTTCTCAATCCGTAGCATACCGACTATTTAATACCGCCTTCTACCTACATATATATCAAGACCCAATACTGCTCCTTGCATGCCTCTATATCCGATGGACATAGAATCACACCCGCGTGCACGAGTGCGAAGTTGCCCGGTATCTCCATCTCGAACACCACCACCTCCAATACCAACCGAGACACAAAAGTCCCTGATAGGCACAACTATCGCGGCTTCAGAGATAGCCTGAGCGGCGGCTTCGAGAACCCCAGACTGCGATCGGAAAAATATGCAAAACATGTCCATCTATCTATCCATCTATCTATCCATCTCTCTATCCATCTCTCTATCCATCTATCTTTCTCTCTATCAGTGCATCCCACAGGCTATTCCCGTAGACGGACGATTGGGCAATACAGTAAGTAATACCATATGTCAGTCTCGAATCATCCTCACCCTCACCCTCATATTTACTCGCCAGCAACCGGCACCTGCGGAATGGCTGGCGTCAGCAAAGGTAGTAAACATCATCTTCATCGGACGTGGGAGCACCACTATCGTTTATGCTGATGTGAGCAACATTGTCATTCAACTTCTCACCCTGAATCGCAAATGAATAAAAATACGAATAAAATAGTCTATCCACTCGGACCCGAATAAAGGTCCTTCGCAAGAAAAGGGGTAGCCGTCGGTAATCCCCAGCCTCCACGCGGCCCCGTTCACAATGCAAAATCAATCAATCAATCAATCAATCAATCAATCAATCGGTCTATTCATGAAAAAGGTTCCGTATCTTCGATGTTGAGATCTTGCCCATGTGCTCCCGATTCTTACTCCTCTGCCCCCTTCCCCCTCCTCCCTCATGCCTCCCACCTCAATCGCACCCTCCATTGTCCACCTTCTTTAAAATGATCTGCAATTACTGCTGCGCCTGCTGCGACTGCAGATACTTGTACACGGCGAAGGCGAGGCCGGCGCCGATCAGGACGATGGCGTAGAGGCCGACGCCTGCGGAAGCGCCGTCGGAGGTGGTTGCGGTCTTGGGGGCTTGTGTGTAGGACTTGGGCTTGGGGTCGCCCTCCTAGGAGGTGTAAGTCGGTGATAGATATAGGAAGAAGGCGAAAGAAAGCGGGTGAGGCAAAAGCCAGAATGCCATGTGCGTGCAAGATACAAGATTGGTGTTGTGTTGTCGCAACTCAACCAACCGGCGGAACCATTCCGATTCCGCCGGACCGCAACAAAGAAGACGGGAGGGAAACGGAGAGTCCTCGGATAGAACAATGGGTAGAAGACTCAAAAAAATTAAACATACCTGGCGCTTCAGGTTGCCGACGTGCAGGCCCTCGAGAATCTCACGCGCCTCGTCGCTGTGCCCCACATCCTCGAACGCCTCGGTAGCGTCCTGGCCGGCAACGTCGAGGAGGACTTCTTCGCCGCCGCTGGAGGTTGGTTAGCGCCGTGAATGCGAGTTGCAATGCATCCACTTGGAAAGGAACAGGTGCGAAAGCGTATCGTTGTTGTTGTTGTTGTTGCAGTGAAAACAAAATGTGGATGTCCTGGGGATAATAGGGAGCGAAGAGACATACGGATGCTCATCTACAAAGCTCGAGCAATTGTACACCTTGTCGTGCACGACGACGAACAGATCCTTCTTGGTGTTGTGCGCCTCGACCTCCTTGTAGGTAAACTCCTTTGCAGCAGCCATTGTTTTGTGTCTATCGCGTGGTGGGTATCAACTCGGAAAGTTTCGTAACAGCGAGGGATCGCAGGCAAGGCAACGTTGGTGTGTCGGCGTGTTCGTTATGGTGTGGTGTTGGATCCAAGGATGAATCGGTCAGCGGCGTGCGAGGAAAAGTAGTCCGGTCCAGCGCTCAGACGTCAAGAAGCGAAAGTGAGGGTGAGGGTGAGGAAGGGGACGTGCGGTGCGGTGCGGTACCTGTCTGGAAGAAAGAGGTGAACATGTGGCGGCTGGTTGGCTGGCCTGGCCTTCGGCGAACCGAAGATAATGCGTGCGACATGATTGGATAACGGACCCTGGGAATAGGAGTGCGGAGGTTGTCCGGCGGATTGAGACGGAATTCAGCAGTTGCAGACGTCAAAGAAAGAAGAAATGTTTCTAGCGTCGTATGTTCTGCTGATAGCTTTGTTGACCCTCTTGTGCGTTTTGCCTTTTACCAACCGATGTTGTCTATGGCAGATAAATAGAGGATGTGACCATGTATCCGTTTATTCCTCTGAACAAGAAGGCTAATTCCCGATATCTTCAGCCATATCCATCTGAAATGAGATTGATGAGGTTACAGGAAGCATGCTTCTAAGACTCAGGTTTGACTGGCACTGCATGAGATGGAGAAGTTTGTGACCCCTCTTGCAGTCATCTCTTCCATCATTCTGCTTCCTTGGTCAGGAAAACAGCGCTGTAGCTACCATGCTGACGGAGACTGGCATACTAAGACTGTGATATTACAACCAGCAGTATATAGAATTACCAGTATCATACTCTCTCATGCCGATGCCTACGAACCCAACACCTTGACCTTCATCCACTCGCTCGTGCCCACTCCCAGGTTCAGCCCATTGCGCGCCCACCACTTCCTGACGCTCTTACCGGCATCGCCTCCCACGCCATCCTCCAGCGCCTCCTCAATGTCGCACGTCTTGTACTCGACCCTCAGCCCGCTGCGCTTCCACCACTCGAGCACATCGGTGCGGCCCATCTTGGTGGCCCCCGCGAGCACCTGGTTGTCGTAGAGCATCTTCTCGCCCCGCAGCTGCCGCCAGTAGTCGAGTATGTGCGTGTGCCCATGCGTCGAGGCCACTTTCGCAACGGCTTCTTCGTGCGAGAAGGGAATGCCCGACTCGACCCAGAAGTGGATGCTCGCCAGGGACCCCGCCTGCGTGGCGTAGATGATGGATTTCCCCACCTTGAGTGAGAGGTCATCGCCGCCCTCGCCTTCATGACCTCCCTCCGCAAGGCCAGGGGGAGGAAGGGTTGACGGCTGGTCACGGTAGCGGCTGTGTTGCTTCCACCACCGCAGCACGTCGATGCGCCCCTGGCTGCTGGCCTGCTCCAGCGCCGCCTCCGTGTATCTCAGTGGCAAGCCCGAGTGATACCACCAGTCTAGAACCTGCACCGATCCGGACCGAGACGCATTGTCCATGGCCTCCACCGAGTACTCCTTGGTGAGGAACATGGGGCTTGTTCTCCAGTACTCGAGTATCTCGGGCCTGCCGAAGACAGACGCCTTGTGCGGCAGGAAGGCGTGCCCAAACGTGTCCCAGAACAGCCCCTTGTGATGATTCTCCAGATGCTGCAACACCGGCACCATGCCGAACCGCATGATGAGCTCGATGCACAACAGAGAGATGCGTGTTGGTTTCTGTACATCAAACTGTTGCTTGATGTCCGCGTAGCGCCCGGTCAAGAGCGTCCACTCCAAGACTTGCATGGGCGTCTGGGGCCCTTCGGCGCTGGCTGCTTGCCGCCATTCTGGGGGCACAGGCAGATTGGTTGCGACATTGAGAGTCACTGCCAGCTCCCAGTCGCCCGTGTACTCCAGAATCATGGACCACAGCTCAGGAGGTAGATACGCGCCTTTGCTTCGAGTCGGTGTCAGAGTCGGCATATGGGCGGCGGGAAGGGCGAGGGTGCGGTTGCCGACGGCCATGAGGTCGATCTGCGTCTGTATTGAGTCGTGAAACGCCTTTTCGCCTTCCCACGGTTGATACTCGCGACCGGTGAAACTACTGGGAGTCCACAGGTAGGGCGGCAGAACACGAATCCAGTTCCATTTCCTCCGGATCTTGCTGATTTGCTTCCTCGACATGGGATTTTCCCACATCAAGGCGGACATGCAGGGGATGAGCAGAATCTTCTTGCTCACGTCCCAGCTCCGCAGGATGCGCAGGTGCATGTTGTGGGTGAAACCGTGCAGCATTCTCGCAATGTCTTCAGCGTCAATGGGCGCCAGTACCAGCAGGTCGGCCCAGGCACATTGGCCGGCCACCAGACCCTCATCCGTGCTATTCGTTTCTATTCCGATATTGGAGGCGTGATGTGATGTGTAGCAAGAGTATGCTTCTGGAAATCCGTACGGAGCGCCGTTTGGGTAAGCTTCGAGGGAGGCGCCGATGTTGACGAGAACTCGAAGGGCAACATTGTGGTGTTGCTTGAGTAGGTCGACGATGGAGCGGCCGACGTGTTGAGCGGAGGTGGAATCGGCGACAGCGACGAGGACGTTCAACGTGCGCCTGGGTTCCATGACTTGGGAATCGAGAGAGAGTAAAGGATTACGGGAAGTGCCAACGGCGTCGAAGAGAATGCGAGGTGATGTTCCTATGTACAAATGGGTCTGAATGTTAATCGTGCCGCGTGTGGTGGTTGAAGTGGAGCAGGAGAAGGAGTGCGGACGGACCCTGGCAACAATGAGTTCAACCCAACACAGGCCTTAGAAGAAGAGGTGGAGGTGGGTATACACAGTAACCACTCACAATTCTGTGGCACCAAGCATCAAAGGCCCGCCGGGGAGATAGATCAATGATGAAAGCCTCGCGCACGTGTTGCGGACTGCACGCGGCGAGCGGGTCCGCCCAGTTTCGACGATGCAACAAGCCGGTATGCCAGGCCCTTCAGGATCAGAGAAATCTTCGACAGTCGCGCGAGTTTGGGAATCTCCTTGGTGGCACGGTGAACAGCGTCTGCAACAGGCTGTCGACGGATGATGTTACGAAGCAGCGGCACAATTTTCATCTATGCATGTTGCATATGGGCAAGTACAGTGCAGCACCAGCCACACAGCATCGTGACGTCTGCCATCGCATTTGTGGATTTCCATTGCACCGCCACACCGTCCCATGTTCCCACCCCCACCCGACTCCAACCCTCAAACCACCCAATGCTACTCTCCCGCCTCGACTTTGGAGCTCACATGCACCACCGGTGCCACGCTGGATGCTATCGTGAATTCGAATATTGGGTCCGCATCCTGCCCCAGCAGTGGCACCCGCCACCTGTTCCCTCCCTCGCCCGCCCCTCCAGCTGCCTGCCCAGGAAGCTCTGCCGCAAGAAGATTAGTTCCGCCTGGGTTCTCCGGCGAACCCTTCACACTCTGTCCCCCGCCAGCTGCTTGTGGTACCTTTCTCTGCTACTTCGAACCTGATGGATCATTGAGACGAGACCACCTGACACAATTCTCCTCTATCCAGCACGCATGGCGCATGTTGACCAGCCCTCTCCCACCGACATGCCCGACCCGCTCGACGTGCCCTCCTCGCCGACCAGCCAAACGTCACACGAGCCGACCAAGTCGCAGACATGGAAAGAAGAAATCCATTCTGCTGCTCACCAACCTGGCATGTCGACCCCCAGCCCCGTCCTGTCTCCCTCCGCCACCTCCAACCGCATCTTTCCCATCCGCAGCGTCGTCTCCGTCGAACCCACCCCAGTTCCTAGCCGCTTTCCTAGCGATTACTCGCACGCCAGCGGTGCACGAATAACACCCGAGAGCCTTCACAACAGCCGCCGCCCGTCTCCCGCGAGCTCGGCCGCCACGTCGGGGGAACACCACTCGCCCCAAACTCACGACAGGCCGAGAGGACCCCAGAGAAGGCCCCAGCGGAGCCAACGACCTCCAGAAGACTCATTCCCACGCACTCCAGCCCAGCTGTTCAGCGACCTCATATCAAGTGAATCCAATGATACTGGCTCGGAAGCGGAGACGGGGACTCCAACAGGCCCAGGCCCAGGCCCAGGCCCAGGCAAGACCAGTGCGCCTTCCCCCCCGAACGCCGATTCCCTCTCCCCTGCCTCCTCTACCGGTGCCCCCTCCATCAAGAACGTGACAAGCAGCATTGACGAGTCTATGCTCATCACCCATCGCTTCAAGCATGTTATTACCGACGACGGCCATGCCATTATCACTGGGCGCGACGGTGAAACCCTGCAGCGCTGCGAGGATGAGCCCATCCATATCCCTGGTGCGGTCCAGAGTTTTGGTCTCCTTATTGCTCTGAAGGAGGACGCCGACGGCAATCTTCTTGTGAGAATCGTCAGCGAAAATTCAATGCAAATCATTGGCCGGTCTCCTCCAGAACTCTTTGCCCTGGAGAGTTTCACCGACATTCTCTCCGAGGATCAGACAGAAAACCTTCTTGATCACATCGACTTCATAAAGGACCCGGATGCGGATGTAGGAGCGAATGGGCCCGAGGTGTTCCCACTGTCCATCAAGGTTCCCGGGGAAAGGGCACGCAAGTGCTTCTGCGCCATACACATGAACGATGCCAACCCCGGACTCATCATATGCGAATTAGAACTCCAGGATGATAAAGTCAACCCATTGGCTCCTGCAGAGGACGTCCTTGACCACCCGGCCGACACGCTGAATAGCCAGCCTACTCAGCAAGAGTACATCCGGAGCACAGAGAGCATCAGCAAGCCCCTAAGGATCCTACGGGGTGCAAGGAAGCGCCGAGGCGAGGCAGCTGCCATGGAAGTCTTCAATATCATGTCCCAGCTTCAAGAGCAGCTCGCTGCCGCACCCAATCTCGACACCTTGTTGAAGGTCCTGGCGGGTGTTGCTAAAGAAATGACCGGCTTCCACCGTATATTGATCTACCAGTTTGATAAAAGCTTCAACGGGCGCGTGGTCACGGAGCTGCTGGATCCGAGGGCGACCAAGGATCTGTTCCACGGTCTCAGGTTTCCCGCGACGGATATCCCCAAGCAAGCGCGTGAGCTCTACAAGGTGAACAAAGTGCGCGTTCTTTACGACCGTGACCAGGAGACTGCGCGTTTGGTCTGCCGCACTCCGGACGACATCGAAGTGCCCCTAGACATGACTCATTGCTATCTACGAGCCATGTCCCCCATCCATATCCAATACTTGAGGAACATGGCCGTTCGAGCGTCCATGTCTATATCCATCAATGCTTTCGATGAACTCTGGGGTCTTATATCATGTGGCTCATACGGACCTAAAGGAATGCGCGTCTCATTTCCGATACGAAAAATGTGTCGCCTGATCGGCCATGCCGCGTCGAGAAATATCGAACGACTATCTTATGCGTCGAGGTTGCAAGCTAGGACTCTTATCAACACTGCGCCTACCCAGACCAATCCATCCGGATACATAATGGCTTCGTCAGATGATCTCCTAAGACTCTTTAATGCTGATTTCGGTTTGCTTTCAATACACGATGAGACGAAGATCCTCGGCAGGTTAGAGCAGGCGTCACAGGAAGCACTTGCTCTCTTGGAATATCTGCGAATGAGAAAAATCACTTCCGTCTTGATGTCCCAAGATATCACGCAAGATTTTCCCGATCTTCGGTATCCTCCTGGTTTCGAGCACATCGCAGGCATGCTGGTTGTGCCTCTCTCCACCGGTGGCCGTGACTTCATCGTCTTCTTCCGAAGAGGCCAGCTGGAGGAGGTCGAATGGGCCGGAAATCCCTACGAGAAATTCGTAAGAGAGGGCACCGAAGGTTATCTGGAGCCGCGGACCAGCTTCAAGACTTGGCGTGAGACTGTCATCGGCAAATGCAGAGAGTGGACAGAAGAGGAGGTTGAAGCAGCGGCTGTGCTCTGCCTCATCTACGGTAAATTCATCGACGTATGGAGGCAGAAGGAGTCGGCTCTGAAGAGCAGCCAGCTCACTCGACTGCTTCTGGCCAACTCTGCTCACGAAGTGCGCACTCCTCTGAACGCCATTATCAATTACCTGGAGATCGCCCTGGAAGGCACTCTCGATCAGGAGATTCGCGACAACCTGTCCAAGTCACACTCAGCCTCCAAATCGCTAATCCATGTCATCAATGACCTGCTCGATCTCACGAATACAGAGGAGGGAGGCTCTTTGATCATAGGCGAGCCCTTCGACCTCAAGGCAACACTTAGGGAGGCCACGGACATGTTTTCTGGTGATGCCAAACGAAAGCATCTGAATTACGAAGTAGTGGAGCATCCAGGGCTACCGCATAAGTGCATGGGAGATCAGAGGCGAGTTCGGCAGGCGATCTCGAACATCACTGCCAATGCTATCCAGCACACCACTGAAGGCGGCATCAAGATCGAAATGTATGTGGCCTCCTGGCCCGAGCCTGGCCGCGTGAACGTAGAAGTCGCCGTGACGGACACTGGCTCCGGCATGAGCTCCCAGAAGCTCGATCAATTATTCAACGAGTTGGAGCAGGCGCAGACTGAGCAGTCTCTTATGTTTGCGGATTCCCCATCAGACCCGAAATCGAACACGGAGAAGTCTGATTCTTCTCAGAGTGCCCTCGGCCTTGGTTTAGCCGTCGTTGCGCGCATCATCGGCAATATGAACGGTCAGCTTCGATTAAAGTCGGAAGAGGGGAAGGGATCAAGATTCGTGCTTCAGTTTCCTTTTGATCTGCCTGATGAGGAGGGTCGGGATGCACCGTCGGGTCTATCATCAGACGACAACCCTCTCCCTGTCCCTGACACGCCGCAGGGCGAACGCACACTAATGGCCAAGGGCCCGTCACGCCGGTCGTCTACTAGCGATCGGTTGTGCAAGTGGGACAGTGCGTCATCGCAGAAGAGCGAAGCCGACCGTCTCATTGAGGCAATCCAGAAAGCGCATTGGCTGGAAGAGCACAATGCGTCCGCGGTGAGCTCCCGTTCCATGAGACCGCCATTGACGAAGCGCAGGAGCACGGATTATGGGGCTAAGAGCATTGCAACTTCACCTGTACGAATACGTTCAAAAAGTCTGGAGACCCACGACCGGCCGCCTGTGGAGCCAAACCATCATGAGAGCGTGGAGATTGCTGGAGAGCAGAACCTGGCGTCGTCCGCTACTCCAATCAAAGAGGTTAAAGGTCCGGAAGGACCGATGCCTAAAATGCAGCCACGACACACTGGCTTTATCAGCGAGCTGACTCACTCCGAACATGAAGCCTCAGTCAGGTCGGAAACGAACACCTCTGACAAGATGCGCGTCCTCGTTGCAGAAGACGATCCCGTCAATAGCAGAATCGTCAAGAAACGGCTCGAAAAGCTCAGTCATACTGTCACGCTCACGGTCAACGGGGAGGAATGTGCCGACGCTTTTTGCTACCATCCTGAGGACTTTGATGTGGTCCTGATGGATATGCAGGTGGGTAAAGGCCTTATGCGTTATTTTGGAGTTCTCTAACACATGGCAGATGCCAATTGTCGACGGTCTCACTTCGACCAAGCTAATACGATCCTTCGAGAAGACCCACCCAGGCAAGCTGTCGGCTCGTGCTGCTCTATGCGGTCGCGTTCCAATCATAGCCGTATCTGCCTCTCTCGAGGAGAAGCATCGCCAATCCTACATTGACACCGGCTTCGATGCCTGGATCCTTAAGCCCATATCCTTCAACCGCTTGAGCGAGCTGATGACCGCGATTGTGGACAAGGACGTGCGAAGCAAGTGTCTCTACCAGCCTGGGGAATGGGAAAGAGGCGGCTGGTTCCATTGTGAGCAGAAGAGCGCGGGAGAAGCTGTCACCGCCCCAAGTGGCCACGATCCAAAGGAAGGAGTATACATCTCGACGCTTTCCCACCGAAAGGACGTTCAACGGTCCTAATGCTTCCAACGCACTCTTGGTTTCAATCATGACAGCATGGGGCGAAATCCGCTTGTCATCTGCGCCCACTGCTGGACATCTTGTCACAGGAATCCCCGTTGTGTGGTACTCCTGCATTCAAAACTGCTGCGGTGCCTACACCGTCCCCGAGGGTATTATGCCAACGCATTGAGACACACTTGAATCCGGCTACCATCACATCCTATAGTTATTGGTCTTCTACTCCATCATCTCTTCCGCCGCATCTCATATTAAGGAGCCTCCACTGCGTCGCGAGACTAAAACCAACCTATCTTGACTTGTCTGACACGGGTCGAGCTGATCGAATCCTTGTCCGGCCATTACATCTTTTGTGCGTGGGCAAAGTCCGTTTCTCGTTTCTTCTCTTTCCTGCCCTCGTCTTCGCGCCTGTGGCATACATACATGAAATTTGCACGTAGGGCATGGGTATCTCATTTTGGACGGTTCTAGGTCAAGGCTCTGTGGTTTTTGGGCATAAAAATGATGGCTCTGAGCTATCGATGGCATTTGTATACCCCTCATGGTTTTCTGGGTTGTTTCTTCGTGCTGTCCGGTCATGGTGGGGAGTAGGGGGTTGGCGCTCTGGAAATGAGGACTTGAGGGTATATAGTGGGCTTGACGTACTGTATTGTATTTATGAAGATGATATGCATTATTGGTGGGATATGAAATGGGCATGTGTGAAACCATATGTGGGGTGGTGAAATGAGGGGTATGGCAAGTCTGCTGCATTTTTGTGCTGCTGGGTGGATTTGTGCATAGGGATTCGGATAGAGGAAATCTAGTCTGGCTTACTCTCTACCTGTCGCTGTTCCTGCTTCGAGAACATGGGGAGGTTGGAATAGTAGTCTGACTAGCATTCCCATCTAGGCTTTTTTCTCTTTAAACGTCGAGGCAATACGTCTCTGTAACTGTATGTTGCGGCCTCTCATGATAATCTCCCCGAACTGTACTATTGACGAATTCACGTGGGTAGATGACAGGCAGAAAGAGTAGAGCAGATGCAGAGGGATTGGAAGCAGCGGTAATAATAGTCGCTAGTAAGTTAGAATTACGCGAAATCTGGAATATATGTATTTCCGTAGATGAAGGGGTAAGGATTGATGTAGACTAAGTGCGCTATATATATATATACTACACCGAAACCACGATCCGCCACGCATTCCTTGTTAATAGGATAATTCCAAACGCGTTCACCCCGGGAAGGTGGGAATAATCAATTAAAATGTGGTGAAAGTGTCTATTGATTGTTGTCTGTTTTACTTATTCGCTGCCTTCTTATCAATTCTACCGTTCGTTCTACACTCCCACACGATCGCATAACCCCCTCAAACAGGCGGGGACGGGCGTGAGAGGGTGTAAGAGCGTGATGATTGATTTATTACTATTCTCATTCTTACTAGGTTTTGCACGGGTGAGATACAGGCGGGATGCACAGCGGATGAGAAAGGATGCTTATGAAATCGAAAAAGGGGGTATACAACTGCATGGAAGAAAGAAACCTCTCCCCTCCCTCCGTTTTCCCCAGGAAGAAAACAATCCGCTAACTGGAAATGCAACTCTCAAGAAGATGTCAACGAAGTATGCGCGGTCTCAAACCGTTCTACACCGGGTCTTATCGCCTTCTCTCCATCGCCATCATCGTTCTCGCCGACATTGTCATTGGCTTCTTCTTGCACAGCTTGACCAGCTTCGAGACTCCGCAACAAGTCGCCCGTGCCGGCCGTGACAAAGCGCTCTACACCAGGCCTTCCAGCATCACCGCTATCCCTGTCCATTCTCCGCTTCTCCTCCCCAACTACATCCTCGCCCGCAGTTTCCTCACCCTCACTCTCGTTTCCCCTGACATCAAAACTCTCCAACGTCGCGGTACTCGCATTGACCTCCGTCCCGCTCGCCTTATCCACCTTTAGACGAAACGGATACGCCACACCTCCCCTCGTAGGCCTCGTACTCAACGTATCCGTCTCCGGGATCAACGTCTGCGGCGACTGCGGGCGGGCGACATCATCGATAGTGATGCCAGGTGTAGGCGGTGCTGGACGTAGGGAACTAAGCTCACTCCTCGGCGAAGGGAGGGGACTAGCTTTTCGTTCGGGAGCGATCGTTGTCGCTTCGGCGAGACCTGGGACGGGCGGCGCAAGTCGGTTGAGAGCATCCGTGGGTGAAACGGCGGAGGAAGGGGGAATTTGGCCTTCGTCCGTGACGGTCGTGTGGTGGGACCGGGAGCGGGATCGAGACGTGACAGTGGATGGCGAGAGTGTAGTTTTCCTGTTGCCGCGGGAGCGCGATCTGCGGAGCGGTTGGGACTTTTGTGCAGCTTGGCCGGTGTTGTCTGTGGGTTGGGAAAGCTCGGGGTTGGACGGGATGTCCGCCTTTTCTTCCCTGATAATCTGTGACAAGTCAGCTCCATACCTGTAATATACTTCGCGGAATTGCATACCGTCGCTTCGTCATGCTTACTTCCCCACAGACTCCAGAGCGCCATCCCCCAGCTCTTCTTCGGTGCTTTCTCCACCATCTTGCCCTTAACGCGCCGACCGGCCAGGGCTGTAGGCGGCGGTTTCTCCCCCTCAAACGTCTCGTAACCCTTCTCCATCTCCTTGAGCCTCTTCCTCTGCACCTTGATCTTCTGTTTGGCGAACCTCTCGTTCCAATTCGTTTGCGCAGCCATCCATTTGTTTACGGGACCTGGCTTAGGAACGCCGACCTCAATGCGCGGGACGTTAAGAGCCGGCAGTTCGCTGGGCGGAGCAAGGTCGTAGATGCGGCCGTGACGGTCGATGCGTTGACGGATCATGTGGTTCTGGAATGGAGGAAGGGGGTCGCCGGCTCTGCCGACCTTGATCTCGTTCGTTTCCTTGTTGGCTATGCTCTCGAAGCCGACATGTTGAGCGCTCTGAGGCATGGCGAGTTTCATATCTGCGGACGATGGTTCCGGCTTTGTCTTCGAGTCAGAGGATGAATCTGAAGAGCTTGTGCTGATGAAAGAGATGGCATCGTCGTCCAAGATGTCAATCGATGCCTTCTGCGCTCGCGCCAGCGCCCATGCTCCAAACTGAGCAATCGCTCTGTACATGTGTTTCGCGGGTCTCGTGAAGCTGAGCGTGGGCGTTACATGTGCCAGATCATCCCAGACCTGGAGGTGGACATTCGTGGGGCGATATCTAGCAGCCTGAGCTTCGATATCCTCGGCGGATTGGTGATTTGACGGAGGTGGTAGGTAGGCAAGCGGGTGAGCCGCCTTGTGAGCAAGATAGATCTGCTCATCGCAAAGCAGCTCCCCGCCTCCTACCTGGATCAGCAATGGTGGCAGGCCCCCGAGTGTCGGTTGCAGGACGGGCGACACCAAAGGATGCGTCAGCATATGATTTGGTGTATAGAGCTGAATTTGGTCCTTGATCTGTATGCGTTTGTCGTGGAGTTGCACTGACAGTACCGGGTTGTCTTTCGGTCCTATGCTGTACTTGCCATCAGGGGATACGAAGAAGCTGTCATCCTCTTCTTCTGTGCTCAGAACACCGTCGGTACCGGATGCTTCAGATATGGAGAAGCCGTGAACGCGCTCGGTCTTGTCCTGGCTCAAGTCTTTCTCAGATTTGGAATGCGATGTTCGTGGGCTTAACTTCTTGTCCTGATGCGACCGTGAATGGCGCTCGAACTGGGCAAGATCATCAGCGTTGGGCGGTGCTATGATGATCAGCTTATGGAAGAGCTCTCAATGGAAATACATACGCCAGCTAATACTTGGTTTATGTACGAAGCCATGCGCAGGAATATAATCCAGTTTTCCATCACCGCCCAGCGAGGGAAAGGAGTGAGTAAGATCTACCCAAGGACTGAGCAGGATTGCTCCTGCGGGAAGGGGAAGCCCCTGGTCTCGCAATATGACCAGCATGCTTAGAACCAGACCGCCTCCGGCCGAGTCTCCTGCAAGCAGAATCGTGGATGGATCGTGTTTCTGATCAAGGAGATATAAGTACGTGGCAAGGCCTGGAAGTATCGTTAGCACCTGCATATAATGGCTTTTGACAAGGTCTCACAATCTTGCAGTCCGCAGGGAAACGGGAATTGAGGAGCAAGTCGATAATTGGGCGCAATAACCCTTGCCTTCAACTTTCTCGCATGACGCTGCAACTGGTATCTATGCGTATCCACGCTGCCGAAGAAATAAGCACCGCCATGGACATAAAGCATGATGCGCCGACTTTGCCGGTCTCCCGCCCTAGTGCGCTCCTCGTAGTCCTTTCGCATCTCGATCCACTCCGCCTTTAGCGGACTGTTATTCATGCGCCATTGCCACCAGGTCCTTCCGCCAACATGATATAAGCCTTCTGGGCCCAGCTGTGCTATTATATGCTCCGCTGACTTATCCATTGCTCTCTGTGGTACTTCCACCTCTTCCACATGTACCCAGTACGGCACGGGCACCCATTGAGCGGTGAAAGCTTGTAGCTCTTCCACTGTATGGAACGAGGCGTAATGCAGAAACCGGCGTATGAGTTCAAGGCCTTCGTGATACGATATATGCGCCGTAGGTTTCTGTCGGAGCTGTCCGCGATTGAAGTAGTGTTTGAACGCCGTCTCGATAACAGTGGGCGTAACGGCCGCCGACACTGTGATAGTATTGACAGGCATGGTGTTGAAAATGGGTCCTAGTGAGGAGGATTTCGATCAAAACCTAGGGACATGTCGCCGGGTCCATCGACAGCGAGAAGCTGTCGACCGGTTGTGCTAATTAATCGTTCGGAGTTGATGTGGAGGTAAACTCAGGGGAGAAGCTTGGACCACATGACTACGTCATATGCATCCCGTACTCTTCTCAAGATTCCGCCTTGTCCAGATGATTCGTTAGGCAATAAACTGGTGGACATGTTCAGAAATAGTGAATTATACAAATTACCTTGAGGTTTCCCCTTATCACTAGGGTGGGCATTCATCTTCCAACCTTGGAAAGCGCCTCGTGGAAGGAGTGCGCAAGTGGGACATATCGATCTGGATGTTAACAGACTTCAGCACCGCGTTTTCCCACACAACTGCATCAAATGCATGGTATAACTGCCGTGTCCCTGGATCCAGAACTTGTGGGGTTTGGGATTCCAGTCTCCTTGCGCGGACGCCACAGTTAGCCAAGCCACAATTCGTTGCCGAAGTTTACCCGCTCCGACCGCGATTTCGAAAACCGCAAGATTCAACGACATCCGTTCGGACAGGCACCTAACCCCCCGACCAGACCCACAATGGCGAAGAAAGGTACGCCCATTCAATGCGCCTACGCTGCCCTTTTCTCTATTCGGCAGTCAGGATTTCTCTAATCTTCCTCTCCGCCTTTCCCATTCGATCGAACCTTCGCTGACAGATAGTGAACAGCGAAGTCCCGTACCATCATGGTACGCCTCATATCAATGGCCATGACGGGCTACTACCGGACTGTGATGAGACCTCGTGCGCACCGGCCGCTGAGCATGCTGAAATACGATCCTATTGGTACGATGAACCCTTATCCCGTTCCAAGGGAATTCCAGTTGGATGGGCAGATAGACCATTCTGGGAAGAGCTTTTGGAGTGAAAACTTGAAGCGTATAAGAGCGGCCGATTGACGGATCTATAGTGCGGAAACAAGTCCTCTTCCTCGAACAGAAACGCGGCAAGAAATAAGCGGTATTGCGATACCGATCGAAGCGCCCGAACGACGATTGCGAATGGGATTGTGACCGAATCGTGCGCTCTATTGCGGAAACTCGGTGGAAGGAACGGAATATATCTTTTAAGAGCATTGGATTGGGGAAACGATAGCGTGTACAAACCCTGTATGATAGATATTGCTGCGGCATGGATTGGCGTTGTGCAATGGTTTGAACTTAGCGACCTTTAACGGTAAACATCCACATATCGTTCCTATCTGTTGTAACGGATTTGAGTGGCATTTCTGATATCGTCCTTCTGTCACGCTTTCGGTCTCTGACTCCCTACGTCTCATGAAGGCCCCCTACACTTCAATACCCAATACAGTTCCTTTCTTCGTCTGCACGTTGGTTTTCTGCTCCACTTAGTCTTCTCTCCGCATCTTCACGTACCATTCCTTCAATTCTATGACGTTTGCTATCCCTGGCCATGCCTAAATCCCCGGAATAGGCCATAGGCTCTCCTTAAACACACTTTAACCTCCTTTCCTGCTCCGGCATATCCCATCATCTCAGACCAATAGCAGAATATGCACACTCCCAGCATCTGTCTCATACACCTCCCTCCCTCTTATCTTGACGTCTCCGCATGTCTCCGCAGCGGCTTGGCACTGATAGCTCTCTTTCCATCACTGTTCCATTTTCGATTATCCCTTTAGTCAAGCAGGAAAATTCACCGCCTTTGGGCATGAGCGTTCATCATTTGAGCAGGCGTTCTTCGAAAACAGTCATGGAGGTGGCTACTTCCTGGTTTACACAATGTGCATTTCACATGAAGAGACCTGGAGTTTTGGGTATCTACAATGGACGCTTTCAATTCCGAGTAGGCACCACATTCTGAAGTCGCGGGATCTGAGGCCACCCGAAGCGACCAGTGTTTACCTCTAATCATGTATCACACGACAGCGAAAGCTACCATCTCAAAGTTCCACTAGGTGACCATGGCGGGATTTCTATCCAAGTTTCGAACATTCACCCCGGCCGCACACCGCGATTTCCACCTGCTCACTCCCATTAACTACGGCACATTCACATATCCAATCATTCTTTGGTTCGGCAGGAGGCCGTGGACTAGTAACCTCAAGTGCGGAGATTAGGAACGCTCAGATTTCCGTTTGAAAATGGCTTCTTATCATGTTTCTGGTACGTGATTACGTTTCATTGATCGAGTATCTGTCACATAACGGTTGTTTTGACATTATCTCAGAAGCTGCCATATATCTACAGTTCTACGTCTGCAAATGAAACAGTCCATCTCCATTTCGTTTATCGACTGAAGAGCGAGTTAACTCGGCAATGCGCCACGTCAAAATGAAGAATCCCCCCACACCAATGTGGTGGCATCTCTCACTCACAGGCCCTGTTTCCAAAATCCTTCCATTTCCTTCGCAATGGTAAAATGCCTTGCATGGGAGACTGCCCCCTCAAGACTGCCGTCGAATCGTTGGGGTGCGGCTGGAAACGTGACAATAATCGGGTTTGGTTCGGCTCCATTTTCAATGGCGGACTTGGCCACGCCTTCTTGTCCGAAAGATACAACGCGAATAGCTTCACCTCCTCTGCATGCTTCTCCGCAGGATCTAAGGCACTCGACGACTCCCTGGGCCCTGGGTCTCTCCTTGTAAGATTCAAGGAGTTCCTCATTCTACCAATCGAAGGGATATTCGCACAGCTGGGGCCCAGTTGATGAAGAGGTGGCGCTGATCTGCCTGGTACATGTATTAGAGTTATTGGTCAAGGTATGCAGCTATGATCTTCTTTCTGCGCTCAACTTCGTATAGGATTGATGGTACTGTGATTGTTTCATCTTGATGCCCCCTCCTTGTCGGCGCGCTGGGCCAGGAGGACCCTCAAAAACCGGACCAACGTGGTCCCATGAGACTCCTACGCTCGCTCAATGAAAGCCAGCTCCTCATGCGGACTCTGATTTAGGCGGCTCGTGACCGCTGCAAGTCATTCTTTCTCTTCTGTTCTTCCGTCCAAATGCGCCCTTTGGGGTGAGGATAGGAAAGCCCTTCGATCTCTCTCCGGATTCAGTAACTTGGCTCCTCGAATTACTAGGAGCAAATGTAACGAGACATCGACATGTACACACTCACGCGTTCCGATCCAACAAGTAGCCATCTTGCACCTAGGCCGCGGCGATCGTGGCGGCGGCTACGATCGCGAGAGCAGTTCCGCTGACAGCCGCGCCCGCCATGTCTTTGCTTACTGCTCTGGCTCTGCTCACCGGGACCTCGGGAGTAGGTTCGTAGCCCTCATCATGGACAGGTAGCAGATAAGACTCTGAGGGCCGTGGGAAAGCTGAGACTATTTAGCTTCTGATCAATGGAGTCAAGGACTGAGGAGGGAGGGACTTATCGCTCGTTATGGCAGTTATCGGTGACAAACTTGTATATCGCTAATGAGGCCTCGGTAACAACAAGGGGACTGAAATACTACCGTGCCCTAATGCTTTAAATTGCTGACCTTCGTCTGTTCACACCTGAATTGTACGGACTAGCAGGAGACCATGGGTATTCATATCGAATTCGCCGACCAGAGCGAGCGGAAATGCAAAAACACCATCGTTTGTTAGCGCCAATTTCGGCAGAGAAGGGAATGATATTGTTGAACAACGCAGCTGCGCGAGCGGCTTTGATTTGCAAAATTCCCGTTTTTTACTGCGCCAATGTACCTAACCAGAGAAAAGTATGAAAACAGCCCTTCAAGGGGCAAATGTAGGGCGTATCTGTTCACTCCAGCAGCTACAATTCCGCTGCGAAGTTTCTGTAGACCCGTCACTCTGGGCTCGTGCAACCAACGCGCTAGCAATGAGAGCTAGTACGTATTCCTCTCAAACGCGATCTGGCTAATCAAGTTGATACCCACATGGACGTGGTTTTCAACAAGTTCAACCAAGCTTCGCGAAGGGAGACTGTGCACAAGCCGTTATTGTGGAGTGGACTCTTTAACCTTGGAAGCAATGTAACTGCTCACTAGTTAGCGTAAAAGCCTTCAAACTTTGTGCGGATGCGACTTACCTCTAGGAGAGCTACCTCGCAACAAGGTCCGCCCTCTCTTGTCCTTTCCCATGTTGATGAGAGAAAGAGGAAACGTCTTTCTGAAAAGAAGAATGTTGGCGAAGTGCCTTACCCAGCACATTGATCTTGAGCTGTCGGGCAACATCACGCCTTGAGTTATTCTAGGCTTGCAATGCCACATCCTAGCAATGAGAGCTAGTATGTTTACCATGCAAGCCATAACCACGACGACGACAAGTCTCCATTGTTTCCAACAACCTCCATCAAACAGAACTTATTATGTAGCGCTATGACGGTGGGATGTGCCACCCGTTCGAGAGTGCCAGCGGTGCGGAAGTTCGGGTCTGCTCAAGGTCTTCGACGGAAAACTGCGGCGAGAGCGAGGCGAAGGGAGGTAAATTTCATAGCTAAACATAACGTATCAATGATTCCAAGTAAATCACACAAGTTCACTCACCAAGTATCCAGCGTCATAGTCTGCACTGTCCAATCCCCATGAGCATGTATTTGACTTCTGCCGTCAGCATCGCGATGATCCCCGCAAGCTGACTTACCGAAGCCCATATCAATATTGTCTAAATCGCATGGTCAGCTGTGGAGACTGAGCAAGAGCAGTAGACACGAATAGACATGGCGAAACGAGCCTTTGTCAACCGGGGGCAATGGAGTCCGCGGCGCGCTTTTCAACAGAACCCAAGCAAACTTTGTCTGATGCGTGTGGTCAGCAGTTGATCGTTAGGCAAGGCCAAGGGATGCAAACAGATGTAGAAACTGTGTATATGTATGAGACATTGACAACGGCTGGTCAGGTATCCCAATCACCTTACCAAAGCCTTAGTCGATTTGTCCGGGTCGCAGGCAGATTTTGCTGTTGGAAACTGAGAAACACCTATGGACGCGTATAGACCAACGATGCAAAGGAGCTGAAGCGGTCGTGAAGCCGGAGAATACATATGAGTATATGGTGTCAGTATTGATTATGAAAAGCTGGACAAGGACGTACCGGGCCAAGCTGAAAAAGCCATCGCTTGTGCTGGGAGGGTATTCATGTTAGGACCCAGCTTAAGAGAAAACTTTCCCAGCCGGTTCTTCGTCCATTCAATCTAGGCCCGCCAATCAGCCATAGGCTTGCCTGCCTACTGCGTGCGTTTGGGATGCCGGAAAGGTTGCGGGTTGAGGATACATATGAGTGTTTTGTGTTAGCATTGATCACTTGGAGTTGGAAGGGAAGGGAACTTATAAAGAACATCTGCTTGGAGGTCAAACTGGAGCAGCCCCCGGAGCCCTCTTAGAAGATTTGAATGTTAGGACCAGGGCCACCAGCTTAAGAATAATTTTTAAGCTGGTGCTTCTTTGTCCTTTCAATCTAGGCCCGCCAAACAGCCGTAGGCTCATCTGCCCACAGCGTGCGTTTGAGGTGCCGGAGGTGATTTGGTGGGGAGGGGAATGTACTTACCTGGAATATCTGCTTGGAGGTTAGATTGCGCGGCTTGGAGGTTAGTTACCCTGTTAGTTACCCTAAGGTATACAGCAGAAGCCCTCTTAGAAGCTTTGAACCCTCAATGTCAGGACGGGGGCCACCAGCATAAGAAATGATTTTCTAAGCTGGTGCTTCTATGTCCTCTCACTTTAGGCCCGCCAAACTGCCGTAGGTCGCCTGCCCACAGCGTACGTTCGGGGTGCCGGAAGGGAAAAGGGGTGGGGAGTGGACTTACCTGGAACATTTGTCTGGACTGCACTGCTTGTAGATTAGAGTAAACGGCTTGGATGTTAGATTGCAAATGCCCTCGTAGAAGCTTTGAATGTCAGGACTCGGACCCATCAGCGTAAGAAATGATTTTCTAAGCTGGTGCTTCTCAGTCCTCTCAATCTAGGCCCGCCAAACTGCTGTAGGTCGCCTGTCCACAGCGTGCGTTTGGGATGCCGGAAGAGATATTGCGCGAGAGATCTAAGCCGCCAGCATCAGAAATGAATGTTCTGGGCTGGAAGGGCTTCGATGCTCTCGATATAGGCGCCGCCAAACTGCCTTAAGCAACAAGGACAGTCGCAGAAGACGGATTGGTACGGTGTTGTCTAGGGGGATAGTCTGGGTGACGATGATTCCCTAGAGGTTAGTAGTTGGGGAGTGTGGGTTCCGGGCCACGGAAGAAGTTTGTGGAGAGATGACCGAACCGCCAGCATCAGAAATAGATGTTCTGGGCTGGACGGCTCTGGGTGTCTGAATATAGGCGCCGCCGAACAGCCGTAAGCAACAATGATACTCACAGCGTGCGTTCAGTGCGCCGGGAAGAAAGCTGTGGAGAATGCAGTGTGAAGCAGTTAGCACGGGAAGCCCCTAAAACAATGAGTGAGCAACTGACCTTTCTTACATGTAACCAAGCATGCGACAACTGCGGGGCACTGTCGTTAACATTAGCACTGCCATTGGGAAAGTGATGACCCAATGCAAAAAGCGGATGAACACTGAAAGGAAAGTAAGGTGTTGCTCTCAACCAAACACAGCATAGCATGGGTCTTCGCTACGTGAGTTGCCGTTGGAGAGCTCTATTCAATCTTGGCTCGAGGGTAAGACTCGAAGGTCTAAAGCGCAGCAGCCACGGTAGACTGGCACTTTATCCCCAATGAGATCTTGGAGACTCTGAGCCGTGTTTGTGAGGAGAAGGGAAGTGGGTGTGATAAACGTCGACACCGTTGAGCAAGTAAGGAAACGGGATACTTAGCTAAGGCTTTGGGTGGAGGTCTGTTGCGAAGAGGCCAGTGAACAACGACCCGAGAATACTAAGTTTCATTAGCACGGGCTCATGCTGCTTCGGTTTATGCGATGGAGGTACTCACAAACTCGGCATGAAAACATATAGGAGCGGGGAGGACATGCTCTGGGGGTTCGGCGTTGGGGTGTTGTCCTTGTGCCCATCGTATTCATTCCCTCCAGGAAAGACATAGAAGTGCAGCGTCGATCTCCCCCGAGCTGTAGTGGACTCTGATGGATTTCCGCTGGCGTGAAAACCTTTCCTAAGAACAAAGTCAGTACACAGGCAACACAGAGATGCCATCCGCCTGTGGTGCGTGGGTAGTGGAGAAGGAGCTGATTCCGACTGCGACGCATCTGTGACAGTACCCGAAGCCAATGTTGATAGTGGTGGAAGCTGAAGACTTCGTCTTCCAGATTGTGGAGCGGGACTAGCTGACGCGAGGTAGAGGCGGGAATGAGGGAGGAGTCGGTGATGGAGAGCGCGTCGAGGACGCGACGCAGAAGGGGCCACTGACCTAGAGGAAGAGTTGTATAGACTCACTGAGTGCTTGCTCCTCATTGTGAGCACAACGGTGGCCTGAAAATTCCTCTCAAGCGCGTTGAGAGCATCAGCTTCAGTCGCGATGCCGCACCAGGCGTGCGAAGGCGGTGGTGATGGAGGCGCAGACCTGAATGAGGCGAAAAAAGAAAGACGACGACGCCGTCAGAAGATGTGGGATGGAGATGAGGAGAGAAAAGAGGTGTTGTTGAGAAGAGTGGGTGGCGTGAGAGTGAGTGTAGGAGGGAGGGAGGAGGCAGTGTGGGAGGAGTGTTTTGACTTGGTGGCCGGGGGCCCGCGCCCCCTCGCAGCAGGCCTTGGGGAGCTACACGGCCGCACCACCACAACAACATCATTTAGAAGGCCTCGGTAGATGCGAGTAGCATAATCTAGGTATAAAGAAACACCTAGTGCGGAAAAATTAAGGGCTGCTTGTTGTGGTTGCAGCGTGCGCGGCCTGAAGGCATCACCAAGGCGAGGGGAGCAACATACTGCTGTACGCACAACGCCACCCCACCGTAATTTTGGAAAGCCGCAGCAGTGTGCGGAGAGCACTCAGTTTTACCTGGGCTGGACGTGGGGCGCTGAAACATTCGGAAGTCGTGGCAACAAGGCCACGCCCAGGCGACCTCCTTCACCGACAGTGGACTACAACACCACAAGCAGTAGGATAAAGCTGCTAACCATGAGCACGCCAGCTTAGAGACGTCCATAATGACGGCGACGTGGCTCTTCCTGCAGCGCTGGAGCCTCCTCCACGCCAGCTTTTGAGGACCAGATCCTCGCGGCGACCCAGATCAAAACAAAAGCACTCCTTCCTCAAACCTCCAGCAAGCCAGAGACTCAATGAAAAAGAAAACGCCCGAAGGCGGGCTAAAAAATTGTGCCACTTGGCACTCCCTCTGGGTAGTTATCCAGGAAGGAGGCCCTCCATCTCTCAGTGTATAGCTCAGAATACTCTTCACCGCAAGTCACTGAGTGCCCAAATGTGTGGCGCGACGTGAGCCTAAAGGCTCAAAAACCACGGGCGAAAGCAAAGAGTGAAGAAGAGAATAGAAAGTCTGCAACTTCTGCTCGGTACCCCCGTGTCCCCACAAGTGTTGCAGTTGCTTGAAGTACTGCGTCTGATCTGGGAGCCAAGAAGATGCTGGCTGCAGTGAAGAAAAGCTGCCGCCAGCGCACAATGGCCGAGAGTCCCGGCACTAGGGATGTTGAAGAGGAAAGGGAGAGCAGAGAGGGGAGCAAGATTTTTATACTCCAAGCAGGGCGTACGGGCAGCCGCTGAATCACACCTTACGTGATGGTGCCTCTGCGGACTGCGATTGGCTGTAGAGTGGCCTGACAGGGGGGTAGGGTGCCCGTGGGGGATGGGTATGGTAGCAGGAGGGCGGGGGACGGTGGGAGGGCGAGCGGAGGAGATGGGGGACCAGCAAGGCAAGGCTGGGACGAGGTGCCTCAGCAGCTCGAGCAGAACTGAATGAGATACAGTAGATGTAGATGAGAAGAAGAAACTCCTCCCGCAGCGTCACCATAGCCTGCTCTACTGCTGCAGTATGGCAGCTTCATTTCCATGGTGGACGCCGCGATGGCGAGGAACATCAAGGCGTGGCAAAAACCAATGCCACAGGCCTTCATCTTGCTCAGTGTTACCGCCGGCTCGTTATCCGGATGCTCCTTGAGAGACTGATTGCTTCAATAAGCTTTGGGAACGGGAAAGCGGAGGCACTACGTAGTGATCTTGACCGTCCTAAACTCAGTGTCACAGGCGGGCGTGCGGGCACACCATCTTCGACGATGACGGAAGAACCCCTCTCCGACCAGCGGAACGCCAGGCCAGAGCAGTCCTTCCATATGGCGACACTCGTTGTCCTCAGAACCGTAGCGCCTTAACGCTGAGAGCTGTGCCGGCCGCTATCTTCCCACTTCGAAAACGGCCGCGCGTGAAAACTCTAACAAACTCCGCCCACATGATCTCGACGAATACGAAACACCGAGCCCACAACCGTTGCATGGTCTTCCAGCAGACCCTGAGGTAAGGTGGTGCACTGAGCCAGTAACGTCGATATCACGGCAACCGATTAGGAGGAAACGCCGGAATGGACGAGCATCCGGTTTCTCCAGCTTCGACTCTCTTCCCTCACGGCACGCGTTCACGGGTTACGACATCTCCATACGAATAACGGCCAGGCTGGACACAAGCGGATGGGAATCATAGATTGCGGGAGCGCTCTTCCAAGAATGGCACAAACTCAGCAGAGCGCGAAGGGCCGGTAGCAATACCCGCTTCGATGGTGCGGAAGTCCAGGGTGGCTTTCCCATCTCCCTTCGCACTGTAGGCGGGCATAAGGCATGACTCCTCCACAAACACAGCACTGATGGGACAATGAGAAGAGCTCACAAACACGGCCGTGGCGGCGCTTTTGGTTTTGCTGCTCCTCAACGGCGGGCTTCAGTTTGACTTCGTCCTGGCGGGGCATCCATATCATTCTCGTCGCGGCGGCCTGACTCTTCCCACCAACACCAACAACAACCATTTTCGGAATGCTCCCAAATCCTCTCCGCCGATTACAGGGCATAGGGCATGAGGTAAGATCAGGATTTCTAACTTTTCCAGGAACTGCTGACAGCGCAAGGAGGGCGTGCAGGATGTTTGCTTCGAAACCCCCGGACGCGGAGGGCAGCCACCAACTCGGCCTCCAGATGCTGAAGCCGACAGATATTCTCCTCACGCGAGAGACAATTAGGCATCTCATAGAACTGAGGAACAGCTGAGTAGAGGTGCTGAAAACAGGTTTCGCCGCCTATCCCCTCGTCGAGCCCTCCCGAGCGGACTCCTTCTGAAGCACCCCCTGGCGCAGCAACAACAGCAAGCACACCAAATTCATACGGGGATCGCTCTCTGAGAATACTAACATCCCTTCCGCTGCAAATATTGAGTTGCGCAAGGGCGTCTGATGCTTCTTCCCTTCCACTTCCTCATCATCCTCCCCTTCCTTGGCGCGCAAGGTCGGAGATGCACCGTGCGAACCACGCTTTGAAGGCGACACAACACACCCAAACTAGCTTGAGACAGCGGAGAGTTTGACGGGAGATAGCAAAGGAGGGAAACGACCGCAGAGTTGCGTATCGCATTTCCAAGTCCCAGAAACGCGTGGGTACAGCAAACAGTTCTGCCTTCTTCGCTTCGCTGGAGAGGAGGATGGGCAATCCTTTGGGCTAACAGAGCCACAGATCCATCTGGGACAATTTAGAACAATACGGGAGCATGTTCTCAAGGCTGCGGTGGACAGGAAGCTTCCTGTTGCTTTGCTCGATCCTGGTTCCCTGAGACTGGGGAGGCCACACTCCTTTGGGGTTATGACATCTCAAAGCGAGCGCGTTGAACGGCGGCGCAGATCTGCGGGGCCCCAGGTAACTCAGCAAGTTTGCCCCATGGGCCCATCGTCCAGGGAACTAATTCCATCGTGCCTCACAATTCAATCCATGGACGGGTTCCGGCAATGCTCCTCTCAAGGGAGATCCGAGACGCACTATCCGGACTCAGGACTCCAAGAAGCCAATCAATCTCCAGATAAACCGAAGGTAAAGATCCGGAATGGAATCCGAAAAACAATCCAGGTAAGTCGTCTGCAGCCCCATGTGCCAGCGCGGCGGCAAAGCAAACACGCTGATACCAAACACCAGTACCCCCATCCCAATTAACCATCCGCACACCTCCGACCGAAACATATCTCTTGAACCCAATAATACACCAAAAATATCTCTTTCGCCCTCTCCTTCCTCGCATCGCCGCAAGCCGTCCTCCTCGTCCTTTTCCGCCGCCCTCACACACGCACACATCATCTTGGTAGCCCAAAACCAAATATTCTTACCCTCCGCATCCTCATCTATCTCTTCCACTATTTCGCATCCTAAATCCACACAACTCATTCCCTCACTCAGGGGCACCACGTAAGCAAAACCCTTCGTGGCACATTCCCAGCCGTGCGCTGAAGCGTGCTAAACCCTGTCACGCTTCACCCGAAAAGCGCAAACCCCCGCACTGGCAGGAACGCCGGCGCCGCTTGGCTGCGCCGAACACACAACTTAAATCAGACCTCCGTGGAGCTTTATGTGAACGTCTGGCTTGCCGTCAAGCACATAGAGTGGACGTGCTCTTCATAAGAGGTCTCGCGATGGAACGGCCTTCGCTGAAGGTGCGGCTTGGAGATGGAGATGATGCATGGACTCTTTTGGCGGTTCTTGCATCTTTCCTTCTCGGAAGCCCATCTTTACTCGTCGCTCTTGACTGCGTGCACGCCCGTCTGCTGGCTCTTGTCTCATCGCACGCTGCCGTTGAGGCATTGGGCGCCTGCAGATGATGAAGCTGGCATGCTGGCACACGGTCGATGCTGATGGAAAAGGGGCTGGCGCCGAACTAATGAGCAGCACAGCTGTGCTATTCGCATCTCTTTGCGAGAGGCTCGGGCAATTGTGCGAAGAGACGGGCTTCCACATCTGACTGCGGTGCATGTTCTCGGAGGCTCAGAGGACATGTCACCGCCAAGGCGAGTATGGTAATCATATGGGCGTTCTCGAACCATCTGCCGGAGCGCATATTTACGAGTCTTTGCATTGGACGGTGGGGAGGCATTTGAATGTAAGCCGCCCCTACGGAATAACGATCATTGATTGACCTATATACAGCTTTCGAGCGCTGAATTGCGCCAGGGACTAAGTGTCGTCTCTATGAACCTTCAGCCGAACAGAACACGTTGGATTGTCGATTACCTGATGCGTCGCCGGCATCCCGCCTCATACTCTGAACGAAAATTCCTAGCGATACTTCCCTCCGGCGACACGACTCGAGCCTCCACTTGTTGCTGTGTCGGCCAATCCTACGTATGACACTTGTTAGCCCTGCAACGTACCAAAGTATAACAAACGCTTCGCTATATGGAGTTCTAGGACAGGGATACTCACTGGCATACTCCCGATACCGCGGCACAACCGCCGCACACATTGTCGATCTATGAAACCCACTCGGTATTGCTCGAATAAATCTCTACTGTCAGCGCCAATCCAAAAAGACAATCATGGAAAACCCGACAAGAAAAGACGTAGATCTCAGATGGGTGCGGAGCCTTCAGGCATCCAATCACCAGCCCCAAACTACGATTTAAACGCGAATATAACAGATACACCAACAGGGGCAACCCTCGCTCTCGACGTTTGTGATTGTTCCGGAGGGTAATGTTCATCATGGAACCAAAGTACTGATAACCAATGAAAAAGCGGACTTACATCAGACAGGTATCGAGTCGCCGGACAATGCGTCAATTGAACCTAAGGTCGTGCTGGTCAGCTCCAATTCGAAGATCAAGCGAAAATGACAAATGGGAACCGGTGTCTCTCAGATGGGCGATGTGTCACAAACGTGATCGCCAACCCCATACACTAATATTGAAAGGGCAACCCCTCATTCCAACACTTGTTCCTGTTCGGCAGGGGTAATGTTCATCATGACAAAATTGGGAAGAAAATGATTAGCGATCAGCGATGGCTTACTTTCCTTCAGGTTGCCAGTGTGGGTGGCGTGAACAAATGATCATCGATGAGCTCACTTGTCCTGCAATACGAAACGATTGCGATTCTAACGAATCCGTTATACGCCTCGGTGGCGGGGCCGATGCTCTCTATGACCACCATCAGCATGGATCATGACGACGAAGAACCGACCATGCGAAATACACATACCTTCGAGAGCGCGAGCGAAATCGCATGTGGTCCCGTGCTGAACTGCTCTGTTGCTAGCACTGTCTAACATAGACAACGAAAGTAGGATCACTTGAGCGATCGCCTTCAGAAACGAACAAGTGCTCATCGAAACCGCCGGGGGCGTCTCGGCTACAATGCTGACAGTTGACAGTCATCATAAGGGCAGCCAGCTGGCTGTCTTCGTAAGGAGAAAAGTTGAGAGCGAGCACTTAACTTCTCGCGGACCCTATCAATCAAAGGGTGAAAGCCTGTTTTCAGTTAGCGATGCCCGTCGCACCGTTGCGGTAGCCTCTTCAAGGTGCGTATGAGAGTGTCATTCAGGCCAGATAACTTTTCCTCAATGGAATTGAACAGTTTAGGATCGGGTTGAGATCGGAGTCATCATATTAAGCGGAAGATATGCACGTACCGCGCGGCACTTACCGACTCCGAGAACCGGGATTACCGTTGTATTGGCGGCATAGCGTAGGGGTGAGGTCGCCGCTCGTAGTAGTATTCATAGTAATGGCCTGCCCAGTTAGTTTGTCCGAGAACTACCGCGTGGCTTGGCAGATGGGTGGCCACCGAGCCATTGCTATGCTTGGTTAGTGTCCACATTTGCGAATAGCTTTTGCTGACTTACTGTAGGTTTTCAGTATGCTTGTCGCATATTAAACAATCTTGTCGAGGAGGATATCAGCGAAAGCTCTCCGAAAGAAAACGCGAAAAAACCGAGAGGCTTCATCAGGCCATTGCATCTCCGACAGCATACAACGTGCCATACACCGAGATGCCTGGACTGGTTTGCTCAACCAGAAACGAACAGTTAGGATGACAATCAAATCTGGATACATCATTGAGCGAAAGGACAAGAAGATCAGGCTGACTTACAACACTGCTGCTATTGTCCATGCCCAAGAAGTCTCGCAATCTTCTGTTGACCGGTCAGCAATGGTATGGAACACAGGAATGATCCAAGTCGAAAGGATGTACTGATCAGATGAAACGATATGAGGAGCGACTTTCTGCATTGCCGAGCGTGCACCCGGGGTGTATCTGGCAGTTTTCAACGACTCTTTAATGCTCGGCTCAGAGCGCGTGCATCATCATGTACGAGGTGGGAAAGTAATAGAGAACGCACGTACCTGTGAGTAAATTGATTGTCCTGAAATACCGTACCACTGATGCTGATATTAGCGGATAAATCACCAGAACTGAGCGCGTTTGGCAAAGAATGGCTTTGGCGTTCAGACGACAAATGTGAGGCTGCGGTAAAAGGCAAAGTCTCACGAGCACATCATGAGGAGCCAGCAGCGGAAACCGGCAGAAACCGCTAGGCTCCTTGCTCGGAATCAGAGACCCCAGTTTCATCATGCCATAAGTTATGAAGCGAAAGAAGAAGAAAGTGCATACCGTTATGTGGCAGGCGATAGTGTCGCGCATGGAAGAACCTGAAAATTCATCAGCTATCAAGAGCCCATCAATGAGCGCGAACCACGGAAGGAATGGACAATAGTCAGACGTTCAAAAATCCAGAAGAGGAAGACAAGGCGCCCCGAGCACATCATCCCTTAGTGCATAACGAGACCAGTGAGTGGGCCGTGTCAAATCTTCCACAACTGGTCCCGGCTCGTAACAGAGGGCAGATGTATCATCATAACAGGTGGAAAGGAAACAGAAAGTATGGTACGTACCTTTGGGGGAGCAGTCGACACTGTCCTGATGACATCCAGGAGAACCTAGGGCTCATATTGTCAGCACGTATCCCATCCATCAGCGCAGCATGAGAGAGACAGTCTGAGCATTGCATTCAGACAACGAAACAGACGAAATGTATGACCCTCGAGCACATCATGCATCCTTAGTGCAATGCCCTAAATAGGCCTTTAACGGGACTCTCTTCTCGGCCACCAATTGGTCCCGGCTCGGATCAGGAGGGAGTTTGTCATCATAAGAGATAGAAAGAAAGAGAAAGTAAGCACACGTACGCAGAGGAAAGTCGACACTCTCTTGGTTGCCTTCAGGAGATTCTAGCACTCAAAGTGTTAACAGGGGTCCTATCCACCAGCGCAGCGTAAGAGAATTGGATCTGCAACCTCAGACAACAATACAGAGAAGAAAAGGATGACACTCGAGCACATCATGCATCTTTGACCAGTGCCCTAGATAGGGCTTAACGGGACACTCTTCTCGGGCATGTCAATTGGTCCCGGCTCGGATCAGGAGGGAGCTTGTCATCATAAAGATATAGAACGGAAAGAGAAAGTAAGTATACGTACCTATTAGGAAGCAGTCGACACTCTCTCTGGCAACCTTATTCATCGTGTTAGCAGGTATTCCATCTAACTGCGCAGCACAGGAGAAGGGATCTGAAAACTCAGACAACGAAACAGGAACGTATTGATGACCACCGAGCACATCATGCAGCATTGACCGCCCTAAATAGGGCTTAACGGGACACTCTTCTCTGCATGTGCACACTGGTCCCGGCTCGGATCAGGATGGAGATTGTCATCATAAGATATAGAAAGGAAGGAGAAAGTGTTTCACACGTACCTGTTAGGAAGCAGTCGACACTCTCTTGGTAACCTTACTCATCGTGTTAGCAGGTATTCCATCCATCTGTGCAGCAACAAGGGAATTGGATCTGAAGATTCAGACAACAATACAGAGAAGAACGCATGGCCCCCCGAGCACATCATTTGTTCTGCCCTAAAGAGGGCTTAACGGGACACTCTTCTCGGCCACGTCAAGTGGTCCCGGCTCGGATCAGGGGGCAGTTTATCATCATAACGGGCAAATGAGAGGAAAGAGATGGACGTACCAGTTGTATATGTCCCGTCCGATCGTCAACCCAAACGACGAATTAAGATACCTCAATATTAATCGCGACTGTATCCACTGTTCGGCTCGAAGCGAGGTCGGCAGTTGCCTTAGGGAGCAAGGTTCGCGGATCGGTTCCTGAGCGGCGAGCGGTATGGTGGAAACGGGAGGTACCCACCTACAGGATTGTTTGTTAGCGCATTGTACTAACTGGAAGCAGGGAAGAGGTTGGGAAGCTTTGTCTTCAACCAGGGCGACATTGTTCACTTACAACAGGAGAAAATTTCCTTTTCGGATCAAGTCTTGGCGGCGCCCCCTTCAGTACAAAGACATCAGCTCACCCGACCACGATTGCGGTTAAGAAGTCGAAGCTTCGGAGATGACTGAAGCACTGCTGAGAGGGAGCAGTACTGCAGGGGCTGTGGTTACCACGCTGGCTGCCATGACTTTGGGCGTCGCTCTTGCTGCATCCCCGGTAGGAAGCCAGGCGCTCAACGAAGAGCAGCACTGCATCTACGATGAGCTCGATCCGAACCATCTGCCTCGGGGTCAGCCTGATGTTTGAAAGAAAGTCTTCTTCCGTGGCACTCCGCGATGCTGTTGTTGTTCGGTTGTTGGCGCGGAGGCGGTTGTGTTGTTGTGGCGAAGGGGGGGAACTCGAAGTGCGCGCCCCTTCAAAACAGGATTTCGCGCAGGCCCCCCACCACAGCGTACAAGCAGCAATAAGAAAGAGAGCGGCGATGACTTACTCACAGATGCTCTTGAAGCTCTTGTTTGAACGTTGCTCCTCCGATTTTTCAGAGATTGCGAAGGAGACTCGCCGCCGAGCAGCTGTTCTGAAAGGACGCAATGGGGCGCGGATCATTCGAGAATATCTGCAGAACGTCAACCTCCCTTCCCCGTCGATAATCGCCGGTCGGCACGGGCTTTGGGGATGCTGGAGCATCTACCGCCATCATCGGTGGCAAGGGGCCTGCGAGAGCGAGGGAGCACTTACCGAATCTCGACACGAAACGGGACCATGCCGGGGGCATATGACCAGCGCTCGCTTGAGGACGTTATGCAATGTGAGCTGCCTCTCCTCTAGCTCTGCTCAGCTCCGGGGCTGGTGTTAGTGAAGCCGGAGGTGGAGGGATTCCTCATGGAGGACGCGAGCGGAGAGGGAGGCAAAACTTACCAGAGCTCGAAGACACAATGCGATGGACGATCGCCGCGTGTTCGAGGACGTCCTGCGCTGTCAAGTCCTTGAAAGCAACACCCCGTCACCAAGAGTGTTGGGATGTGCCGCTTCCACTGGTTTGGTGACGCGAAGGGACGTGAGCTCACCCGGCAACGCACGAGCTGCAGACGCTCTCCAAAGGCGACATGAGCTACTCGGGGCTGGAAGCAGCGTCCTCAACCCTCTGTCAAGCGAAGCCAGTGGAAGAGGTGTTGCAGGTGGAGCCGCTCGTGAGGCCAAACAAGGCCTTCACCCGGCGCAGCGGCGCTATCAATGCGCTCGGCGATGACCTGCAGGACAGAAGGGAGCGAGGAGAAGACTCTCTGAGATGCAAAGACGAAGTACGAAAGGCGCCAAAGATGGGGATAGAAAGTTATGTTGTGGGTGCGTTGTTGAGGGGAAGGTGGAGAGGGAAGGCAGCGCTGTGGGACTTAAGTATTTTGCTCGTCCCTGGTGGACCGTGCGGGCTGGGGGAGCGGCGAGGCCAACAGTAACCAGCGCCCTCACGAGAGGCAGGAGACCGCTGTACACAGGGCCGCGAGAGCAATGCTCCCCTCGCTATCAAGGACGGGGCCAACAAGAGGTAGTGAGTAACGCAATCCATTCTCAAGAGGCTGTATGGATGCACTGTGTCCTTCATCGTCTACCGTAATGTATGCTATATCCATCTCCGGGCCTAATTGAAACAAGCTGACCCTTCACGTTTTGGCAGCATATCAGGCTCCGACTACCTCGAGCTCCCCGTTCTCCACATCTTATCCCGCCACCCTACCCTCTCTCCCTCGACGTTAGCATTCAGGGACTGAAAAAGAACAAGAGGCCCGAATCCGGAGGTACCATCGACATTTCCCAAGCGTTAGGATTGGAGCTTGCAGAGCATACGATCAGTAGCGAATGTATGGATGCACCTAGGCAATACCAGCATCCTCGAAACGATCTTCGGCCGCAATAATCGAACATTGAAGACGGCCTCAAAGATCGGGATCTGAAGTTTATCGACGAACTATACAGCGTAAACCACTACAACGGCAAACTGAATTCGAGACGACACGACGCCAACGCTGTTAGTCAGACAGGTGTTCTTGAAACCCTGAAATGGGGTATAACTCGAGCTGTCCAAGCTACTCGAGCTCTTGGCTAAAGCGCAGATGATAACGAGAGCCTGTCCGAATTGTCAGTGGCTTGAAGACGGGAAGCACGGCAATGCTGGCTTACTCTTGGTCCGGCGGGAGCCACCGTTCTGAACATTGGATGGATGGGCGGGAGACCTAGAAACGGCGCTGCTTCGGTTGGAAGGCAACTGTGCGGTGCCTAAAGATTGCCTGGAGGCGGTATAAGACACCGGCGGCTTAGTCGAAACCTTCGGACGTTTATTGCCCCCATTACCTGCATCTACACTGCGTTCGTGGATCTTACGCTTCTGGCCGGAAGAATCAGAAGGAGTTGGCAAACCTCCAGAATCCTGAAGTAGGGCACGTCCTTTTTCTGGAGGATACGGGAGCTTGACCAGGTAAGTCGCCCTTTTTGAATGATTACCAGGTGTTCTACCAGCCGAATTGGATACCGGCGAGCGGCTATCACCACTTTCAGACGAAAGGAGCGGCACCATACGGGAAGCCATATTTGCCTGGGATTTGGGTCGACTTGGAGACTCGACGTCAGAATCGCGGACAAGTGGTTTGCCATCCCTCTCCTTTTGGAAACCTTGGCGCGACTCCTTCACTCGGCTATGCTCCGCGACTCGTCTCTGCTCCGGCGTAAATGGCCTCTGCCTATCCGCAGGCATCTCAACAAGGGCATCCGATCTTTCATTATATCCTGCACACGGAAAGCGAATGTTGTTCACGATGTGAGAATGCTGTCCACACAGCTGGGTCTCAGGGACAATATCCACTGCAGGATCAAATTGCGGACTGATGGAAATGGCTCTCTGCTCAACCTCCTGGGTCGCAGGGACCAGCATGGAGACACTTTGTCCCTTGTGATCCATGTCAAATAGATTGGGGGAGGTAGGCTGAAAGCACGGCAACGCTGCCGCGCCTGGCTCACCCTGTATCCCTTCTCTGCTGTTATCGGCTGTGCTTCCGTTCCATGGCGGGCTGAAGAGGAATACAGGACTGTGTCGCTCCTGGTCCCTCGGCATAAGTGGCGTATGCATTCGACCTGGTGAGCCACCTTGAGGCACGTTGGCCGTCACAGTGCGATTGCGCCTGTCGATTTTCCGCTTGGGATTGGATGAAAGAAGCATCTCCTCGCGCTCCCGATCGAGGGAACCATCATGGCCGGCACCATCATCTCGTGGAAACGTGGTGAGATGATTCTCCTCAAGGGTTTCTTGTCTCCTCTTGGTAAGTTCTTCGGCTTTGCGCTCTAGCATCTGTCTTCGAATAGCGGAAATCTGCTCTTGGAACTTCTCCTCCATTTTCTTTGCCGTTATCTCCTTGTGAGCTTCCAATTCGCGTCTTTTCGCGTCCTCGATATGCTTGCACTTTTCGTCGGACTTCTTCAAATCCTGCGTGCACTTCTCCAGCCGCTGTTGGAGAGATGCAAGCTCAGCTGTATGTTGAGTGTTCAACAATTCTATCGTCTGTTTGTGAGAACGCAGCTCAGATTCGATCAGCTCTTTCGCCTTCTCCGCTTCAGCAACCTGCTTCTGGAGGACTCTATCCTGGGCAACAGAAGCAATCTGTGCTTTCTCCAACGACGCTTTCTCCGTCTCGAGTGTAGCAAGCTTGTTCAGGGCGTCTTCAAGAGCGGCTGCGGCGTCATTGGACTGCTTTGAGAGGCGTTGTTTACAATCTTCCTGGGTTTCACTGAGGATGGACTCGCCCTTCGCCAATTGAGATTTGTAATGCTCAATGGAAGCGATGAGACGGGTATTACTCTCCTCAAGTCCGAGGCGCTCTTCACGAAGAGTGGAAAGCTCACGACTTTTAGCCTGAATCTCGCCCTTTTTCTGATCGAGTTGCTCCTTTAAGGACGACAACTCAGACGATAAAGCAGTATTTTGACTTGAGAGGCTCTCCAATTTCGTTGTGGCGTCTGCAACCTCCCTGCGAAGCTGCATTAGATCGCTCTCCATTTCTTGAGCTTTCCGCTCAGCAGCAAGCTGGGTTTCATTCGTCACCTCAAGCTCTCTACGCATGTCGGCCAATTGTCTTTCTTTCTCGTCTTTCTCTTCGGAAATGCGGGTAAATTGCTTGGACCATTTAGCCTCCCTCTCTTGCATTATTCTTGCATGCTCGTTCACAAGAGCCCTGTGTTGGTCCTGAAAATCTCTCCTCGACTACGCCGTCATTAGCCCAGGTAGTCACTAAATTCGGTGTATAGTTACCTTCTCCAGCGAAGCTCGATGGGTCTCGACGGACTCGTCAAGGTTGGATTTAAGTTGTTGGACGTATGCCTATCATGTCAGCAAGAAGAGAATGCATGATCAGAAAGATATGGCCACCTTCAAGTCCGTCAACTCCTGGTCTCGTTGTTGCCGAAGGCTCTGCTGCTCCTCAAGTTCAAGAGCAACGGATTTCACTCTCTGCTGCGCATCCTCGCATTGCTGGCGAAGTTCGTTGTTTTGTTGCTGAAGTTGGTCGCGTGTGGGAAGCTTGCGGTTCTCCTCCGCTTCGGTTTGCCAGGCTTCCAGTTGCGACCGAATTTGTTCATTTGCTTTTTCCAACGTCAGGTTATTCGCATTCAGTTCTTCGATCCGCTCGATGCGCCTTTCATGCTTCTCTTTTTCGGATGCAATCTGCTGCTGCAAATGTTCGTTGTGCTGCTGACTCTTTTGCAGCTGAGAATTGACTTCCTCGAACTTCAGAATATCCTCTCTGAGTCTGCGTATTTCAGTATGCAGGTCGTTCTGAGTATCTTGTCGGGCACAGCCAGTATCGTGGACCAGTTGCGACAAGACAGTGAGTTTCGAATCAACCCTAAGGAGTCAGTCAGGCACTAAAACTGAGCTGGGGGGGTTTCTTACATCTCACGGAGCGCAGAAAGCATCCTTTCGGTTCCTTCCATGTCCGACTTCGAGGGCAGCGGAGTATTCTTGAACTGATGCAAACACTCGGTAACCTCCTTCAGGTACACAGCTCGTTCATCGCCTGCAGATCTATCCTCTAAAGTATCCTGGATCTTTCCGACTCTCTCCAATAGACTGCAGTAATCGTTCGCAAGGCGGCTTTCGACCGACTGAAATAACGACTTGAGTTGCTGCTCCAGCTCCGCACATCTTCCTCTTTCCTGCTCCATCACGGCATTCTGCACCCTAAGCATGTCGAGAAGACGGATCCTTTCAATTTCCGAGACCTTCAACTTCGTATAGACGTCGTTGAGCAGGTGGCTGGTGACTTTGCGGGAACGCTCCAAAACTGTGATGGTATCTCCGAAGTCTCGCTCTAATGTCACCTTCTCCTGCTCAAGTTCTGCAATCTTCTCCCTGAGGCCTGACCAATTTTCTTGGTGAGCTCTTGTTGTCTCCTTGAACTTGGTGTGGTCTCTGAACAGTCCATTCACATAATTGTGCAGGCGTACGACCTTCTCCTGTTCATTCTTGATAACGACGCGCCTGTCGATCTCATTCTGTTCCAGTACCTGGATGCGGTTACGGCATTCCTTCAGTCGGTCCTGCAATTCGGCGATTTTCTCCTCGCGAAATTTGGCCTCCACGCCATAGCGATGCTCGAGCCTGACTGACTCAGCATAATAAGACACCCGAAGGGAGTCAATATGTTGTTCAAAAACCTGAGCGTAGGAGCTCGATGGAAGCGCAGTTAATGAGGCGGTCATCGGCTTTTGAATATTGCGCCTCTTCTGGGGTTTGCTGACACGCATTGGCTGGTTCGTTCGAGCCACGTTGCGAGGGGTTACACGTGGTGAAGTTACCGTCAATGGAACCTGGGACGCTCCTTCGCCGTTATGACGGACATTCGATTCAGGACTATCCACTTCCGTTGTGGGTTCAACGACAACAACTACAGTCGACATTTTATTGTCCTGCATCTCTCCTGGAGCTTCACTAGGCGAGCAACGATCCTGCAATGCTTGGAAACTATCGGAAGGTCCTTCCGCCTTCCCGGATGCGGCATGCTCACTACTTGTTGCAGCAGATGATTGATCATCGGCTTTGGTGGTGACAACCTGTCCTTCGTCTGGGTTCTGTTGCTCGTCCTGGTATGCTTGGGAGCGTGGAGGCCACGGAGCCATGTTTGAAGCAACCTTGTGACGGCGGCGAGACTCCTTGCCTCTCCTATCGACATGCTGTTCGCGCCGTTCACTTATGGGTGCCTTTGGGACTGCCTGCTTCAGATTCAGAGCCTTTCGTTCGTAATCCGCTCGAACATTGAGGTCATCGGGTGGCTTGGCTGAAGGTCCAGATCTGGCATGGCAGTCAGTGATGCCCGCCCTACGAAGCAGTGAGTTCTTACACGACGGACAATAAAGGTTGGGCAATGTCGGTCGTGGGTCCATTTTCGGCCTCTGCAGAGGAGTTCAGTGGAGAATCCGCAGTTGCTGTAGTGGATCGCGACAGCGTCAGCAAGATCAACTGATGGGAATCCAGATCGACCAACCTCTGAGCATGTCATGGGTGGCGACACTCGTCTCTTCCCTCTTGGTATCGGTAGCACCAGGATTGGGAGGCTCCTTCCCAAGCTCTGATGGCACTTTAGAAGTTCCATGCTTCACAACGGAAGAATCGGACTGGGACTCATTTTCAGGGTGTGTCGGACTTTTGGCAGCTGCATGCTTCGGGAAGGCAAAGCTGAACGTGGTCATCGAGGCATCAGATGAAACCTCCGGGCCGCGTTTGGACAAGAATTTCACCTGTAGAGGCGGATTGTCTTTTAGTGAGACTTTTCTGTGGGCACTGCACCTTTCCAATAGAGCTTCGTCTTCCAGTTGAGTTTCATGGCTATCAGGAGCCTGGAGAAGGCATTGCTCGACGGAAGGTTGAGTGTCAATGGAGGCGTTATGGACCTCATTTCGCAGCTTCGAAGGCGGCTTCTGCGAAGGCTGCATGGTGGTTCTTCCGGTGCCGGTCATGGATGGGAGCTGTGCTGCCGATATCTTCTTGTACATTGGTTTCAGCAGAGAAACGAAACAAGGGAATGGAATCCAGGGAGCAAATGAGGCGGACGGGGAGAGAGAGTGGAGCAAGATGAGGTAGGATTACATTGCAAAGAGAAGAATCATTTTGTGGGATGACGACTCGACGGTACCGTCGTGCCTGCCTCTCTCCTGGAGGGCAAGGGCGGAGGGTGCAGGGTCCCGATCCCTTTTACCACAAAGTTTCTTGACCACGCCATGAAGTAACTGAACATGCGAACAGACGATGTGAGAGAGATATCAGACGGAAGAAAGAAATAGATTGTGAGTACGAACAAGCGCATAGTGGGAAATTGTACTGATTGCTTAGCAGAGAGAGGTCGGAGCCGGCGAGCGAGTTCACGGCTTAAGGGACGGGACTTCCTAGTGCACGTTAGACAGCAGAACACTATCTAAGCCCGAGAGAATGCGTTCTCTTAGCATGACCGGCGTGCTCATTGGGCTAATATAGGCACAGGGAAGGGCTGCCTGCTGAGGAATAGGACTACAGTCCTCCAAGTCGATACCCGTCACGTGACGAGCCACGGAGGAGCTCGGGAACTCGAGGGGTGTCGGGGAGCCAGTCCTCATCTGCTTGGTCCCTTTGTACAACATCGCTACCAAAGATCTCTTCCGCCTGCAACATCACGGCGAGGGCTATTTCCCGATGCGCAGCGGGAGCACGTGTTCTCAGGGGCTTCGCCTCAGGGTCGTCCCGCAACCCCAGCGATGCATGTGCCATGGGCATCAAGTGTCAAGGAGAGAAAGCGTCTCAACCACACACACTGCGGGCGCGTGTTGATGTTGCCAAAACTTCCCTTGCGCTCAAGGTCAAAAAGTGGCACGATATGCAGGCACAGGAGGAGCGCTCCAGATGGCTTGATCACCTCAGCCGTCCAATCAGAGCCACGACAAGCCTGTTTCCGGATGCACTGTGATACCGCTTTCTCCCCTTCAACCACTCTCCTCAACACCACAAGCGCCCGCCTCTCCCCCGGTCATGCCAATGATGACTGCTCCTTCTCTCAAGCAGCCCTGACACCCACTGCCATTGTGCCAAATTAAGCATGCTGCTGGTCGCATCCCTCTCCTCCACACCCACCGGCCCTGGGCACCGCAATCACAGGCATGCCCTCCTGGCTGTAGCCGCCAGACTCTACCCATAGCGGGGTGCGTCGACGATGCAAATATAGAGGTAAGCTTGCGCTGCTCAACCGGCTGCCGTCTGGCACAGCAAGTCCTTCTACCACACCACTGCGCCGCCATCCTCGTACCACCTCCCCAGGCGCACTTTATCATCTGGACCTGTACAGCGCAACAACCATCATGTTCAGGTCCATCGTCTTCACCACGCTTCTGGCCCTCGTTGCCCTGGCACAGGCACAGAAACCGAACACAGGATACAATGGAGGCGAAGACAACCCCCAGGATCCTTCCGACGCTGGTGCAGCCGGAGCTTCCAAAGGCGCTTTTACACTGTCCAAGGGCGGTCTTGTTGCCATCATCGTCGTTGCCGTCGTCGTAGCTGTCGCTGGGAGTATGCCGATCCCTCTTTCGTGCTTGGTCGCCGCTAACGATCCATTCCAGCCGCGTCTGCTACTCTGTTCTGGCTCGCGAAGAAGCGTCAATGGGACGTCCGACAATCGATCCGTCGTGCCTCACGTCGCCTTACCGGACGCGCAACGGAGCCCTCTAAACGCCAAAATCGCAGGACTGGCATGCGCCTAGACTCTCCACCGCCTCCAAGGACCAACAAGCAGAACAGGGATGTGGAAAAGGGGCTGGCGGCCTCATCCCAGCGAGGCAAGACGACCACGACAATCACCAGCACTTTCGATGTGGACACGAGCGAGACCAAGGGAGCCAAGGCTGCTCGCAGATAATCGTCGAATGCATTCTCACCTTGCGCGTTTTGTGAGATCTTCACATGTCTTTTGGCTGCCGCCGCGAGGTGGAAGGTTCCGCCAGTACCCTACGAAAGTCACCAAAACCTAAATCTGACTTTCGCTATCGCGGCTGGATATGCCTACCAAATGCGCCATAGCAGCGTGGTAGGCCGCTTGGACAGGAGGTCATCGCGCGACGACGAATTGTGGCCCAGTCTAGGATTCGGATTGGTGAGTTATTGTGCGGAAATACTGCTTCTTCTTCGTATCTATTTCGGATATTCTGCTTGATTTTGTATACCCATCTTTCTATTCTTTTCGAGGCACAACTCGCGGACTTCAAGATGCTCGGGTCGGCGCAGGGACATCGCGATAGCCATTGTCAGCAAATGGCGTTGCCATGAATTCTATATTTGCAACTCATCTCACTCGCGCACATGTCCCTCACTAGTTGTTATCGCCGGTCTGATCGCGCTTTTGTCATACGATTTGGGGGTCGAGCTCACTTGGAAATTCCTTGGGGTAATATGAAGAGCGGGGAATAGACAAGGGCAGTGCTCTTTCGAGCATCGAACGGGATACTCCTTGTCAACACGCAGTCTGCCAGTCTCACGCCGTCGCAACGCGTGCCCCTGATTCGACCTCCAACCAGTTGCTCCAGCATTGTGTCGTCTTAATTTCTGGATTCCCTTGAACGCTTGGCAGATCCGACCTTCGTCATCACGATATGATTAACACGCTTCCTCTCTTCGACGAGAGGGAGTGCAAACATAGCGTGTCCATCTAGTGATGGCACTGACGGCACTTCATGACTGGACATTTCGATGCTGGCCGACCTATAGGACACACGCAACAATTTCAGTCATCTCGCAAAGGAACGGTGTGTAGTTCCCGCGACCCAATTTTGTATTATGGTAAGCAGGGATTTCCATTGCTATGCAACCCTGTTCCAGAAATGAGAAGTCAACGTCTACGGTCTCCTAGTTGTGTCATTCATGTTATCCCTGGGTTCTCATGTCTTTCTGTTTTTCGGAACCGCTCCACCACCTGTCTCCGGCTTCTGTCACGAATGCAATCTTTCCGCACTTCCTTTTTTCAATGCCTTTTCCATTTTGTCTCGCTCGTCTCGTACTTTCTTCCTCTCGCTGTTACAACAGCTGCATACCGCATAGACTCGTACTGCTCCACCTCGCCGTCGTTGGCTTGGCATCACGGGTCTGTGCGCGTTTTGATAGGACTCTCGAAAGCCTCCTCTCGCTGGCTCGTGAAAGGCCCTCCAGACCCCGGCGGAACCGGCCCTCCCATAGATATCTCTCCGCGCCACTGCAACGCCAGTTTCTCCGCCTGTCACTTCAAGTTCCCATCGGCGCAATCCCACATAGTTGGACCCCCCATCGTAACACTGGTTCCCTCCTCAGAAGGCACAAATGCGGCCACCCTTGGCACCATGACCGAATCTTCTATTTACTTGGACGATGTCGCTGCCGAGCATGCCCACTGGAGCCCCTGGTGGATCTGGCTCCTCCTCGCTCTATGGATCTTTGGTACCCTGAGCTTCGTGCACCGGAGCCTGCAACCCCGCTACCACTGGAGTGTCGTTGTTGGCCGCTGGGTCTGGAAAGTGGGCGACTTCTTCTTGCACAATGCTATCGTAGCTGCGAGCACGGAGGAGGGACAGGTGGGAGAGGGAGAGGGTGTTGGTCTAAAGAGAGAGATTCGGACATTTCAGCAGTGCGATGTGGCCTCCTCTGTTACTAGAGGTGAATCGCCGGCGAGAAAGCATCATCGGAGACGGAGCACGAAAGAGGGCGGGAAGATGGGCACGAGCGTCACGGAGCTGGAGATTGAATTGGAGGATATCGAGGTTCCGGGGATGGGTTCGTTGGATTGGAATTACAGAGGGAAGCCGAGACGGGTTTTGGAGACTGGGTGGAGGAGGTTGGGATAGGCCGACTGATTCGGATTTGATCAGGGTTTCGGAGTTTAGGATGGATGGCGTTGCGCATACTGGGTAAGGGTGTGAGCCATGGTATCCGCTGGATGGCATATGGGAAATGGAGTCTGGATGGCCTATGTCTTTGTTTCGATTCCTGAAAGGATTTGGAATCGATATATTACAAGGTTGAAACTCCAGCACACCGGCGCTATGGGCAACACTGACCAGGCTGGCGTCTGGTGATGCGCAAGATGCATATCAGGACTTGAAGTCGACTTCTATAGTTCTCAACCAAATATAGAATGATTTATCTCTTAATAAAACGCTTCAAGATTCCCACGTCGTCAAATGGTGTGTTATCACGTGAGCAGGCGGGCTCTTGGCGAGCGGAAAGAACGCGATCAATTCGATGCACAGACCATCGCAACAGCGCGACTTCAGAACCAGGTGTGTCGCAGTTGTCCGCATCGCAACTCTTTCAAACCCCCATCAAATCATTCTCACATCCTAACCCGTCTCCAATGTCGTCTCGCCCGAGACTCTCCACAGCCCGACCGACTCCCTCCCGCCCCTCTCGCCCTTCAACCACCACCACCACCCTCCCATCCGCCCTCCCACCGTACAGAAAACCCTCCCACCCGCTCACGCCCGAAGCCCAACAAAAACTCGCCCACATCTACAGCACCAAAGACGCCGAAACTCTAGAGAAGAAAACCGCGCAAGCCATCCAACTCCTCACGCAACTCGCCGGCACCATCAACGACGCGCTGCGGGAGCGCGACGCACGCGTGCAACGGCGACGGAAGAAATGGGAGAATGGGGAGAGGGCGGAGGAGCAAGAGGTTGAGGAGGAGAAGTTAAGGGTGTTGAGGGAGGAGGTGGGGAGGATGACGGAGGGGTTGGAGAGGAGTGTGCGTGAGGCGATTGATGATGGGGAGGCCGGGAGGAGGATTCAGGAAGTGCTTGCTTGGTTGAAGAGAGAGGCGGGGGTGAGGATGAGGAGGGAGTGGGAGGGGAGGATGAGTCAGGTGCAGACGCAGACGCAGATGCAGACGCAGGGGCGGCAGACACAGACACAGAAGAGGAGGAGGAGGGATACGGATGCGGATATGGATGATGGGGAGGAAGAGGAAGAGGAGGATGAGGGACTGACTCCGGGGCCTACGCCGTTGGGGCAGGAGAGGGTGGAGTTGACGGGTTTGAGCGATATGTATACCGATCGTATGGAGAGGAAGAGGCTCGAGTATCAGTCCTTCTCGCACCAGGCCCGCTACGCCCAGAACAACGATTACATCGGGTTCAAGCAAGTTGTGCACGATGCGACATTCGGAGACGATGGGCCACCGCTGCCGCGTGCCGAGACGTGGTTTTCCGAGCGGGGAGCTCCGGCTCCGGGAATCACTGCTATGGGAGACGGCGATGATGATGATATCGTGATGGATAGGGCGACTGTGAGCACGAGATGCCCAATTACGTTTCAGCAGTTCAAGGAGCCGTTTTCGTCGAAAAAGTGTCCGCATTCGTTTGAAAAGACTGCGATCTTGCAGTTCATTCGGAGGTCCGAGACGAAGGTGAGGGGGGAGAGGGCGATTCAGTGTCCCGTTAGTGGGTGTGAGCAGGTATGTATCGTCCTTCATTCTTCTATCAAACTGCGAGCAAGCATGCTGATGTTGTCTAGATGCTCACGGCCAACGACCTGCACGAGGACCTTGTCCTCATCCGCAAGATCAAACGCATGCAGAAAGCCGAAGCGCAAGACGCAGAAGAGAGCGAATCTGAAGAAGAAGACACTGCACCTCGCACGCGGACACAGACTCGAGACTTCTCGACAACAGAGACTCCGATGGGAGACGAGCCTCGCGCAAGCGTGTCTGCGAGCCAGATGCCGCCGCCGAGCTCGGAGGTTATCGACATGGGGGATCCGAGTGATGAGGATGATGAAGAGTAGGACAATTACTGTGTAGGTTTTGGCATCTGGGGTTTCGCGGGTCCCGTTACCTGGCCCGGCGAAACTCAGTCACGAAGTACTCAGTACCGGTGCAGCAGTAGATGATACCCACCAACAACGCTCCACACATTCAATCTCCACAATCTCCACAGATGCACTGCGTTTATTGACCTAGAAGCAAAAGTTTCTCAAATATTTCATCTTCCGGTTCGCGCCTTTTGCATTGCCAGCCAAGTCTCTCGGCCGCGGACCTGGGCGCGGAGCGACGACAGCATACAAAGTAAGGGACATGATAATATCAACAAGCAAAGGCAGGTCTGCTATGCCCCACAGATTTTCCGGAGCGTTAGCAGGCGGCAAGCATCGGAGATGAGGATCTTTGCATCAGCTCCCACACGATGGAGGAAGCGACCATCTCTCGAGCTCACAGGCCTAAAATAACGCATGCAGGGTCCAACCTAACTACTGGAAAAATATCCGATCTTATTATGTATACGGACCGTGTGTAGCCCAACGTGGATTTGGCGGGGCTCTATGGTCGGGCGGAAGTGTGCAGGCGCAGCGCTCGTCGGTCCGAGGTGAACAATTGGGAGGCTTGGAGAGGGTGATGAGGCTTCGAGCTGAGCCGCAGAACGTCATTCATGATGCAAGGCCTGATCAGGGAGCGATCTCGTCGGGGCCTATTTCCCTTGACGCGCAAGCTGATCACAGCGTTGAAGTGGTTCGCGATGTGGCCTTGTGCATCTGAGGCATGATGTCCTGAGGCTGCTGGTGGCAGTTGTCAGGAAAGGCTTGGCGCTCTCTACGTCATTGTCTGATAGCGATAAGGGATGCTCACCACACTGATGAATCAGTTGATTGTTGAGGGAACAATTTCGAATATAGCGAGAAGCCTACCGAGGTATTGATAGTAGAGCGGCTAAGGAGCGTTGCAGAGCCTCCATCGGCCTTGTGCTATCACTGTCCTTGTACTGTGGTTGTACCTGTCGGTCCTCCGCGGTTCGACTTGCTCATTGGCCAAGCTGACCATGTCGGGTGCTCTTCTTTGTGCGGGGAAGGGCCGGACATGACGGAGAGGAGGGGCGCCCAGTGCACGCGACGAGCCATACTTCACCACCTCCTACCGCTCCCGAAGTCTCCTCCTCCATCTTCCTCACCCTCTCCTCCACCCTCCTACATAACTGTACTTCTATATCTCCACGTATATTCATTCTTCGCACGGAACCGCGCCCTCTATCCCTCGCCCCACCCGAACTGTAAACCAGTCCCAATCGAGCCCTCCCGAGCTCCACTCTAGCCGCCGCTTACACGTTTTGACTACCGGACGCGAGTCCCGAGCTTCGGCCGCCCAACATCTGGCAAAAGGAAGCTCCACAAACAGACGCTTGGCGGTCCCCGACTTCTGACGGGCAAAGGTAAGCTGCGCCCAATTCTCCTCTGCCCAACTGCTCCGCTTCAATCTCGTCACCACTACGCTGCGGCGGGAGGTTTCGGAGATGTGAAGACGTGTCCGCAGACGCGCCTCCTCCGAGCTTTGCGGCTATGTGTTCGCCGGTTCCACGGCCGCGGTCGTTACATGTGGATGTGGCTTGATGTTAGCTCCATCGTGGGCACGGTGTTGGTGGTGTATATTCACATCACATATGACGCTGTGTCGCTAGCTAACTACCTTGCTCGCTCGATCCCATTCGATTTCTTTTCTCATTCCCCGTTTCCCTGCTTGGGTATATCTCCCACAGACCCGTTCTAACTACACCATGTCAGCCACCTACACCGTCGAGATGCCTTCAAGCGTCGTTCAAGATGCCAAACAGACGGGCGAATCCGTCCTCAACGATGCCTCCTCTGCTGTCAAGTCAGCCGCCGAGAACCCAAAACAAGCCACTTCGAGTTTCCTACATACCCCTTTTATGCGCGCAGCACTGCCCTTCATCAATGGCGGCCTTGCAGGCATGACGGCCACTACCGTGGTGCAGCCAGTCGACATGATCAAGGTCCGATTACAACTCGCCGGCGAGGGTGTAAGGACGGGGCCCAAGCCAACTCCCATCACCGTGTTCAGGGAGATTGTATCTCAAGGAAAAGTCTTGGATCTGTACACGGGACTGAGTGCAGGACTTCTCCGACAAGCCGTGTACACAACCGCACGTCTCGGATTCTTCGACACCTTTATGAAGAGTTTGACCACTTCAGCGGAGGCCAAGGGAAGCAAAGTCGGCTTCACCGAACGAGCAGGCGCAGGTCTGGCCGCAGGAGGCCTTGCGGCTATGATCGGCAATCCCGCGGACCTGGCTCTTATCCGCATGCAGTCGGATGGCCTGAAGCCTGCTGCGCAACGCGCCAACTACACTTCCGTCGTCGACGCTCTGATCCGCATATCCAAGAACGAAGGCATTGGGAGATTATGGGCAGGTTGCTATCCTACCGTCGCACGTGCAATGGCTCTCAATTTCGGCCAACTGGCCTTTTTCTCCGAAGCAAAGAACCAGCTCAAGAATACCTCTTTGTCGACCCAGACTCAGACCCTGGCCGCATCTGCTGTAGCAGGCTTCTTCGCCTCCTTCTTCTCCTTGCCCTTCGACTTCGTGAAGACGAGGCTGCAGAAACAGACAAAGGGACCGGATGGGACCTTGCCTTACAAGGGCATGTTTGACTGTTTCAAGAAGGTCGCGAGGGATGAGGGCTTGTTGAGGTTTTACAGAGGGTTTGGGACGTACTATGTGAGGATTGCACCGCATGCGTAAGTTACATCAGCTCCATGTGGTTTGAAAAAATAACTAACAGTGGTGTAGAATGGTAACTCTCATTGTGGCCGACTACTTGGGTTTCCTCACAAAGTAAAAAAGATTCTTATCAGACCCTGCGACGTTTCGATCTTGTATTTCCCTACTTTACCCGGCATAGTGGTCTCTGTGGACCGCAGGGGACATGTAATGAATTGGCGCTCAAGGCGTTGGATTGAAATGACGGAAGGGCTTATGGATTTTGGCATCGTTTTCGTTGAATCGCTGTAAGGAAGGTTTGAATTACTTTTATCCTTTTCGAAGGCCTTTTCGCTGTTAGTACTCTCTTGACGGCTGTGTGTGGTTGGAAAAAGGGTTTCGACTTTACCTTTTCCCGGGCAGCGCCAGACCAATTGGGCAAGGGGTCCTCGATCGAGGAGTACGTTACCTAGGTACTGTTGTCCAAAACACGAAACACATATTGCTCACAAGATGTCGTACTAGGGAGTGCACGTCTTGGATTGTGCACAATAGATACATGCGCCTTTTCGCGACATCAGACGTACCGAACAATTACCTATAGCGGAATCTCACGCATATCAACTCAAAGACAGTTTGTGGTATCTCAGTTGAACAAAGCTTGAGTTATATACTCTTAAACAACATCCTATGGCTTAACATGCTAACCCCATGGCACTCGAACCTTCTCACTTCGTTCCACTCCTCCATTCCAGCAGACAAAGCTCCGCACCACCCTCTCACGAAGTCCCCGCCTTGAGCGCCAGAATCCTCTCCGACGCCCGCTCCGCCACCGCAATAATCGCAGCCGTAGGATTCCCCGTAATCATGCCCGGGAAGATGGAAGCATCCACCACAAACACGTTGTCCGTCCCATACACCTTGGTATCAAGGTCCACGACCGCCTTGCCCCCCGCGCGTCCGTCGTCGGTGCCAATCGTGCAGGATCCAGTCCAGTGGTTGGAGCCGCGCGAGCCTGGCGTTGCGGGAATCTAGTCATATCAGTGTTAGCTCTATTCTGAATTGCATCATCATGTGCAGCAGACTGCATTTTTTGAGGAGACGGGAGAGGGGAGACGGGAGACAGGCAGAGTAAAACTCGACGTACCAGATTGACAAACGCGCTCGTCGTCTGGTTCTCCCTCGGCGCAATCCACGTCAGATTCTGGATCTTGCTGAAGACGCCCCGGATGTAGTCGATGCCCTGGATGACGGCTTCCTTGTCGCCTGCGTCGCGCAGGTACGGCGGCGTCTGCACGCGCGTGTTGAGGTTGCCGAGGATGTTCATGCGGCCGCGCGAGGTCGTGCCTGTGCCGATGTATTGGGTTATTGTCATTGAGGCTGAGGAGGTGTTAGTGATGCCGCAGAAGATGCGGGAATGAGGGGGCCTGGAGAGGAAAGAAGGGGTAGACATACTGTTCGTTCGGCCTTCGACACGCGCTTGCCATTGGATGTGCCGGACGATGCCGTCGGAGCCTTCGATGGTTTGCCAGAACTAAATTGTGGTTAGCCGTCGGTGCAGATCGACTTTGGTTCAAGTGGTTTTTACCATGGGGCCTAGGTTGGGGGCAACTTGAGCGAGCATGCCTGATCGATTCTCTGCAACCACCGTCAGTGTTATGACATCTTGGAGTGTAGCGATGATGCATACTCAGATACGAATCCACATCGGCGGGGATGGGATTATCCCATGCGCCGTAGAAATCATAGAAAACAACATCTGGGTGCGCGATTTGGATATCCGTCTGTATTTCTTCATGAGCAGTTTTTCAGTACAGTGCTTCTCAGGTCGTAACATACCCCAACATGGTCATTCAGGTTATATCCAACAGGCAGCTTGATCCATTGATCGGAAGAGATCATCGTGGGGCCGTCGATCTCGGAATTCTTGACGATATTCAATGAGTCCTCGGGACCAATTCCGCCTACTGTAGTTAGAAGCATCCCTGCAATCGTTCATTACACCGCACTTACTTCGCATAAGCAACTTCGCCGACCCCATAGTGCCCGCCGACACAATAACCCGCCCAGTGCCGGGAGTCAGCTTAACAACACCAGAGTATCCCGGCCCGATTGAGCCCTGCTTCGCGCACTGTAGCTCGACACCCGTGACATGTCCGCCAGTCCTAACCAATCTCCTCGCATTCGTGTTGGTCCACAGGCTGAACTTCTCACGTTTTGCCGCCGAGACGAGATACGTGGCCAGGGGACCATGGCGCTCGGCGTTCTCGAGGAAGAAGGTGCTGTGTCCGTAGGTGTGGTTCTTCTGGTCCGGGTGGTCGTTGGGGACCACGTATTTGAAGCCCGCGGCTTCGAGGCCTTTGGAGAGTGTTTCGAAGCCTTGTTGGAGATAGAGTTTGCCGTCTCTCGAAGGAATATAAGTCTGGATATCAAGTGTTAGTGTTGTGGGGTCACCTGATGGATTTGGAGCACGATCACGTACGCCTGGAATTCGTTGCCAGACTTTGTCAACGTGCGTCTGCATGTCCTTGTTCTTCCAGCCTTCGGGGAAGTTGAGATCCCAGTCTCGAGGATGCGGCTTCCACCACAGTGCGGAGTTGACTGCGGCGCCTCCACCAAGAACGCTGCGGAAATTGTTAGCACTTGTACTCGCGGAATACAGCTCCCAAAAAGCTCGTCTCGGATACATACCAACCAGCCATGACATCAAGATCCTCGCATGCCACCCCCGAAGAATCCGCCCATATCTGGTTGAACAATCCCGGAACGTCGAATCGCGTCAGGTTTGTCCCCTCCAGCCAAGTAGGCTTCATAGTCCCATTCCACCGTCCGCTGGAAAGCGGGCCCTTCTCAATGAGGAGAACCGAATGGCCTGCCTCGCTCAGCCGATCCGCAGTGACCATTCCACCAGGGCCAGAGCCGATAATAACATAGTCGTACGTCTTGTCCGAGTCGACAGCAGTACAGTTCGGATTCGCATCTTGACCCCTTGCAAGCTGGAAGAACGAAGCCGCGGCAGCGGCGAGTGTCCAGAGACGTGCCATTCTCAATCAACAGTGTGAATCAGGCGACAAACTCGGAACTCGGTCTCTCTCGCCGCCCCACAACAGGAACACCCTTCCTTTTCAACACCACTTCCACTCCACGAGAGGCGCGGATCTCATACTGGCTCAAAGCGGTATAGACCGCCTGCACCCCGGATTCCAAATTGTGGCACTTGTGGGGTCGTCCTTGGTCCTCGGGCTCTCCAAATGCCGACTGGGTCGTGTGCTTGCTGCACTATATTTCCATGTGAGATCCTCATTTACGAGGGCGCAATTACCCACCGAGTGTGCTGGGATTAGATGGCGGCGTGGTGAAGGAATGGATTGTATTTAGGCGAGAGGGAGAGAGGCCGCGGTCTACAACCCCTGCCCAATACTCAACATCCAGCCACTGGCATCAAGTTTGTTCGTGGAGAGCTTTCCGATGGAGGAGAGTGTTACGGAATACGGTCTAGAATATTGCATCCAACCCCTCCACATGTTCGGACGAAGGACAGTTTGCAACCTTCCCAAGGGTTCATATAGGATGCGGTGCGGGGAGGTTGTCCACTTACGGAACTGGACAATCAGAGAACGCGAGCGAGATCGTCGCTGGGAATGAGACCTACACCTTCATGTTACGCGCACGTGGCCGTCAGCGTCTAGATGGACTACTAATCAAGAGTACCCTCGTGTACTACCTCATGCGGGGCGGTTATTGACCCTGGTCTTGGGACATTGAATTCGAAGAGTAAGTACGATCTATGCGACAAGTGACCTAGGTAAAACCGGCAGTAAAGTATTTGGAATTTTCATGATTTTAGATTGCATTCACTCTGATCTGGGAGGAAGCATGAAGCAAGAATTGCAGTGAAGTAATGATCAGTTACGAGAGTAAGTGCTCACTGTGGAGTGGAACGATCAAGTAAGCGAGCGTATTCCTAACACCCAAAGCTCGTCTTTCAATCTTTTCTCTTGAAACCTTCATGGCGGCAATTCGATCTGACCGTGCCGACCGTCCTTGTCAGATTAGAAGTGTTTCCCCTCCCCTCCCCTCATCGATCCGGACGATTTATGCAGCCTTCGTCGTTTCAGACTTGTCCTCCAGTTAAACCGTGGAGCCCAAGCCATAGCATACCTGCTGCAACAACAGCTCATGAGAACCGCAATCTCAATGAAGTTGGTAACGGTAAAGAGCAAGATCCAATGCCTTCCCTTCGAACATGCGTGCCATTGTCACTTCGTAAAGTGATTCAGGCGTAAGATCACGCCACATTTGACCCAGAAGAGCGTCGAAGCCCACTGTGTAATACGGTTGAAGGAACGGATCGGTCATTGCGTCATGAACGGTCTTCGCAACATGCTCAGCCGTCTCAGCCGCACCATCCGCTGCAGCCATGACGAGTTTGTACCTTCTGAAGTCAGCTACTGTGAACCGATATACGAACGAAGGAAGCGAAGGAAACGTTCTTACCATTTGTTCATCATGGCCCCATATACTTGCTTCTCTGCTTCGCCAGCTTGTTTGGTCGTTCGCACCAAGTGGCCCATACTGTCGACTCCCGCAACCTGTCCTGTTTCAAATTCGTCAAAATAAGCATTCCAAGCACTGCTCATGTTTGGCCCGATACCACGGGTCCTGGGCCAATGTCAATCACTCAGGGTCCTGTATATCCGAGAGAAGGAAAGCTCACCTGGTCCAACCGGGTCGGACGGTGGTCATACCCACACCAAAAGGCTTGAGCTCAAATCTCCAAGATCTAGTCATTCCTTCCACTGCAGCCTTTGCGGCTGAATAAGCCGCCCACATGGGCGGATTGACATAGCCGCCATAGCTGCCAATGTTGATGAAGCGGCCTTGGTATTTCTTGATGAGGGGGAGAAAAGCTTGGATGACGGATATGTAAGACCAGAAATCGAGTTCGAAGACATCGCGCACAGCCTTCATATTCGTGAGTTCCATCGGCGCAATCAAGCATAATCCAGCATTGTTGATTACACCGACAAGTGGGCACCTATCGTTGACAACACTGGTAACCTCTTCGACGGCTGTTGCAATCGACTGTGGAGAAAGGACATCCATGATCATCGGGCGGAGTGAGCCAGCATCGAGTCTGACATCTCGTGACTTCATGTTCTTTTTCAATCTGTCCAGCTCTTTCTCGTCCTTGACGGTTGCAAGTACAGTGTAGCCTCTGGAAGCCAGGTGGAGGGCGACAGCGAGACCGATGCCTGTACATTCTCAGTAAGCACGCATCTATATGGGGTAACTGAGGACCAACCTTGGCTTGCACCTGTGACCAAGACTGCTGGGGAGTAATGGTCTCCATGGCTCAGTCGACGAGGGCGCGTGTGATATTGGGGCTTGTATCCGCCGACAAGATAATAGAGGAAGTAACCACTAATGAAGTGTACGACAAAGTCCGCCCACGCTAGGGCGCGATTGAGGAGGCTCGTCGTCGTCGAGAACGCTGTTAGTATTCTGTTCGCCATGATGGTAGAGCTGTGACGTAATGGACGACGATCTTGGAGGTCGGAGTCTGGAACAACCCTTGGAGATTATCCAAGGCAAGGGCTGATTTAAATCGCTACGATATTGATCAGTCCTTTATACGCAGTGGTGAGATCTGGTAAGACTAGGTGAGGAGAAGAGTTCACACCTCCAGGCCAGCATTTTGCTGGAGGGGAAGGTGATATGCACCTGTGGACGTCATGGTGAGGTAGACCGCACCTGACAAATATGATCCAAGTGAACCAACAATCGTTCTATCACACTAAAACGGATATTGCAGTTGATTTCATAGCTACAGCATCAATAGCTAAAGAGTGCGACATACTAAAGAAGAGCGAAATGTGGATCACATGACCTCTATGGGACCCAGTCGTACATACAGCGAGAACACTGGCAAGAGATTTCGCATGCCAAGCCTATTGCACAGTGTAGATTATGTAGTTCGATATTTTCGTTGAAGGAGTGTATTGAGGACATATGTATCTCGCTGCATGCACAGTTGAATTCACCATCCACAACCCGTCGATGTATCACTCCATCTTTCCATCACGATCAATGATAGTTTGTGAGCTCCAAGAACTTCTTTGAGTTATTGCCAGCCTGTTTGGTAAGGCTTAGCTCCTTCAATACTCTTGTCATGCTTTACATTGCCACATGCATCCCGCCACTTGGAAGGCATCCGTCAAGCTTAACGTATGACAGGGGTTCTCTCCGATACACTTGTCTTCAAATCTCGGTATAGGAGTTACCTTTAAATTTCTGAACCCCTGGCTAGTGCGGCATCAACCAATTTGAGAGTTGGCTCGCAATGGCATCCACTGTTACTGTGTGATAACAGACTTCCATGATGCCATGATGAAGCAGTGAATGACGTTGACGGGGAAGCTAAGCAGACGACCAATCATAGGCTTGCATGTGAATCATAAGCTTGCACTGTGCATGCAATCGGTCCTGAGAGTATGCCACAGTATGTCATGAAGATATATCCGTGCGAGAGTCCATGTCCATGCAGAGATGGACCCAGAATCCAGCAGCGATACTATACAGTAGAAAGACCGCTACCCCGGTGCTGCCAGTGGAGGTCTTCTATCAGCTAGTGTACTTTCCCGGTTGACTATTCCATTTTGGGCTATGATGGTAGGGCGGCGAACGACGTGTTCGCTAAGATCTCGCCGTCATCTCGGCATTGTCACTGATCTTCTTCGACCAAGACCACATGGCAGTACAGTTAGAACCAGTTCCACCCAGGCAAGACTACGAAGCTCGTACCACGGGAAGTACGTTGTCCATGGTCCACTGTCTTCGTGGGCGCTGGTTCCTGGCAAAGCAGAATCCAGTAGGCAAGTATTAATCTGGTTAGGTAGCCTTTCACAGTGAACATGCAATCTTGAACGCCATTGCGAAAGTTACGCAAATCTTGCGGTCGATCGTGCCTTTTTTTGAGTACCCAAGTCCAGACGCCCTCATCGAGACCGGTTTCCAGATACCGGGAACTACAGGCACCACGATATCGATCGCATGATCGTGTTCCTTAAATATATTTCATAAAGATTGAATCAGCGACGTGGAAGGGTCGCGCGCAACACCACCGGCCCGTACGACGTGTTCGAGCGCCATACCAAACACTGACGTTGTCAGGCCGGATTTATGATGCCTCCTCCGCACCAGTCCGATGAAGGACTGCGCCATGATTCTAGAGAAATGCGGCGCATCCACTCCGCAATTAGTTCGCTTCAGTTTCATATTTTATATCATGGGGTTGTACCCGCCAATATATAACTGACCAGTCACACCGCGGCAAAAGTGCCTCTCTTAATATATCCACTTTGGAAACATGGGCCGAAAACTGGGGTACAGATCACCAACCAAGATTTTCCCTGGCTGCGGCGACAGGCGGGAAAAGCTTAAGCACGGCACTCAAGCAAATAAATATCTTGTCCTTCGTCCGCCTCAAAGCTTGCATCGCTACCCCAGATTTCCAGCTACAACTTCTGCGGTCCCAATCCAATTCGCACTGCACCATGCTCGGCCAAACCGCTCTTCTGGCTCTTGCCGCCCTCCTCCCTGCCTCCCTTGGACAAGTAATCGAGGGCTTCGAAAATGGTTGGGATCAAACTACGTGGCCCACCTACGCAGCCGATTGCAGTCAAGGTGGCAAGGTCAGCCTCGACAGCTCAAATGCGCACAGCGGAAAGAACTCAATTAGGGTTGATGGGGCAGGTGGATACTGCGGACACATTTTCGTTGGCACGAACAAGGTCCCCAGCGGCGACGTTTATGTTCGAACATGGCTGTAGGTTTTCCTTGCGTTGCGACCATAATTATCCGCATGCTAATATACACTCCCCGTCCTACAGGAAAGCCTCCAAGGCGTTCACGGACTCGCACGTTACATTCATCACCATGCCAGACTCCGCTCAAGGAACCAAGAAGCATCTCAGAATCGGCGGCCAGAGCAAGATCCTCATGTATAATAGAGAGAGCGATGACGCCACGCTGCCTGAGTTATCTCCCCAGGGTATCGCTTCCTCTACCAGCCTGCCTGCAAACCAGTGGAAGTGCTTCGAGTATCACCTTGGCCCTGATGGCAGCATTGAGACTTGGTTGGACGGCAACGTCATTGCTGGTCTCACTGTCAAGTCCGGTGTCTCCAATCCCTATGCTTCTCAGTGGCAGAGGAGCAGCATCAAGCCTAAGGTCACGGGCATTTACTTCGGTTGGGAGTCCTATGGCGGAGATTCCAACACCTTCTGGTATGATGACATCGCGATCAACTCAACTCGCATTGGATGCACATAAGCATGGACTGGATATAACGTTCCATCATCACATACGCCCTTCCCTCTGTAAATATTGAGCAATACCATCTGCCAAGACAGATATCATCAGAATGTTTTTTTACTCTCACTGAGCTGTGCATCAGTGTCCTCAAACATACTCGTAACACAGAGTTCCTCCTTGAATATCCATGACGTCTGCAATCGTTACGTTTGGAACAGCCCCATACACTGTCAAAACATGCGACAAAGTGGTAACATTGCCAGGGTCTCCGTCACGCTTCAAAAGTCCGGAATCATGATGATTCAGTTCGCGCGGCGGTCCGGCCGGCGGAAACCCGCCTGGGAACCCCCCAGGGAATCCGCCAGGAAATCCCGGGAATCCCGGAAACCCATCACAAGTTCCATTTACAGGCTGAGGTCCAAAGGGGTTCCCAGGGAAAGTGCCGTTGAATGTACCGTTTCCGGGGAGTGGAAACGAGAACGGAGGGAATGGAGCCCTGTTCGTACCCGATATATCCAGCAGACGGGCAGAAAGATTTTGAGACTGCCAGTCTGCCCAAAGCTTGTCGAGATAAGCATGATGAAGGTAGAAAAGGGGATCACCGGGACTGGAGAACACGTTCATCATCTATCATGGTCAGCGATAAGTCTTTCGGATTTGGAGGCGTGATTTGATCATACCTGTCCTCCAATGCCGCCATGACCGGCTGAGTGGGGAGCCGCTTCGACACAAGGCCAGAACGTTTTATAGTCTTGCATCTGCATGCACTGGTTCACGAAGGTGGAATTGCCCATCACGCTCATACACTCGTTCACGATCCTGTCTATGCAGTGGTCACTGATCGCTTCGCCTGGACCGATGGCGTTGACGTAGTCCTTGAACGGTCCATCCTGGATGCAGTTGGACGGTGCAACGCCATTGCCCCCAAAACCAGTTTCGGGGTCCAGAACAATCGAAGTGGAGAAATTTCCGGCATCAAGGGCTTCGTTCCAATACGGCTGCCCGCCGGTGTAGTTGCACTCGGTTTTGAGTAGGTGCTCATGTGCGTGTACGAAAAATCGGTGGTATGGCAAGAAGGCACCCTGTTGTTTGTTGAGTCGCTGGATGAGCGAGCAAAGTGGGAGGACCAACCACACCGTGGATTTCAGGAGTCTGGTAGACATGGAACAGCTGAAGTTCGTCGAACAAGGTGCGGGCGCCAGTCAAGCCAAGTTTCGCAGGCTTAGACATAAGACATTTTTCCGCTTCAATGTAGGAGAGCTTTTCTTCGCGAGTGAGTGAATGCCTGGTCCTTGCTGTTAGCGAAAACGCATTGAAGCTGTTCGGAAAGAGGAATACAAATCACTCCTTTTTGGACACTTACCAAGACTTTCGCGTAGTCTTAGATGTGCAACTTGCACGCTTTCCCTTCGCAAAAGGCGCACTGAGCCCAATTGAGACGAGTGAAAGGACAACCAAGGAGAGTTTCATGATTGACTTGTGATTCAAGGCCCTTTGGTCTGCGCTCACTGTCCAGATATACAATCGCGTTGTGCCTGCTGAACGGTTTCATGGCACCTTATTTCTCGCAAATGACCATATATACAAATCGTGGTTCCTAGTAAGGTAGTAATTTACAGTAATAGGGGGTTCTTCAAGACTTAGCCGATATTTTGGTGCATACCTGGTTTGCGGGTGTAAACGGTGGGTCTCTAGTCTAAGAACCCTTGCTTCAGTTTAATATCTTGAAGGGAATATTTGCCGAGTGAATGTGCCTGATGTGGGGAAGCTCAGCTGGTTGCCAACAATTCTTTTGGCATATACGCCCATAGCCCGCTCCTTTAAAGCTTTTGTTCTATTCTTATAATAATTGGTAATATAGGGCATAGGTGAGGAACGATTGAAATGTTGCACCATTCAGAACTCGCTTATCGACTAGGAGGCTGCACGCTGACTTGGCCACATGGCCAGTGTAAGGTGCCCATAGGTGGCCCAGGTAATATTTGGAGTTGATTCCACTGCTAGCATAACACTAAACCCTTACAAGACGGTAGAATAACCATTAGCGACAATACAAGAGACCTTTGCTTTATATCTGCGAGGTTCATAACATGCAAACAGACATCTTGGATTACTGGTATGCGTTATTGCAGAGCATAACCCCAGGCGATATCACAGTAAGACGTGAACTACAATGTCCGGCGAACAAAACTCCTCAGAAAAGCGCAGTCTTCGTTGTCCAATGAGGAAGACGATTTGGGAATAGCCGAGACGTCTCATGCAAGGGCACGTGAGGCGCTTCAGAAATACGATGTCAGGCTGAGCTGATGAGCTGCCTGTCAACCTTTTCTTCCATTGCGATACTTCACGATTACAGCATGGCATTGGAGTACCCACCAGTATTGGAAATAGGAGATCCGCCTGAGCTCTGCATGAAGGGCTTTACGGAGGAGGACTTCCGTATTTGTCTACGCGGTGGGCTGTCCGGCGGTTTTCGATTTCCCAGCACCCTTGGGCTGCTGGGAGTATTGGCGACCGCAAAGCCGGACACGCTCGAGTCGATATTATCACAAGAGCTGAGAAACTATCCCGCAGGCCACGGCGTTCCGAATCGTGCCTGGGATGTGAGCCACGATGGATTCATCATTACTGATGTGGGTTTCCTCCCCGAAAGTATTTGGTTTCAACCCGAGGTAGGTCAGGACAATAACTCTTGGTAAGCCCCGCTGATGAATATATCAAGTCATCAATCAGTGTCGGGAGCTCTGGGCTTCAAGGTTCGGGTAACACGAAAACATTCGGCCGGCTATTCGAGGTCCGATTTATGCCTCCTATTGTCGTACTCCAGTTATTGGCGGGTCTTTCCCGCTACTTTGACATAGAGACTCTTTTGCATGCATTGTCATTTCGAGCCAACACTTCGGGCCGGGTTCGCATTCCATGGTCTCCAGCCATGCAAGTCGAGCGTGAAGTTCAGGGCAAAGTGTGGGCTTCATTCGCAATGCGTTACTATTATGTCCGCCCTTTCAAACCCTCGGTATTTCTTGACCAACAATATGGAAGGCTTCATTTCAACAGAAACAATCTTTTCATTTGCCGCGGGAGCTCTGTGATAACCTTGTACGTGGAACCAGACAAGACAAAACCAAACCAATGGAGAGATCCTTCAAAACGGCCTTGGATCATATTACTACTATCAAGTGTAGAGCGCTGGGAATTTAATGATGAAGTCGCGTGGGGATCGGGAGAGCGCTATATTGGGGAGAATGGCGCCAAAGCCTTTGTGACGACCATTCAGAACGAATTAAACGGAGTGCGAAGGGAAATGACGAACTTGTCAGAGCAAGTGGCTTTTATAGCGGTACCTACAGTGCGTGAATTCAGAATCACCCGAAGCACATTCAGCTGATTGGATGTAGGATGCTTTCCTGTTCGACGAAACTTATCGAAACTCCCTGATATTTGAAGACCAGCAGTACTCAAAATCGACCACGTACTTCTGGGCCCTCCATACCTTGCGAATGATCAACGAATGCATCACCAGCCTGATAACTTCCGTGGAAGAGTACGATTTTGCGACTCTATTCCACATTTTAGGGGTCACACCAGGTCCGGGTGGGGAACTCCCAACTGATAACCATAGACTGACAAGGGATTTACAACTGATCACCAAAGAGTTAAAGAAGCTGGCGGAGCTGAAATCACTTAACAATGCGAGGCAAGATGAGATCCGCACCCTCCGCGATGGTGTACGTACTCCTCTCCCCTTAAACCTCATGAAACAACAATTAACAAGCGCTTGCATAGTTATTCAACGCATCCACTGTGCGCGAGGCTCGAGACTCGGTCTTCCACGCTCGAACCGCTGTCCTGCAAGGACGCAACATCCAGCTCTTGACCTACATGTCCATGGTGTTCCTTCCTGCGAGCTTCGTCACGTCCTTTTTCGGAATGGAGAACATTTTGAATCCGAATTTGGGAATCAAGACTTTCGCGATCGTTTTTGGAACCGTTTGTGGGTTTACGTATTTGTGCATTTTCATGTCCCGGAGGAGGAGTTTTTGATGTATACATGGTCAATGAGAAGGAGGGTAGTCTAATATTTATGCAAAGGCAGTTAATCATACATTCCTGCGCATCATCGCACATTTTGCATATAACAGGCGGTTCCGGATTGCTCAAGTCCAGGATGGCTCCGGAACCTTCATACGCTAACAGCACAACTCTCATCCATGAACAAAGTAAGAGTGTCTAGCCGATCACAACTCCGGAGAACGGCTAGCATACGGATGCGTCCCCAAGGTGCCATGCCCAGTCCCTGCATAAGTCACGACCAATAGAAGCCTAGCTTATCAAACACACCCATCCTCGTCATGATGTTCGAAAACGAACCAGCCGTTTGCTTTACATGTGGCTCGACCGTGTGTAGAGGAGCTGCATCCCTAACTTCTCTGCGATAGAAAAGCAAGTAAGTCCATGAGTCCGAGACTTCTTCGCCATATTCTCAAATCCACCTAGAGGCGTGATGCACGCGTCGTTGCAATCGAACCAGTTACCATTCCGATCCTTGGTGAGCGCATAGTAATGCCCGCCCTCCATACTGCGACCGGAATGCTACACAACACCCTGAAGGCTATACTTTGTACGCTCGGAATCCTGGAGGGTATACGCCTGCATGTCGAGAGTTTCTTCCAGTGTGATGCCATAGGTGGAGTACCTGGGATTGACACGTTCATCAATATCAAGAGGTTGGTACGGGTCAGCCAGTGCACGGCTTGCGCGGATGATGAGGATCTCCGGTAAGTGTTGCAGACCAGCCCACTGTTCTATGGCTTCGCCTTTGTGCAGACAGTTTTCGCAGAAATAGTCGTCGAACTGGATCGGCGTCGCATGATGGTCCAGCAAAGCTGGAACAGTAAGGCTTTCCTGATGGTACCCGATATACTGCAATACCCAGTGCTTGTCGCTCGGCGCCAGCCTGGCATACCCGCAGTGGTGGCAGGTAAACCGCTTCGCCCCTTTGACGCGGAAGAGAGCGTCGATGAGAGGATGCATCAGCGCCAGTTGCTCTGCTCCCATAAGATGCTTGGGCCAATTCGCGCCTTCGGAGAGACAGTCCAGCATCGCGGAGAGGAAGTCGAAAGCATCTACTTGCTCGCTGCCGTCCAGTTCCCGATCTCGCACGCCTGCATCAGCACAGAGAGCGTGCAGGAATTCCGTTGAGGTCAATACCGTCTTATCTTTACTCCTCAGATCACCGATAAGGGTGAGGAAAAGATCGATTGGTTTGTAGACACTGGGCTCAGCGCTGTCGTCTTTCGTTAAGATATGCGCATTTAGGTGCTCTTCCAGCCAGTCCGGCGGGAGGACAGTGGCCAAGCATTGCAAAACGGAATTTGCAAAGCACTCGGTTCCCCGATTGCGGAGTCCCCGTGGTTGAAGTGGTGGCGGGTCAGCGTCCAGCGTTTTCAGGGCGGTGCGAACAGCTTCCGCGTGAGCTTCTTTACCGGTTTTTTCGTTTTTGTTGCCGAGCAGCTCGATGTTGGCTTCAGAAAGTGTGCAGACCTGTGCAGGCTCTGGTTGTTCTCGTGCTGGTCTCACCGGCGGATGAGAGCTTTGTACCGCTTGACTAGTGCCCCGGGCAGCCGCTGATGGCGGTTTGAAGTTGCCGCACTTTTCTACCCTAGGTATCACCGGGTGATGGATCGTCTTCGAGATCCTAACATTGGGCTTTGGCTTTGCCTGAAGGGGCTTCTTTGGTGTATCCGGTACCCTGGACACTATTGGCTTTGATGGAGACGGTTTCTTGGGTTTCTTGGTCTTCTCGTTCGGCCTTGGACGAGTCGTTTGGGGTGAGCGATCATCTGCCTGCGATGGTCCCTGTTGCTTGATCTTCTTGACAGAATGCTCCAACTCTTCTTCATCCTCCCTCTTCCTCTTGCCAGCCCTATTCAACTGAATTTCCGCTTTCAGTTTCCTGTTCTCGAGCCTCAATCTTTCATTTTCGGCGACGATTTGCTGCCCAACCCGCTCGGCCTCGCGGACAAGAGCGTACGCTTGCTGGATGAGGTGGTTAAAGTCCCGAGATAGCTGCGTCCCGGAGACTGGTATCATTTTGATTCAAATGGTGATTTGAGATGCTGATATGATGAGTATGAGAAATGTGTTTCATGGCAAATGGGCAGCATGGGCAGCATGGGCCTTGTAGTTTGTTTTAAGGTCGTGGTGATGAGGAATCGAAACAATGGATTGCCTCCATGGCTTTGTCCTCTGAATAAAGAAGGGCCGAGCAAGTCATTGTCTGTTCTTAGTATAGAGAGGTGATAATGAGCTGTGAAAGGTGAAAGGGACAACAATGGGGACGATCAGACAATAGGACAATAGGAAAGAGTATGAATAGAGAAATTAAAGAAAAGGCAAGATAGTAAGCCAGGGGGAAATACCACGGTACAGTAGGTCTCCATGCCAGCCCTCATTTTGGACGGCACTGGCTAGTCGTGCAGCGCAGCCTTTCCGGTGAATATCTCTACCACGTGATAATATCGTTACAGCTGTACAAACTGACTTCGAATCAACTTCTCACACACTATTTTGAGGTTTCTAGCGGGTTGAGCCTCAGGATGGAGAGCTTGCTTTCACCAGGACTCGCATAGGGTTGAGATCGCCACGTGACTCTGGTTTTCACTGACCCTGGGAACCTTTTCAAATCTCTACGAGCGGGCAGCGCCGGGGGGTTGACTCAAGATTTCATCCAGGATCTTTGTCCTTTCCCAGTTCTTCTCTCCTCTTCCCAAGTGCAGCTGTATCATGACTAGTGCCTTGGCGGAGACCGATCTCCCCTGGGGTGCGAAGTAATCATTCCAAGGTTGACTGTCAGCCTTGTTTGCCCTTGTTCCCACCGGTATTCACAAATCCCCGACGATCTCGCACGCTCTACTCACCCAATTTCCTGTTCATACGGTCCGTAAAATTCACGCGTGCCGATGCACGTTCAAAATCCACGACTTCTCTTCGCCGCGGAAATCGACGTGGCAGGCAGGCCCATCCACTCTGTTTTTCACATAGCTTTGGAAGGGGATCCAGCAACGATGAAGGGACGGCCTTGAAGATTATCATCTTGACACCTTCCTCAAGCAGCAGTATAGCCGTTTTATTCATGGCGCTTCTGCTTCTGCCCAGACGACGGGGCGTCTTCTTCCAGCCGTGCCAAGCATATCGTTATCGTTATGCCCATGCTCCGGGAATTACCATACTCCGTACACAATGGCGCAATCGTTTAAGTTATTAAGAGCAGTTCAACAATGGAAGGCACCGTATGGCGATGTACAGGGGACCTTCCCCTGCGATCTCTGCATGCTTGGATACGATTTACATTCGTCACCCTACGAATCATTCCTCGTAAGCAGGCCAAGCGTAAGGTGGCTTACACCATCGTCAATTCTCCCGAAACGGTTGGATATCGCGTCTACCGCTTTTACTTTGGGGATTGTTACGGACAGGGATCAAACCCAAAACCGCAACCACTTGGCCATGACGGGCAGGCGCTACGACCTTACACAGAGCATACGCGCAACATGCGGTCGGACTCTGTGTACGCGGCATATACGCAAGCGTTTCTTTACGGTGATATACCGTGACTCACCGCCTGGCGATCGTCCCTACCTGGCGATCACTTTCGGCCACCGAACACCAACAACAAAAAAGGCTGTACAGCTCTATACAGATAGTAAAATCACTAGATTTTTTGTTAGGGCACTCGAAGGCACTGTCCAAACCAATTGACAACTATAAATTATTATCGATAACGGTGGGGGAGCTGTATATTACGGGTGCGTGTTGCAGGCCTAGATGCGGGCACCTCATCTACAATAGATGCTACATCCACATCATCAACCTTAGGCTCCTTGAAGATATCTGGAGGAGGTGCAGCGAGCTTTTTACTATGTACGGCCCTCGTTTTAGACAATTGTATGTCCTGCCGGAGTTGCTTTTCTGCTGCCCGAGCGATCTGAGCTTCCTTACGCTCAGCTGTCTTCTTCTGCTGTTGCTGGATCCGAAGCTTCTTCGCCGCCAGCCTCATATGGTGCCTCTCCTCAAGCATGTCTGCTTTTTCCTGCTTTGCTGCCTTCCTGCGCTCTGCCTCCCGAATTTTTTGCTGTTGCAATGACCATTCATCGGCATCCTTTTGGGCCTGTCGAGCACGGGCATCCTTAACCTTGGATGGTGACCAGAAGACAGCACCACCATGGTACTCCTGTGATGCCTCGAGCAGCAGAGGCTTTCCGCGCTGTCGACGCTTCTTCTCATTTAATAAGGCTTCTTTGAGTTGCTTGTTTTCATGCTGTAACAGTGTCGTCCGAACGGCCATTGTGTGGATCGTCTGACTGAGCTGTCGGGTCCTCGAATCGGTGATGTCTTCAACAGCCTTGCGTAATAAGCGTTCAATTTTCCTCCAATCTGATGCACTAAGTACTGATGTAGAGCTTTCACTTGAGGATGGTCTCTCAGTCTCCTTTGTTTTGAATTTTTTGAGTACTGCCTCTGAGTTTACTGGCGAGATGCCAGTGACTTCAAAAGCCTTGAGAATTGCCGAATCCTTGAATGTTGCATTCCAGGCCTTCCAGAAGAAGCGGAAGAAGTCCCTTTTAGTAACAGCAGAGATGCCCTGGCACTTATACATGAAGTTGGCAAGCTCAGCGGAGTAGGCGGATGATAGAGGCTTAAACAGGCAGACATCGAGCGGTTGCAGGGTGTGAGTTGAATGAGGTGGGTAGATGGCCAGGAGGATCCTATTTTCATCACAAAACTTGATAAATTCCATCGTGATATGCGATCCATGTCCATCAAGGATAAGTAGACGATAAGACCGTCTTGCTTTTGCTTTCGTCTCACGATCGAAGACCTGCTGGAGCCATGCCATTCCTAGCTGATTGTTCGTCCATCCACTTGATGTCGAGGAGAAGAAGACTCGATGCTCCGTTGGATCAAAATCTTGTAGCCATGAGTCTTGGATCTTGCC